TACCATCAGCTTGTACACGATTTCTGCCACCACCCCCGAGCGCATTCATCAAGCACCAGGTCAGGACATCGTATCCAAGCATGCTGAAGTAGCGAACACATTCCACGACAACATCAATAAGATTGTCGTAGGACTCCATCTGATGAATAGCAACTTGCATGACAATACCAGGAGAAGAAAAGGCGACCTTGGACAGTGCCTTACCCATGGCTCTCACATTGGTTTTGCTGATGCGTTTAAGAACATCCTTTGTCTCGGCCTTGGTGAGGTCAAAGGCAGATTTGATGTCGGGAAGGCGGGAGGTGTTGCCGTAGTGCCACTCAGCGTAGATGGAGTAGCGGGTGCTGGTAGGGAAGAATTTGAGAAGCTCAAACATCTCGTTGACGTCGCCAGTGTTGTGCTTGGTCAGACTGAGAGCAGGGACCAAAAGACGCTTGCAAAGATCAATCCATCGAGCATAGTTGGTCTCTGAAGGGTCATCAGTCAAACTCTTCTTGCCAATGCGAGCAAGTTTCATCAGGAGAGCAGAGTCTCTACCAATCTTGACACCAGTCAAGTTCAGGAAGGTGCTGCAAAGTTGGAAGACATCATCTACCGACTGGCAAATGGGAATATTGTCCACCCAGTCATCCCAGTAGAACTTGTACTCGACTGCATCACCATGATCAGGACGGTCGAGGTTGGCCCACCTCAGAGTCTTGGTTGGCGGTGCAGGAGTAAGATTGAGCTGGCCCTTGGGCAAGCCGGTGGGGTCGCCGATATGAGGTCTGGCGTCGTTCATGCCAGGTCTATCGGCGAGAGGTCTGGCAGGTTCGTAGACCTTGGTAAGCATGTGGTGGAGAACGCGATGGATGTAGTCGGGTAGTTCGTGAACAAGATCGGTCAACCAAGGGAATCTGCCAAGGATGTACAAAGCCTCAGGTAGACAACCAATAGCGAGTAGACTCTTGACTAAAGCGACCTTTTGGTTGGCAGGCTCAGGCAAGGCCTCTTTCTCACCGTCTTCAGCAGCGGCTTCGGCAGCATCTGGCTCAGCCTTCGGAGTAGCTCGTCCGGAGGCATTGTCTCGTAAGCCGCGTATAGCAGCATGCGGAGCAGGTGCAGTGTCATCTGCGAGGGCGCCTGCCATAGCGAGAGCATTGAGAGCACCACCACCAGGCTTTGCGGCCTTTTTCTCTTTCGAGCCTTTCTTNNTTTCCAACCTCTCCTTGGTCTCGCCCATTTTCTCGTCCGGCGGGTACAAGTGAGGGTAGAGGTCTCTGAGGGAGATGAAACCAATCTTGATGAGGAAAGCCGCGAGGTAGATGAGATTGTCAGGGAGGACGTCATGCTTGTCGCGTGCAGCGGAAGAATAGAAGGCGAGCTTAAAGCCAAGTAGTTGAGCGGCGTCCGAGTTGCCAGGAGGCACGACACAACCAGTCTGGCGCATCCATTTGCGAGCGTTGTTGGTACGAAGGCGACGGATCATGTTCATTTCACGACCTCTGCCATCCAGTTCGGGTTTGACTTCGGTATTCAGGAGATCGGCAACAGCGGGTGCATCGAGGTTTGTGATGTGGAGAGCGCCAATTTCGAAATAGGCATCCATACCTACCTTGCGCACCTGCTGCCAGAAATCAACATCGCGAGCCTCCTTGAGAGCGGCCAGCTGAGCACGCTGGTCTGCAGTTTGACCCCAGGATCCAGAGTGAGGAAGAGCCCACGCGGGAAGAGACGTAAAGCCCTGGCCTCGAGTATGGAAGCCTTCAGGGACGTGTTGTTCGGGCCACCACGAACTCGAGCGTAAATACTTGATGAAGAAGCGGAAATTTTTGATCAAAAGGTTTGCCATGACATCCAGAGTAATGTCCAGCACGCGGCCAACATCGAGATCGAAGGATCCAACGAGAGCCTTGATGCGTTGGAACGTGTCTTCGGCGATGAGATCCGAGGTCGAACCAGCATTGGCAGCATTGAAGTATTCGGTGATGAGTTTGGAGTAACCCTCGGACTCTTCACGCAGCAGGTTGAAGTTGGCCTGACGGTAGATGAGGTTTGTCGTCTTGCGGTTGCGAATGGTGGAAAAGGTGTTGCGCACAAGACCAAGGGCAGACAGCGGTTCAATGTCGAGCTCGTTTCGAAGGAGATGGGCAGAGAGCCCGGCGTGGTGGATGAGTGTCTTGAGGACGGGATTCTTCCAGTCGGCTTCGTCAAGCAGAGCCAGCGTGTCGGCAAAGACGGACTGCAGGTCATCGGACGGAGCAACTTGTTTCAGCACTTCGGCGCACTCTCCAGCAGACAAGCGGCCATCCAGCGTTGTCCTCAGCAGCTCTTGTATGACTGTGCTCGACACCATATCCTGGTCTTCTGCCTTCTCCAGAGCGTCCAGAACCGACTGCTTTCCCTTTGACTGCCAGGCACTCACGGCATCGTCTGTCAAGTAGTCGTAGGCATAAGGAGCCGGGGGTTCCTTTGGCGTCGGCGGGTACTGAGGGAGGACGAGAGGTGGAGCGGGCGTGGCAGAGGGTGTTGAGGTCAGGGCGGGGCGTGCGGGCTCGGGTTGCTGCTGCTGTTGCGGCGGCGGTTGCGGTTGCGGTTGCGGTTGCGCATTCTGCTGCGGAGTGTGTGGAGGTTGGGCAGGCGAGTTTCTGGCAGAAGCAGGCTGAGAGAAGTTGGCATGGCGGTTGTGGGTGGGAGTCGAGTTGTTTGAGCGGTTCTGGTTTCCATTTCCGTTGCGACGGTTGTTGCGCTGGTTCTGCTGGGCCAGATTGAGGTTCTCGGGACGGTGAGGCGAGGCGCGCGTCTGGTGGTCGTCCTGCGGGCGCTTCCTCTTTTGCTGAGCAGGCGCCATCGTTCACTTCGCGCTCAGTACCCGGGATGGAGAGATACAAGTGTGTTGCTCATGGGTCGAGTGTTTGCTGCGGGTGCCTGGTCACACTTTCCAGTCTTATAACGTTGCGCGTCACTCTACTTGCGAGACTCGGCCAGTCCAAGATTTCAGCAAGAGATACGCGTTGGGCGGTTGGTGAATATGTGCGGAAAGCGCGTGGGTCGCTCCTTCTTGTCGTCGGTCAAACTCTCAAGCTTCCATCTTGCATCTTCAATCGCCGCATCCTACTGGGCCTGGTCTGTGCTCAATACCAGAATTCGTCATTGCTGTTGGTCTATTCACTTGTCACTACTTAAGCACATTGTCACTTGTTGGAACGCAGATTGAAACAATACCAAGCATTACTGAAGCTACATGTACTCGAGGTCGTGATATGAGTCCTTTCCCGTCCACCTCACGGCGAGGTATACTGAAATGAGAGAAAAATGCTATAACAAAACCCATCGCTATGCCATCCAAAATCAATCAAACATCAATCAACCAGAGGCCATTCAGTCAGGGCAGACCACATAAGTTCAGGTAGAGGCCGTTGTGTCAGCGCAGTCTACACAAGCCCTCCGGCCAACCCCTTGGCCGTGCCCGTCACTCCGTCTGTCTTTTTCGTCACGTTATCAATTCCAGCCTGTTTGGTCACTCCGTCCAAGTTAGCCTGCTTGGTGGCATTGCCCGCGTTAAGGTTCTTCCTGATTGAGTCTGCTTGCTTGCCCATATCGACCCCACTCGACTTGGCCGGGTTGTCTTGAAGCTTTCTGGGCTTGCCGTTCTGCCTTGGGCTTGCTCCGTCTTTGCCATTCTGGTCAGAGTGGTCCGGATATTCCTTGCGCGCACCGCCCATGATGAAGTCGAGTCTCCCGCCGGTAAGAGCATTGATCTTGTCGCCGATGGCATCGCCTTCTGCTGCAGGAGTCTCGCCCTTGTTGAACCACTTGAGGAGGTAGTATCCACCCAGGCCCCAGAGGAAGAAGAAGCATGCGGCGAGACTGGTGAAAAAGACGGTGGGGAAGAGTATGACCAGAGCGATGACGACCATGAAGAGGGTGAAACCAATGGCGACGAGCAGGCCGACCAGCAAGGCGACGACGAGCGAGAAGATGAAGACGGTCAGGGTGAAGAGGATGAACAGGAACATGGGCGGGCCCGTCAGGGCGATGTTGGTGAGAAGGAAGGNCCTGGCGCATTTGTCAGTTGCTGTGATTAGCCTGAGGGAGATGGGAGCTGCACGAACCGACAGCTTGGGGTTCTTGATAGCAAACTGCTGAAGCTTGGTGAGGAGCTCCTGACGGCGCTCCGGCGGAAAGACGGAGTCAAGGATAGACATGGCTTTGGTGGTGACGGTGTTTGCCAGGCCTTCGATGGTGCTCATGATGCCAGACATATTGGCGAGCTAGAGGTCGAGAAGAAGGTTGAGACTAGGAAAGGCAGAGGGCGGAGAAGTGTCTCAGGTTGGCGAGAGGGAGGCAGGCTTGACGACTCTGCTGTATGTTCAGGAAAGAGCGACGGTGACTTAGCTGAGAGTTCACAGACTATAGGGCAACTGCCTGTTACGCAACACAAGACGGGCGGCACCACATTTCTGAGCCAGACGGCAGAGAAAGCAGGGTTTCAGACGACAGGGAAGGCAGGCGCACGTCACTCATGAGCGGTCCGGGTGACAGTTGCGGGCGGCACGGGCCATACTGCATGACTCTGGACCGCTCGGAAAGCTGGAGAAGTTCGACTCGCTTTTGTAAAAAGTTTGGGCGCCTTCCTGACCGCAGCGCAAGTCTGCATCTGCGTGCCTTCCCTTTTCAATCACTTCCACCACGATGGCTGCACACGACGACAAGAAGAGAAAGAGAGGCCAGGAAGGCGCAGACGCCCCCAACAAAAGGCCTCGAGCNGCCGCCATCAACGTGCGCTTCCCGGCCCCTCGCGACGAGCTCTACCCCGTCATCGGTATGCGCCCATCTCCATCTTTTCCATCATTCTTCACATTCTGACACATGTATGCAGCCGCCGCGCCTGGACTCAATGTGCCCGCCGCTCCCTTCAAACCCTTCGTCAAGGTCACCAACCCCAAGAAGGACAACGCCTCGCCCGCGCCCTCATCACACTCGCTGCTGCTGCACTCGACATCACATGCCCGTCTGGACTTTACCGCCCAACAGCAATCCAACCAAGACTTGACCCACTACGTCGCCGTCTACGATCCCCAATCCTCTTCACTCCAGGTCCTCCCCGCACACGCCGTCACTCTGCGCACCACCCTCCGCGCCGAAGCCCAGGAAGTCGCCGCTCAGAATGCCGTCCGTACTTTTGCTCAACAACGCGAGGACCTGGGCCAGGCCTTCGGTACAAAGAAGGCCAAGAAGGCTCTTGCTTCCAAGGTTGAGAACGCCATCACATCCAACGCCGACAGGAATCGCACCGGAGCCAAGCTCGATAACGTCGAGACTGCCGTCATGGACAGCGTCAAGGAGGCTTCGGATGCCATGCCCGCCAAACAGGCTCAGCAGGAGGAAATCCTGGCAAACAAGCCCATCCCCAAGCCCAACCTCAATGCTACCGAGGCCGAGAACGTCTACCCCATCGGCATGCTCATCCCTGCAGCCGACATGCGCAACCTGGCTGTGAAGGAGTGGCAGGACAGCCAAGGCGAGGACCTCAAGTTGTCTTCTCGCTTCGTCGCCCAGCGTGTCAATCCCATCGCTGTTCGTGATGACGTCCAAAGACTCAAGGCCCTCAAATACCTCATGCTGCTGATTGAGTTCAATCTCGCACTCAAACCAGCAGGAAAGGCCGGCAAGAAGGTGCCACAGAAAGACCAACTACGAGCCAAATTGCAGGATTGGCCAGAGACTCTGATCGAGAGTGTCAGGAGGAGATTCTCCGACAATAACGAACTCAACAAATGGCACATGGACAACCTCATCACACACATGGCCGCCATCTCGTTATTCATCGACGGCTACAAGACCGACACGCACGATCTTCGTGAGGACTTGCGTTTGGAGAACAAGCAGTACGCCTCGATGTCTATCGACTCACAATTTGTCCCGCTAACGCTGTTACAGNNAATGTCGCAATACTTCATGGAGCTGGGCTGCAAGGTCAACAACCCCACCGAAAAGGAGCAAGCAGACTTCAAGATCCCCAACAAGGCCGTCGCCGCACAACGCAGAGTCGCCAAGTTGAAGATTCCCCTCGACTTCCCCAAGGTCAGAATGATGCCCCGCAGAAGATGATGACCTGCCACTGTTCATACCAGTGTTTGGAGCCTGCGTCTGTGAGAATGGCTGTAGCATACAATCTTCACAATTTGATACCCCTTAGCTTTGCCATTTTCTTCCCGAGACCTTCGACCATTTACACTTGGTGATCTGTTCGACGACGTTCTCAAGATGGGTGATCATGATCCCTGATCATGATTCGGGTCAGGGTTGCACCCTTTTCATGTAACTGCCGAACGTCCGACGATATTATGCTGCAGCGATTCTAAATTCACTGCTGCTTGTGTCTTCAAAAGGTGCTGGGATTGTTTCTGTAAATCAACCTTACCTTTGACGTACACAACCTACATTATTGTCTCCTGTGAGCGCGATGATCGAAATGACCTTACTGATTTTGAGAGTGCTCTTCTGACCACTACGGCGTCTCTCAAGAACTCTGGTTGGGAGAGCCACGATTCCACTCATGACTTCTCTGATAAAGGTATACAATTGTTGATTAGGGAGTAGTAAGGTTATGGCCATACAACGTCGACAGTCGGATTGAGTCAGTTTCTTATCAACTTCGCAAAGAAACTCAAGCCAGGGCTCGTCTCTATGATTGCGGGGGTAAAGAGAGAGTGATCAGCTATAGACTATCTAAAGACTATTTGGCACCTGGCAAGGAGTACCCCTCGATGCAATCATTGCCCGGCGACGAGCCAGCTGGGACAGCTCTTCGAGGAATCCCTCGGCATCCGTTGATCCAGAAGATTTTGCAGACTTCATGTCCATGCTCAAGACCACGCCCCTCAACGCAGCCGTGTCATCGCTCATCAGCTTGTTGATGGTGTTCAAAGCTTGGACATAGCTTCCTTGGCTTCCATGATCATCGTCGTGTCGACAGTCGAGTACCACATTCATCGCCTTTTGCTTTTCCTGGCCTAGGAACTTGATCTCCTGATCATAATCTCTGCATTTGACCACAGCAAAACCATGCGCATTCCCACTTGTCTGCACGATAGTCGCCAGACCTGCAGGACCGATGCCGAGAAAACAGTGGCTCTTGCTCACAGCATCCAGCATGTTGGTCATGGGCTGGCAACCTTTGGTCGCGGTAAACGGTATCCCCACCGCACACGACAGCCCAGACGCCATCTCGACGCCTTTATCCGTGTTGCCACTCGCCAACACCACACTACCCAGGTCCTCGATAAAGCACGCCTCCAAAGTATCAGAAGCGTGGAGAGCGAGTCGCACACCAGAGCAACTCAGCGACAACATCAGAGCTCTTGCTGTACGCAGATACGTGTTTGTTTTGTGGATGCCTGTGTTGGTCGTCTCGTCGCCGTATGCGGATCCATTGAAGGCCGTCATGAACTTTACACCGCAGAGGATCATGACGCACAGGTTTGGGAATTGCTGCTCGAGACGCACGCAAGATATAAAGTCGGCTAGAGTGGTGGGTTCAATGATGAGTAAGAGACGCTGATCGTCGCCATTGAGGATGCGGATGGCGTCGGCTCGGCCACTGTGGATCGTTTTTGCGCATGCTTCTGACTGTGCGTTTTGGGAATGCTTTTCAGTATGCGTATCCAGTCAGAGGTGGTGGAAAGCAGACGAACCTTTGGATACTCGTAGCGAAGCAGGTTGGGCGATAAGAGAGGGTGATGTTGTACCACTTTCGTGCATTGTCAGTTTAACTGGGTATCATGTTGAGACACCTGTACTCACTCTTGTGCTTGATCAGTCAGGTGTGTTCCGTGATGGTTGGAAAGAAGAATAAGAACCGGTTCGAGTTTTTGAGAGAGGTTGAGCGTGACTTATATTTGCTGAGGACTGCTCTTACCTTGCAGCATACGGGTGGCACATTATCCCCGTCCCCGTCCCCGTCCCCGTCCCCGTCCCCGTGAAGTGGCTCATTGATCGAGCATGTCCAACTGGACTCATCGTATGGTGTTGAGAAGAGAAACGATCCTGGTGAGGAAGACGTACGCATAGAAAATAATCACGACGAATCAGCTTTGAGGGTCTTGGGTGTTACACAAATAGGCATTTCTCGATCTCAGAATATGATATGACCATTTTCCTCATCGAGCCACGCAAGAATGTTAACAAGTAGTCATCAGCAGTGTTCTAGCAAAGACTCGAGCCACCATCTATTCTTATCCAACCCCCATCGCCAACAAGTCATTCTCATCGCTCTCCATCAGAACATTTCATGCCACACACGTTCAAAGCTCCACTTCTTTGAGAACCTTGGCCACATTCTCATGACGCGGGATAAATCTGACGCGGAAAGGAACAGGAGAGCGGCCGGAAAGTCCATCGTACTCATTCAGGTCAATGGGTTCCTCGGGAATCTCGACCATGTCAAAGGCCCACAGCATACGCGAGATGGTCAACCAGATCTCGCGCTCTGCAACGAGCATGCCGGGACAGATGCGGCGTCTGTAGGATTCCTCTTCGTTAGCCGATGGTTGCAAAAACCGATAGCTTTGGGGGAAAGTAAGAAGCTTACCCGGCTCCAAACATCCAGTGGTCGCGTTTTCCTGGGTCGACGACATTGGCGCTTTCTGCTGATGTCAGGGGATCGTGGATGTAGCGTTCGGGCTGAAGTCGTATGTGTCAGTACTCGTCGGAACAAGATGAAATATCGCCTCATCTCGACATTACCTCGAATTTATCAGGATCTGGGTATCTGTCGGCATCGTGGTGCATGGTCCATGTGTTGAGCACACAAACAGTATCCTTGGGAATCAGCTTGCCGCGATACACAAAATCTTCGGTGGCGACGTGCGGAGTGCCCAGCCAGAATGGATTGTGCACTCTTTCTACCTCTTTGATGATGGCGTGGCAGTAAGGTAGATTGGCTTCGTCTTCAATATCGGGCATGCGGTCCAATCCAACCACACTGTCGAGTTCGGCTTGGGCTTTCTTCTGGATCTCTGGGTAGGCGGGGATGAGGGCTGAGAACCACTGCATAATGGCTGCGGTCTGTGGACGGTTTAGTTGCCGTGTGTGCAAAGAGAGAGAATAGGCTTCCAACTTACGGTTTCAACGCCGCCGATCATAAAGGCGGAGGCGAGGATTGACATGTCCAAGTGATCGAGCTGCTCTTTATCTTGAAGCTGCAACATGGTTTTTGCAAGACACTCGGGGACATCTTTGCCACTGTCCATGGTTTTCTTGATGCCAGTCACGAGTCCGCCATAAGTGTTGACAAGCCCCTGATGCAGTTTCTTGCCACGTTGATGCATGGGTGTAGGCAGGTATTGGAGTAGAGGTATAAAGTCGACCAAGTTGGACATGGGACCGGTACAATTCCTGTTCTGTTTGTCAGAGTCATTTGAGTAAAAAGTGCGAGGGTCGCTTACATAAACTCGCGACTGAGTCTGAGTGCTTCTTTGACGAGAGGGTGATGGATGCTATCGGCACGGATACCAAATGTAATCGTAGTCATGTTGTTGAGCGAGCAACGACCGGCATGGGGCTAGCATCAAACATTAGCTATCACCAACAGTATCAAAAGGGTCCGAAAGATATACCTGAGGGTTCACTGGCGTTTTGCCGCCATTACATTCATCAAAGAGTGCTTTAATCAAAGACCGCGACTCGCGATCCAGAATAGGAGAATAAGTATCCACAGCCTTCTGACTCAACCAAGTACTCGCAATACGACGATGCTTGCGCCTACCCACAGATTAGTCTCCCAAATGAGTTTCAGCCGTTATGACAGAGAAAAGCTCCAAACTTACCAGCGATCATTGTAGGGTGTAGCCGTGATACCACGACCCGCAAACACAGTCTGGCTTTTGATGTACATTTCCTTGCGCGAAGAAAACACATTTCCATTCGTCACCATCAAGTCCTTGGCTACCTGTGGATCGGAAATAATGACAAAGAGTTGATTGCCCAGCCAGATTGAATAGAGATCGCCAAACTTTTTCGCCCAGCGGTCAAGTGTCTTTTCGGGGTAGTTGGTCAAGAATGGGAAAGAGCCTGATTGAAGAACGAAGTGTAAGCAGTCATCGTCGACGCAACACCTTTTGGAAGCGCGGAAAGTTCCATACCGAGTATGGGTATACCACGCGGGCCGGCTGGGATAGAGACACCCGCCGACTTGCTGGATTTGGATTTGGAGCCAATCCAAACATACAGAGCAAGACCAAAAGCAAGAGTAACGATATAAGGAAGCTGGGCCTCGACAACCGAAGAAAAAGAAGAAGGCATGTCGAAGACCTTCGCAGACATCTCTTCCAGAGTCTGGTTGAGTTCTGTAGCCATACTGGAACAAGCAAAGCGCTCAATGATAAGTCGTCCAAGCAAAAGGAAAAGGCAGCCTCCAAATCTTATACTCGCACCCAAGGACAACCTCTCCAAGCGAAGGCAACCCAAAAAAATTGTTGAATGCACCAAAATCCTTCAAGAAGCATCTTGCTCCACCGTCCTCGTTGATATCCCTTGATATCAACACGTGTGGGTTAAAGCTTTATTACTCCTTGCTAGCGCTCGCCATTGCATGTTCCCCGAGCAGACAGAGAAGTCAGACATGTCTTTACGTAGACCCATCTTCAGCGCCACAAATCTGCCGTTGACCTCGGGAACCCTTCAACTTGTGTTCATATGAGAGCACATATACAGCACGCTCGCTAAGCATCGAAGGATTCCGACTCCAACAAAGTCAAATTAAAATGTGTGGATAGTCTGAGCGTGGGCCCAGATTAATGGTCTGAAGGATAGTCTATATGCTTGTTCATGTGGTGATAACGCGAGCCGATCTCGTATACAAGTGGATATGGATGTGTTGTTGGAGTGGAGTTGATATACCATCATTGTTATTCACCATTGACACAGCCACGTTGCAGGATTCGTTGTAATAGCAAGGGTGGTATTGTGCTCCATTATCTCGGTATTGCCAGCTACGGTCGGACTCAAAAGCCAACTGATTAACATCTATCTATGTATACTAATTTTTGTCTACCGTGAACACCGATCATCCAAGCATGCCTGCCAGTTATGACAGACTATCTGAAACCCAAGATATATTTGTGCTCATTTCATGGCCATCTCCGTACTGCTCAATACACATCCCAGCATGCTTCATCGTCAAAGTCTCCGCCAGAATCAGAGCTTGCTGCTTTGCTGACTGGATTCAGAAGAAGGAACTCCAGGATTGGTCGTGGGGATTACCGCCTGCGGCTTTGCCGGCGCAATCCAAAAAGTCGGGTAGCGTCGCTGTATGTTGTTGTTGATGAGAGCAACAGCAAGCAGCAACACAGACGACAACAGAACGATGGGCANAAAGTACCAAGACAATTCGCGGATCTCTTCATTCGTGGCGGGAAGTAAAGCGGTCGCGCCGGCAGGAGGGTGAGTGGTATCGGTGACTTGCATGACCACCACGGCAATCGCCGACGAGAGAGAAGCAGCCAGCCAGCGCAGACTGTGGAATCTCGACTCGGGCAGGAGTTCGAAGAGTTTGGTGACGCAGGTGCCGACTAGAGCGCTGAAGAAGTGGCCGAAGATGAGGGCTCGCGGCTGGGCGAGTGGGCTCTCAATCGAGCCGAAGCAGAGGACGGCTGATGCTCNCCTGCAAAATGTGTGAGTTGCCATGTCCGATGATGAGTAGACGATGGATATACTCACGTATGATGCGACGATGATGGGCACTCCATGATTGAGAAAGTACTCGCTGTAGCTGAACAGGCCGCACAAAAGGGACAAACCACAAAAGGCGCCAATGAAGGACCAGAGGTGGACAAGATATTTCGGCGGAGGCTTGACAGGGTCGGTACGATAACCCAGCCAATGGCTGCACCAGGTAGGCAAAGAGGCAATGGTAGGACGACGCATTGTAATTTCTAGATGCCCGACAAAAGCGAAAACTGCAAGTAAGTTACTTTGTACGAACTCATCCGCTTATGAATGACCCCAAGTCGTTGCTCAGAGAGCCCCCAGACAATTTTTTCTCGTCCAGATTGACCCTGCCAAAGTACGACGTGCAGTTCGCGGGAAAACAACACCCGAGCAATGGCCGAGTGTCCGTGCGCTGCTCGGACTCTCGTTGCCAAGTGGATTCTGGCCTCGGACGACCGACTGACGCCTACTCGTACGCAACCACACTGCTGGGTACAATTGAGCTATATTGTAGCCAGCTTAAGGCCGAAAGAATGTCTCGTTTGAATCCTGATCCTTCCTCTCGCCTATTTTGACCCTTCACAACAATGTCCTGTCAGTGAGTTCTTCCGGTCGGCTCTCCTGCATTTGTGTGCACGGTGCATGAGGTCGTTGAGCATACATGTCGTGCTGGACTGCAGGACTGCAGGATCACTTGGGACTGGAACTTGAAGAACTGAATCGATCCGTCTAGCTGCGGGCTAAGTCGGACCAGGAAGGTGGGTACCTTGATGTTGGAGCTTTGGTTGCACCATATTCCTTTCGGAGACGCGACAACATCCAAATCCTTCTTTCGCAAGCACGGGCCTATGCATCATCTCGAGACTCGCTCTGCTTAGGCCGAATGGCAGTGCGCTGTCGATTCACTGCCTAAAATCTCGAAAGAGACTACAATTCCAGGTCATACTGAAGTTGTGGACTCACACGCATGCATTTTGTGTAAGTATATAGTCGTATAATGGCTTGGCGTTGATCTACACAGAGATAGGTCTTGGGAAGGGTCCAATGCTGGAACACATTCCGCAAGTGCCGACCAGGGTCTCGTAACTACTACAGGCGAGACCCACAACACGTATACGTGTTCTTGCAAAGAAGACAACACCATTCACCGATTCACTGTCAATCTCGTTTCCACACATATGCCAAACGTGGTCATGAAGCCCTAACGAGACGACCGCGGGAATCATCTGCGTTAGAGGTTCAATGCAGTAGCGCTGCATACAATGCGACATCAAAACAAGCTTTGCCAACATCTCTGCCCAAGGGTCTCGTCGGTCCGGGCCTTGTCCATGTGGACCCGCTTGACCACCAGGGGGAAGCTCTGGAGCGGGTGAACCCCCGTAATTGCCTTCGGATGTTATAATTACTCCAACCTATATATGACTTTTGCTGAGGACACGCAGTGCTTTCCCAACAATTTACTCGTCCTTCAGACGACGAGACACGAAGGAAGTAGTTTGATGAGCCGGCATGAGGTTGTCGAGCTAACATGAGGGCTTGTGGCGTTGGGTGTGTTGATACCATCTAAGAAGCGTAGAGGCATGTTGAAGAAGATCGGGCTGTGAACAAGGCCGGATATAAATTCAAGATTGTCGAGCTGTTCAGGACCAAGATCAGTCGCTCATCACTGCATACCGAAGTGCTTCTCTTCGTTCTCCCTTTCCGTACTAGCCATGGACACTCAGCATTTGTTCCCTGAGCATCAGTCTCCTCCATTGGTCTTTTGGAGAGACATCACCCCATATGGACATCGGCTACGTCCCAGTACGCCTTCTTCTCCTCATGTCCTCGTCGTGGGTGGAGGTGTGACGGGCTTGATCACGTCCTGGGCTATGCTTGATAAGGGCTACCAAGTCACCATCATCGCCAAAGAGTGGGCGTCTTTTGGCCACAAGCAGCGTCTAACATCCCAAATCGCCGGTGCTCTCTGGGAGTTCCCACCCGCTGTATGTGGACAACATACCGACGCCATCTCGTTGGCAAATTCCAAGCGTTGGTGCATGGTAGCCTATCATGCCTGGGATCAGTTAGCCTCCAGCCCTGAGCTGGCGCTTGCCTCGGGCGTGTCCATGAGGCCAGCAAGCTTCTTCTTCCCTTGTCCTGTTGAGCAGGACCCCGCCCAGCTTTTCAAGATGGAGGATATCATGGCATCTGGGGTTCGCGGATTTGTGCGCTCGCCAGACCTTATTCAGAAGCACGGGGTTGCTCCTTCTTACGGGGCCGTTGATGCCTATGAGCATCTTGCACCTATCATCGACACCGACCAGTCCATGGCTTGGCTTATGGAGCTGGTCACGGCGAAAGGTGCGACACTCGTGACCGAGACGCTGCATGGTGACTTGTTGGAGCAAGAAGAACATCTTCGCCGCAGGTTTGGCGCGGACGCAATCGTCAATGCAACAGGACTGGCAGGCATTGAACTTGCTGGCGACTCGTCTTGCTATCCCATACGAGGAGGACTCATCCGCGTCATCAACGACGGCGTAGATTTCCCAAAAGTCGAAGCCGCGTTGACCATATCAGCCGACGCAGCTCATTCCGCGCAAGAAATTGTCTTTCTTGTGCCGCGCAACGACAACATCCTGTTGATCGGAGGCATTGCAGAGTCTCACGAATGGGACCTCGACCTCACTTTGGATTCACCCATCATCAAACGCATGCGAGAGCGATGCGAGGCCTTTCTACCTACACTCAAGCATGCGCGCCTGGATCCGGAGTATCCTCTGGCGCAGGGACTGCGACCGTTCCGCGCACAGAACGTGCGTGTGGAGCGCGAATTGCGCAAGCTCGGCAACCAGTTCAGTCGTATCATTCACTCCTACGGACAGGGTGGTGCCGGGTGGAGCTTGTCATTTGGATGTGCCTCAGATGTGCTGGGGCTGGTGGAGGAAGCACTTTCGGACGTAGAACCGGTGCCCATGTCCGACATGGAAGGTGGAAAGGGCGTATACTGCATGGTCCCGAGCCTGGCTCGTGCCCGTTTGTGAAGCGAGTTCCTTTTGTTTCTATTGAGTAGGAATTGGAGGTCACCGAGTGCCGTAGTTCGTTGATTCAACTGGTCAGAATTGATAAAAGCTCGCTGCTAATTAGCCGAACCTTTCCCGTAGAGTGAGTTTTGCCGAGCAGCTAGATAAAGCTTAGACGTGCATAAGCTGTCGGTGTGTCCCGACCCCAAATATCCACTTGCGCAGGGTCCATCCATCCTTCTGGATTGCGAGCCCGGGTTGAGCATGGCGCTTCGTGCCTCACACAATTAATCTCACTGTTTGGTCCAGTACCGGCGACATGACACCGACTCAGGATGTGTTGTTGTTTCACGTAATGATCTCTCGAAGATCTTGTTCGATAACCCCCGGGCGTGCCAGCTCGACTAGATTCATGAGTGGCAACGCCCATAACGCGGAACCCCCTTACGCCCACATAAAGCTCCCAGCACTTCTCAAGTCCACTAGACACACAAGTGCTTTTCGACAGTCTTCCACTTTCGCACAGAAGACCTTCTTGAAATTCTCCTCGCTCTCTGTCGCCATGTCTGGTCATGTTGCACGTGGCTCTGCCTCCGGCCAAGATCGATCCCTCGACGCAGAAATGGTACTTGTCGATGGCAAGGGTGACGGAACGTCATCCCCAGAGGTTACTGCCTATTTGCACAGTGACGAGGACGAATCCCCACCTGTCATTCTTGCACCGCCACCTGATGGTGGCCTCAAAGCATGGGCACAGGTTGTCATGGGCCACCTCATATTGATCAACGGCTGGGGCTACTTGTCTTCCTTCGGCCTGTACGAGTCCTACTATACAACATCCCTCTCCTTGTCACCTTCGAGCATTTCTTGGATTGGCTCCGTTCAAATCTTTCTCGTCTATGTGGTTGGAACATTCTCTGGAAGAGCGCTGGACGCTGGGTATTATCACACGGTGCAAGCAGCAGGATCCTTCCTCCAAATCCTTGGCATATTCATGACCTCGGTCTCGACGGAGTACTGGCAGATCTTCCTAGCACAGGGCGTTTGCAAAGGCCTTGGTGATGGCCTGGTGTTCTGTCCGACCGTGTCCCTGGTCGCCACCTATTTCTCCAAAAAGCGCTCTCTGGCTATGGCCTTCACTGCCTCCGGTGGAGCTACAGGTGGCATCATCTTTCCTCTCATCTTCCAACAGTTGGAGCCGCGATTAGGATTTGGCTGGACAGTCAGAATCATGGGATTCGTTGTCCTTTTCAACGCTGTGGCAGCCGCACTGCTTGCTCGTGTTCGTCTTCCACCAAGAAAGACAGGCCCGTTGGTGGAATGGGCCGCTTTTAAGGAACTGTCCTACACCCTGTTCTGCGTAGGCATGTTCTTCAACCTATGGGCAGTATACTTTGCCTACTTCTACGTGAGTGAAATCGTCTTTTGGGTCTTGAGGCCACCAGCTGACTAACACCATCACAGATCNAGCTCCTTTGGCAAGAAGATCATCGGCGTCTCCTCTTCGACTTCACTGACGATACTCCTTGTCATGAACGCAGTAGGCATACCGGGCCGTCTAATCTGCGGCCTTACAGCAGACCGCTTGTTGGGCCCCATCAACACTCTAATCCCAGTCGCCTTGTGCGCTGGTCTCCTGTTTTACTGCTGGTCCGCGGTCACATCTCTAGGCGGTCTCTTTGCTTTCTGCATCGTGTATGGATTTTTTGGCGCCGGCATACAAAGTCTTNNTTTTCCCGCCGCTTGCGCCAGTCTCACTTCTGACGTCAAGAANATGGGTGTCCGTACCGGAATGTGTTTTACGGTGGTGTCGCTTGCTTGTTTGAGCGGTCCACCTATAGCTGGAGCGCTCATTGAGAGGGATCATGGGCACTACCTCTTTGCGCAGATGTTTGGAGGTTCTGCGATCGTGGGTGGTGCTTTGATACTTACGGCAGCCAAACTCTCAAGGAAAAGACTGGAGGTCAAGTAGTGTATGTAGCGTGCCATGTACCTTGAGAGGGGGGGATGATCTGATTAACAGTTGAGGCGACCAAAAGGTTCTGATTAAAATGTCATGCGTTTCAGTCAAGACCTGATTGGACGTGAAATAAACACCGATGCTATTCAAGGTCTATTCATCTTCGTCTTCGAATCCGCAATTCATGGATTCCTACAGGATGCATCCGAACACTTCCGACAACAGGTTATCTCGGTGCTGCCGTTCGGTCCCTGCGTGAAAGACCGAGGATTTGAACGACATACCCCGAAAAATATCTTCTTACTTCGGAATGACCGAGCTTTGTTGATTGCAACGCACAGCACTCCATGGCTCCGAGATAAGACATGCGATATTCCTAATGGATAACGGCAAGCTCGCTAAGATACTCTTAGTTATTCGAGTGGTCTATAACTTAAACCCTCATGCTACTAAAACTTTGCTTCGTCAAGAGCGTGGGGTCAAAACTAGCCTCAACCATAGAACCGAGCACATACAGTAACGTATACACGCGAATTTTTCGAGACATCATCTTTTGTCAACATGTCGAGCCTGATATCTCTTTCTGGGGCTTGACATGTACCATTCATTGTACGTGGCGAAGTCTCCACGGTCTGTCAACAAACAACAGTCCGGGGTTCTCGGGAGAACCTGAACACTTCCGATAGCAGCCCAGCTTCTTCTCGAGACACGTTTCTCCACGACTCGACCCTCGAGCAACGGCTATCGCGAACGGCAGTCCGAGAAGAGAACACCTACATAGGTGTTTACGCGTCGTTCATCAGAAGGAATGGAAAAATACACGGCTGGCGACATCTGCCGCGCTGGGTCTGAATCCTGCGGCGACTACTGCATCACCTGTGCCGCTTGTCTTGACCGGAAGACCCTATGACCGAGCCATTTTTCAGCTGTAATCGCCGAGCTGAAGGTGTCGGAGGTAACGTGTTCCTGGGCTTTTTGTATCAGGAACAATAGTGTGTCGTAATGCCCCGCCAATGAACTACAATGCGCGACCACAGCGACATGGACACCAACAACGCAGTATATTATCCTTTGACAAACGCCTCATCTGCAGCCATAAGAAACTTAGACTGCATGATCCTTCGACCTTCGTAGCTGATGGCGAGGCCCGCCACGATAGGAAAGAGTATGTGGTAGGATTGCGCTTCATCATGACGCCCCAACGCATGATCCTTCGAGGGCCAGCGTGTCGTTATAAGCAAAAAGATGTCGCATCGACAAGCTTTCGCAAAGGCTTGTCACACAGCCGTACCAAATTCCGTCGGACCCTGAAAAACGCCATGTCTTCGGAAGGCTTGACTGCATCTCACAGACGTCGTCGACCGACATTTGCGTGCGAGCCTTGCCGGCGCAAGAAAATCAGGTTGGAAGGATTCTCATGTCCACTCAAATTACCATCGACAGGGAACTGACCACATTGTACANNACACAGATGTAATCGGAAGGTGCCATGTGATCAATGCGTCCGTTCGAAATCAGAGTACTGCAATTATCTGCAGAATGGTACTGCTCACGTAGAGTCTTTTCGCTGTTCGCTCAAGAGCCAGGTACCTGCACGCCAGAATTACCCCGGTCACCGTCAACAGCAGCCCAGTCTGACGGTCGAGCATGATATTGGGACGTGTGATACTCAGCTCGCATCTCCGGCTAGCATTCGTTCGACAGATTCAAACTACGGCGAAGACATCCAGGACGGGAGCCTCAACGACTATTCTCATGGTAGCGAGACAATGTCTAGCCCACTGCCTGTGCGCGGTGTCTTCGTCGGACAACAGTTCTTCGGACCTAGTCATTGGATGAACAGTATCAGTCAAGTAAGTACGATTGGGCATCCATATTTGAACAAGCCGACCGTAGCTGACATTCGTCACTAACGAATCAGTTCCAGCAAGTCTACGCTTTGCAACGCAGATACGAACAGGGACCTGAAGAGAGCNTTGTACGGGAAGTGCAAGCTGTTGGCTGGACAGATCTTGAAGCAACAAAGCACACCTCATCCGCTAGCATCACACTTGCGCAATTTACTGCCGCCCAAGGAAATCACTGATCAATTAGTCCAAACATATCTTCGGACATTCGAATCGGTGTTACGCATCCTCCATGTTCCATATTTTCTCGGCGAGTGTCAAAGATTCTGGCACCGCCCGGATGATGCATCGCCGGAATTCATTCTCCAACTACTCATGGTGGCTGCCATCGGAGCTGGATTCTCCCCAAAGCTGGCGAAGGATTACACTCCTTCGACATGGATCTATGCAGCTGAAGTCGGACTACGGTCTATTGACTCGGAAAAGCGTGCATCCGTGACCGGTGTGCAAATCTTGTGCCTGGTACTGCTCGCGCGGCAAATCAATCCGGATGCCACCGAGAAGAATCTGTCGTGGATCACGGCCGAGGGCCTNTTGCGAGCAGCCATGCACATTGGCTTGCACATCACCCCATCTCGACTACCTCCCATGTCGTTCTACGAAGAGCAGATACGTATCCGCTTATGGGCAACTGTAATCGAGATTTACCTACAGCACTGTCTGGAAGTTGGAGGCTCACCTTCGATTCTAGCACACGAGCTCGACCTTGAACTGCCTTGCAACATTGCCGATGAACATTTCGACGAACACACCACGGCTCCTCCGACTCCGGAACCAATGGACCAATTTACTCATACCTCCATACAGATCACTCTCATACAATGTTTTGCGGTAAGACTGGAAATTGCTGCCTTTGTGAACAACCCGAGGAGGGAAGGTCTCTACAAGGAGACTCTACAACTGGCCTCGAGGCTCAGCTCATTCTGCAAGTCCAACCATCAACGTTTCCAGCGAGATACGAGGCCACAAGCACATCGGTTCTCAATGCGACTGATGGATTTGTTCATGCATCGCTTTCTCCTCGCGCTGCATGCTCCCTTTGCTTTCAGAGCTGTGGCCGACCCAACACTGTGTTTTTCCCGCAAGGTCAGCCTCCAAGTAGCCCTTACGCTACTTGATCGTTCTCTTTGTACCGACGACGACGAATACGCTCGAGCATTACTGGTCGGCGTTGGCTTCTTTGCCGGACCCACCATCCAAGCAGCCAGCATTGTTTGCGCAGAACTCATCAGTCAGATGGAAGAAGAAATATCAATGTTTACACTTTCTCCCGGCTCTGCAGGGCGCCAGGTCCTCTGCAAAGTCCTGGATGACTACATCAATCTCTTGCGGAGACGTGTCATGCAGGCCGAACCAGACATTCAACTCTTTTTGCTCTTCTCGGGGCTGATTGCGCAGATTGAGGCATCGCACAGTGGACGCTCGGTGGACAAAGCCATTGAGCTTGCGATGCAGGAGGGCTTGATGGATTGTCAGAAGATCTTGGAGGACCGAGCTCAGCCTGATTTGATGATTGAGCCTAGCCTGGATTTGACGGATCAGTTCACTCTTGACGGAATTTCGTGGTCGGCAAATGAATTGCAGGACTGGTTGTCATGTGGTGGGCTTGAAGCTCCCCTTCTCATGCCTGCGTTCCAGTAGATACCGTCTCTCGGCCTCAAGGGTGTGAAGATGTCACAAGAATGAGAAGGTCACACGTTGATGTAACAACCAAAGTATATGCTGTGTCACATCCGACCTTAGCTTGGCGGATAGAACCACTCGTTCCTCCCTCCCACTCGTTGGTTAAAGGGAGTCCGTGAGGATGGCAAATGTCACTGGTTTCATAGGCATCCCTAGCAAACACAAACGATGATGTTCTCGGGTCTCTAAGTTTCAGAAAATCAACACATTGAAGCACAATATCCATAATTTGTATGCGTTGAGACAGAAAAGTTGAATACGAATGCTTGAAATAGGACCCAGCAAGTGTAGACAGGATCAAACAGCACTGCTCTGAGCTGAAGTGACCTCATCGGTCTACTGAGCAGCATCTTAGCGACCAACGGCATAAACTAACTTGTGACCTGCGACTTTGCCTTTGATCAACGACTCCATACCGTCCACCACCGCAGCAAGCCCACCATTCATTTCCTTGTACAAAGGTGGACTGATCTTCCCGCCATCCAAGAGATGCTGCACCTGCTCGTACCACATGACTGCAAATGCCTTGTCCTCCGGTTGGGGGTCGCAATAGTATGGACGTTTCCAGGAAATCGCTTGCGAGAATTGAGTAAACATGAACACCCAGTCTGGACGGATGCTCCTTCTCCTATGCACACGCAGCGGGAATGGGTTCAGAGCCATGTACTGGCCTCCTTGTGATCCGATCGCCTCGTAGCAGATGGCCATTGAGCCCGAATCCGAGTGGCAATCCAAGGCGAAAGCGAGATTGTCATTGGTGAATTCCCGGATATCTGCTCCACATGTGGGCGAGTGATAATCGAAAGTCGCCACAGCTCCGAGGTCTTTCAGGCGTCCGAAGCTATGAGAAGAGCTGGTAGTGATTGGTCGGAACCCAGCACTGTTGTAACATCAGTTGCGAAACTGGGAAAGGTGTATCGATGCTCACTCACACTTTCAGTATCTGGATTGCTAGGGACCCTGTTGCTGNNTGCCACCACCAGATACGAGCACAGAAACTGCTTTCTCGGCAGGAGACCAAGGCTTGCCGGGAAGATCCATCCCGTGGAATAATGCTAGTCCCACGGTTGCCAGTCCGAGTCCCAGAGTTACAGCGCTCTGGAGAGGCATACCGCTTGGAACGCGAAAGACAAGCCGAGCCGGGACAGCGACGTACTCGGCAAAGGCGCCATTGTCGGTATAGATGGGATTATTTCCAAAGACACAACCAAAAACTAGTGTGCCTTCGACGATGTCGTCTCGTAATGTGCTCGAGACAACTACTTCGCCAGCAAAGTCGCATCCGATAACAGCTCCTTCTGTAGGAGACATGTCGACTGATTTGCCATCGACCGGATTAAGAGCGACGTAGGCAACCTTGACCAGAATGTCTTCCGCATTGAGTTTGGGCAGTGGGCAGTCGCTGTCAAGATATGCTCGGCCATCGTGTGATACCTTCAAAGCATTGTGAGATTGGGCAGGAGGTGGGGCGGTCAGTCGTGAAGGATCGTCGATCTGGATAGCCATGTTGGCAGCTCAAAACGACCGTAGTCTGGCACACTACCTGACATCCTGGAGATGTCGTGTCAGTTATAGAGTACGGTAGTTGCAGACCAATGTCCACACACATGCTGCAACATGAGCCGCCCGTGTTCTTCGCCGTGTACCCGAGAACCGAGCCCCGCGGCCGCTATCCCCGACCGTGCCCCGACCGCCGAAAATTTCAGCACAGAACGTCCGACAGCTCAAAGGACGGCCACCGGACATATTTTCAGCTTGAATCCTTGTCCGACTACATATCGCAAGTTCCATTGGTTGAGCGTAGCTGGGGATTACGAGGCATGTTAGGATTCCAATCATGCTGCCGTGCCACTGCACGGCCGCGTCGAAGGATTCGCAGACTGAATCTCGAGCGAAACTCGTGGCGACAGGCACACACCGGTATGCCATTTGAACGACTATATACGACCCCCGTCCAGGCGCTATCTGCGGATCAAACGTGATTGTGTCTATCAGTAAGCTACACAATTCTCGAAATCTACAGCTGCTCCGACCTCGGTTTTCAGAACACTATTTATTTTGCACAATGTCTTCCTATCCACGAGAGCCCATCGCCATTATTGGTTCAGCTTGTCGATTTCCTGGCAGCAGTGATACTCCCTCCAAGTTGTGGGACTTGCTCAAGAACCCTCGGGATGTTCTAAAGGAGTTTCCTGCGGACCGTCTTAATTTGCAACGATTCTACCATCAACAAGGCACCACCCACGGATCAACCAATGTCGCCAACTACAGCTATCTGCTCGAGGAGGACCCAAAGGTATTCGATGCCAACTTCTTCGGCATCAGCCCTCCCGAAGCGGAAAGCATGGACCCGCAACAGCGTATGCTTCTAGAAGTGACATACGAAGCCATGGAGGCTGCCGGCTACCCACTGGAAAGCATTCAAGGCTCCCAGACTTCAGTTCATGTGGGAGTCATGAATGCGGATTATGCAGACATCCAGAACCGCGATGCGGAAACCATGTCTAAGTACAACGCCACTGGTACGGTACGAAGCATTCTCTCGAACCGTGTTTCTTATGTATTCGACCTCCACGGGCCCTCGATTACACTAGACACGGCCTGCTCGAGTTCCTTAGTCGCAATGCACCAGGCAGTGCAATGTCTGCAAGCCGGAGAATGCGACACTGCCATTGTCGGAGGCGTCAACTTGATTCTTGACCCTCTGATGTACATCACCGAATCAAAACTCTCCATGCTATCACCAGATTCCCGTTCCCGTATGTGGGACACATCAGCCAACGGCTACGCTCGCGGCGAGGGTATTGCTGCATTGTTACTCAAACCGCTTAGCCAGGCCCTGAAGTGCGGTGATCCCATCCAAGCTATCGTGCGCGGCACTGGCGTCAATTCTGATGGACGCAGCCCGGGAATTACGATGCCCACTGCAGCAGCTCAAGCTGCTTTGATTCGCCGCGTATACCAGCAAGCTGGCCTTGATCCGGTACGTGATCGATGTCAGTTCTTTGAATGTCATGGCACAGGAACCAAGGCCGGCGATCCGGTGGAGGCACAAGCTATCAGTCAAGCACTCTTCTCGCCCGGTGGTCTTGAATCACCAGAGACGCCACTCTACGTGGGATCCATCAAGACTGTAATTGGTCATACCGAAGGCTGCGCGGGCCTCGCTGGTGTGATTAAAGCTATCCTGGCCATCAAGAACGAAACAATTCCTCCAAACATGTTGTTCAAGGAGCTCAACCCAGCTTTGAAGCCTTTCTATGCTCAGCTACGAATTCCTGTCTCTGCGGTTCCGTGGCCCTTCTTGGCCCAAGGCACGCCCAAGCGTGTTAGCGTAAACAGTTTCGGATTTGGAGGCACAAACTCCCATGCCATCATCGAGGAATATCTGCCCCAAATCGAGAACACGAAACATGATGCAGAAGAGGATCGAGCCGTTGGACCTCTAGTGCTCTCTGCACACACGGGGCTGGCTCTTCTAAAGAACGTTGAATCCCTGTATGAGTATCTGCTGGAGCATCCCTCGACCAGCTTGGCACAACTCGCCTTGACTTTACAGACCAAAAGAACAACCCACAAGATCCGCGCGGTTTTTGCCAGAGGAGATCATACTAATATGCTAGAAGACATGCAAGCGTTCATCATGAAGCATCAGTCTTGCGCAGTATCCGACATTGGCTTCCAACCCCAGCTCATCAACAGAAACGAAGCGCCCGGTGTCTTGGGTGTGTTTACTGGTCAAGGTGCTCAGTGGGCAACTATGGGGTGTGGACTTTTGTCTTACGTCGCACTGTTCCGTACGAGCATCACCCGCTGCGAGACAGTACTCAACAGCCTTCCTGATGCACCCTCGTGGTCGCTTCTCGATCAGCTCAAGGCTGTAGGTACTGACTCCCGTCTCGCAGAAGCCGCTGTCAGCCAGCCCCTCTGCACTGCCATCCAAATTGCGTTGGTGGATGTGCTCAAAGCTGCTGGTGTTCGGTTCCATGCCGTGGTCGGTCATTCGTCTGGTGAAATTGCTGCTGCTTATGCAGCAGGCATTTTGACTCTGCCTGGAGCTATGCAGATCGCGTACTACCGTGGCGTACATGCGCATCTTGCCAAAGGCCGCCTCGGTGAGGCTGGTGGAATGATCGCTTCCGGCCTTTCGTACGATGAGGCAGTCGAGTTTTGTGCTCGGCCAAAATTCAATGGCCGGCTGTCTGTTGCCGCCAGCAATTCTCCCACGAGTGTCACTCTTTCTGGTGATTTGGACGCGATTGAAGAGGCCAAACAAGAATTGGTTGCTCGTGACATCTTTGCACGACCTCTGCGGGTGGATACCGCTTACCATTCGCACCATATGCAACGCTGCTCAGACGCGTATCTTCAATCGCTATCGGCCTGCGATATCCAAGTGTCTCGACCAATCGCAGACTGTGTCTGGAGTTCAAGTGTTCGAGGAGACACAAAGCTTCTGAAAGGTAAGCTCGAGTCATTGAAGGGGCCCTACTGGATTCAGAACATGGAAAAAACTGTCTTCTTCTCGCAAGCACTCGAGTCGGCTCTCACATCTGGTGGTCCCTTTGATGTAGCTCTCGAGATTGGACCGCACCCGGCTCTGAAGGGTCCTGCAGAAGAAACTCTAAAGGCAGCATTCGGCTCTGCTCCCATCTACGCTGGAGTGTTGAAGCGTAATCATGACGATGTAGATGCGCTTTCAGCTGCTCTCGGTTCTTATTGGTCTGTATTAGGTGCCAAGTCCGTTGATTTTGCTGCGTTCCGCGCTGCATGCAGTGGACAGACTGGGGACAGCGATCTTGGAATGCTCACCAATCTTCCTACTTACTCATGGGACCACAGCCAGTCCTTCTGGCGCGAATCGCGAGTCTCCAGACGATATCGTCTCGAACAAGACACTCCTTGCGAGCTCCTTGGACGCCGGATGCCAGACGACAGCACACACGAGTATCGATGGAGGAATTTCCTCACTCTTGAAGAGATTCCGTGGCTCTCTGGCCACGAAATCCTCGGTGAAGTCCTCATGCCCGGTGCAGGCTACATCTCTATCGCTCTCGAAGCTGGTAAGAGAATTGCCGGCGGTCGCGCGATACAGCTCTTGGAGGCTCAAGATTTCGAGATCCACCACCCCGTAGCTATTCCAGCTCAATCAGTCAGAGTCGAGACCATATTCACTGCCCGGATTCGAAATTCTGCCACATCGAGCCTCATCGAGGCTGATTTCGACTACTCTTACTGGCCCAGCTCAACCAACGCCTCTGTCATTCAGGCTTGTAGTGGGCGTATCAAGGTATATCTAGGAGAAGCATTAACAGATGGGCTGCCACCGCGATGCCCCGTACCTGAAGATCTCCTTGACGTGTCTGTGGATCAAGCTTATGATGTCCTCCAAAGCATAGGCTTGAATTACCAGGGCATCTTCAGGGGTATGACTGACATCAAGCGCATGTCTGACCATGCTGTGGTCGGAGCGGAGTGGGACACATCGAGCCTTGGTCACAACTACCTCGTCCATCCAGCTTTGCTAGATGTGGTTTTCCAGACATCCTTCATCGCAAAGTCGTATCCAGCCAATGGCTTGGTACGATCAGCCATGCTCCCGGTCAAGATAGACCGTGTTGCGATCAATCCTTGCGTATCCATTGAAGCTAGAGACAGAACGGCTGTCCAGGTCGACTCGTTCATCACGCACAAATCTCCCACATCTATCTCGAGCGACATGCATGTATACAGCCGCACGAATGAGACTTTCTTAGAGGTAGAAGGCTTGGAATTGAAAATCGCTGCCGAGCCTGAAGAGTCTGACGATGTAGAGATCTTCTGCGAGACTGTCTGGACGCCGGATACATCAGTGCAGTTGGTCGAGCCGTCGCGAGATACCGATCACGATTCAGAGCAGATGGTATTGGCCGAGACCATTGAAAGAGTATCTTTATTCTACCTGAGGAAGGTCTTGGAAGAGCTCAACGGTGTGAACCGATCGGATTTCCTGTGGTATCACCAACGGATGCTGGAGTCCTTCGAGCGAACGTTCTCGCTTGTGGAACAAGGCGAACATGTCGTCCTCAANAAAGCTTGGCTTCAAGACACGCTAGAATTGGTTCACTCTATGCTTGCAAATCAGCCCGAACAGGTGGATTTGCAGCTTGTGAAGGCTATTGGTGAGAATCTGAGCAAGGTTGTCACTGGTGAGGCACAGCTACTTGAAGTGATGCTGACAGACAACATGCTGAGTCGACTCTATGTCGACGGCTGCGGATTCGTCGTGATCAACAAAGAGATCGAAACTCTTTTGCACAAGATCACACAGAAATTCCCTCGTGCGCATTTCCTGGAAGTAGGAGCAGGCACCGGTGGCACCACAAAAGGAATCTTGAACGCTATTGGCAACTCGTACGACTCTTATACCTTCACGGATATTTCCACCGGATTCTTCGAGAAAGCAAGTGAAAGGCTTGAAGCCCACGATAAGCGTATTTCCTTCAAAGCTCTTGATATCGAAAAATCAGTTGTAGACCAAGGATTTGAGCAGGAAGCTTACGATGTCATCATCGCCGTCAATGTGCTTCATGCTACTCATGACTTGCAAAACACTATGCGTCATGTCCGAAGTTTGCTCAAGCCTGGTGGTTACTTGATCTTGGGCGAGATTACGAACACTGACGTACTCCGTTATGGATTCATCATGGGTGGACTGCCAGGCTGGTGGCTGGGAGGCGGGGAGGGTCGTCGCTTCCACCCCTGCATCTCTGTGGTGGAGTGGGACCAACTTCTGCAAGAAACTGGGTTTTCTGGCGCAGATCTGACATTCAACGATCTGGAGGACGACCAGATCCACTCGAACACCCTTCTGGTCAGCCGATCTGTAGATCTTGCGTACGAGCAGATTCGTGAACCACTGACTGCACTACCGATGTTGTCAGCAGACACACCTTTGCTCCTGATTGGTGGTTCAACCTTACCGATCGCCAAGGTCAGGACTGAAATACAAAAGATGTTGCCACCTGCTTGGAAAGCTCGGTGCAAAGTCGTCAACTCCATCGATGCGCTCGACGTTTCCTCTCTTGAGCCGGAGACGAATGTCATTTGCATGCAAGAGTTGGACTGTCCATTATTCTCCAGACCAATGACTGCGGCCTGTTGGAGTAATCTACAGATTCTATTACTCAATTCAAAGCGGGTAGTCTGGCTCACCAGAAATCGCCGCACCAGTAGTCCTGAGTCTGGCATGTTTGTTGGCATTGCTCGTGCCCTTGAACAGGAGCTGCCTCATCTTACAATTCAGATGCTCGACTTAGAAGACAGGGACGTACCGAGTGTGATAGCACGACACACGATGGAGATGTTCGTCAGACTCACGCTCACCTCCGACCAAGCAGCGGTCGATGGGGATAAGCTTCTCTGGACACTCGAGCGCGAAACAGTCATCTCGAATGGCCAAACGCTTGTTCCTCGCATTCTTCCTGTGAAGTCCATGAACAAGCGCTTCAATGCTTCGAGGAGAGAAACGGTGCAGTCGCAAGTCAGTCTTACACACAAAGTCGTGGAGTTGAGGTCAGGCAGACGTGGTTTCATGCTCGTTGAAGTACCCGTCGTGGCTTCGCACCCGGAAGACCAGGACATCAAGGTTAAGATCAAGATCAACCATGCTCTTCCTTGTGACCTTTCTCCTGGCACAGAAATCTTCTTGTGTACTGGAGTGGCGGAAGCATCTGGAAAGCACGTCGTCATACTTTCCCGATCCAACCAATCCCACATCTACCTGTCACAGAACGAGGTGGTCTATGTCGATCCAAAGATGGATATTCCAGAATTTCTCCTCACCACTAGAGCTTCCCTGATCGCTTATGCATTGGCAAAGGTTGTCGGAAACCATGACAAGCTGCTGGTCCATGGTACAGATGAAGTAACGGCGCGAGTCTTCCAGCAAGTATGGAAAGACAGAATCTTGTTCTCTACGTCGCAAGTTGAGGCGCCCGAGAACTGGATCCGTATCCATAGTCGTTCATCGGTTCGGTTCATTCGCAATGACCTTCCTGGAGAAATTCATCTGCTGTTGGACTGCTCTGATGTAGGAGCGGTAATGGCAAATTTGGGCAAGTCCGTTCCTTCCACGTGCCGGAGATACACCCAGAAGGAGCTGTGGCAGCAGGCTCGTGAGACACTGAGTCTAGAAGACTGGCTTGTCACAGCTATCAGATCTACCCAACAGGTATTGGCTGAGCATAGAGAATCAGAATCGATGACGCCAAAGCCCACACTTCTCAGGGCTGCAGACCTCTCCGGAGCCGACGCCAAGACAATGACTTTGAACACGCTCACAGACTGGACCACAGATGCTTCTGTTGCGATGACTGTTCGTCCCTTGGAAGCTAAGCATCTATTCCGCTCGGACCGAACTTATCTCATGATTGGCCTGACTGGAGCCATGGGCATCACCCTCTGTCAATGGGCGATAGAGAATGGGGCGCGCACAATCGTACTTACTAGTAGAAGCCCCAAGACTGATCAGGTCTGGCTTGCCAAAACACGTCGCCTTGGTGCGGACGTTCGAATCATGGCCATGGATATATCCGAAAGAGCTTCCGTTGAAAGTGTGATTAAGCAAATCCAGCATGAGTTGCCACCACTCGCTGGCGTGTGCAATGGTGCCATGGTACTTCGCGACAAGTCATTCCTCGATATGGACGTCGAAGATCTGAATCTTGTTCTGCAGCCCAAGGTCAAGGGCAGTCAGAACTTGGATGAAGTCCTCGGAAACATAGATCTCGACTTCTTCATCTTCCTTTCTTCTTGTGCGGCAGCCATTGGCAATCCTGGGCAGGCTAACTACCATGCGGCCAATCTTTTCATGGCAGGTCTGGCGGCTCAGAGACGTCAAAGGGGTCTTACCGCTTCCGTGATCCATCTTGGCTACATTGCGGATGTGGGATATGTTACCAGACAAGCTCAAAGTATGCGAGAGCGTCTGGAAAGATTGCTCTTCCAGCCATTGTCCGCATCAGACATCCACAACGCATTTGCCGAAGCCATTGTCGCTGGTCGACCGGATCAAGAAGGTTCCTCATTTGACATTATTATGGGTATGGGTCCGTCGAAACAACGCATTCCTCAGGAGAGACAGCCTTACTACTTTTCGAACCCTCGCTTTGCTCACTTCAATCCCCCTACTATCGAGGTTGTAGAGCGAGCCAGTCAACAAGAAAGCGGGAGAAATGTCAAGCAGCAAATCAGCGAAGCTACCTCCGAGGACGAGGCCGTCGAGTGCGTGTTCCAAGCATTCCGTGGCAAACTGGCTTCCATCATGCAACTTTCCCTGGATGGCATCACAGTAGAGCAGCCTTTGATGGATGTTGGTATCGATTCGCTCGTAGCGGTCGAGATCAGAAACTGGTTCACGAAGGAGCTTGGTGTGCCAGTACCCGTGGTCAAGATTCTCGGNGGAGACACCATTGGTGAACTCTGCACAGGTGCGACCAAGAAGTTCCTGGCGGCAAACCTGCAGGCGGAACAGGCGGCTAAAGACACAGTCACACAGAGCCAAGAGGTGACTCCGGCTGTTCCTACCACTGCAACTCCAGCGATGAGCAGCGGCGCTAGCAGTGGAACCATCGAAGCCGAGGAATCTGCTCCTACCAGTCCTGGTCTTGCCACGCCAGCATCTACGAATGACCAAGCCAAGGAAGGTAATCTATGCCTGCCTGGAAGAACCTCGCTCACGCTTCAGGCTTCGAGGATGGCCAATGAATCGAAAGTCTCGAGTATAACTCGTGAATCACTCGTCTCTAAAGCACAAACCAGGGTCTGGTTTCTGTCGAACAATACCGAAGACTCTTCAGTATGCAACTTGACTTTCCTGTATGAAGTTGACGGAGCACTACAAGTCCCTCGCTTGGAGTACGCATTGAAGACAGTGATGCAACGTCACGATGCTCTGCGAAGCTGCTTCTACATGCGTCCTGGAGACAATCAACTGCTTCAAGGAGTCGTGTCTGCACCAAGACATATCTTCCAACACATCAGGAATGCAGACCCAAGCACGGTGTCTGAGGTTGCCGAAGAGTATAAAAGTCACAGCTGGAACCTGGCAGAAGGTCCTGTTTTCGGCATGACCGTCGTCTCCCAGAGTCTGAGGAAGCACACCATCGTTTTAGGGTACCACCACATCATCATGGATGCCTTCAGTCTCCATCTTTTCCTGAAAGACCTTAACACGGCTTATGGACTGCGTGCGCTGCAACCGAGCCCAACAAGTTACCTGGACTATGTCGATCACGAGCAACAACTTGCAGAGAGTAGTTCCGATGATGGCGAGATGGCTGAAATGCTCAAGTTCTGGGGTAAGCAATTCGAAACGAACCCAACAACTCTACCACCTCTCCCGATGGCTCGAGTCTTGAGGCGGCCTGCAAGTATCCAGAACAAGAGTGTCTATGTCTCTGAACGTCTGGACAAGACACAGTGGGCTACCATTGTCAAAGCCAGTCGAAGTTTGGGAGTGACGCCTTTCAATTTCCACTTGACTGTTCTCCAGATCATGCTTGCTCGCTTTGCAGATGTCGAAGATCTCTGTATTGGTGTCGCGGATGCAAATCGTAACGACGAACGCTATGGCGAGACCATTGGATTCTTCATGAATCTGCTGCCGATCCGTCTCCGCGTCTCGATGAAGGAGTCTTTTGGCCAGCTCGCCCGCAACACATCGCGCGCGACCCTCGATGGCTTGCGTAATTCTCGTGTGGCGTTCGATCGCATTCTTGATGTTTCGAAGGCACCGCGATCAGCGGCGCATACGCCGCTTTTCCAAGCTTCAATCAATTACCGGATGGGAGCAATTAGCGAGGTCCCGTTAGGCGACTGCAAACTGAGCATGATTGATGGCCAGGATGCTACAAATCCCTTCGATATAAGTCTGGGTGTCTTGGAGTCTCATCAGGGCTCAACGCTGCTTGAGATGATTTGCAACTCTGATCTCTATGACTTCGAGGGTGCGTCAGTACTCATGCAGACTTTTATGCGTCTCCTTCTGGCATATGCCAAAGATCCCCTTGTATCCGTAGATGGACCTCCGCTGTACGATCCAGTCGAAGCAGAACGCTCGATTGAGATTGGTATGGGACCCCGCATGAACTCTTCTGGATGGCAAACTACGGTACACGATCGTTTTGCCTCAGTGACCGAAGCATACAAGGACGATACCGCTATTGTATACATGGACATGATGCTCACATACACCCAGTTAAATGCTCGCGCACGCTCCATTGCCAAACGCCTTCGTGAAGATGGGTGTGTATCCGGATCCCGCGTTGGAATCCTGTGTGAGCCATCTCCCGCCTTTGTGGCGTCCATGCTTGCAGTCCTGCAAATTGGTGCTGTATACCTTCCACTAGACGTCAGTCTATCCGCTGGTCGGCATGCATCAATCATACGTGTTGCACAGCCAAGCGTCATAATCTGCAGTAACTCAGTTTCTGGCTACGTACAAGACGTCATAGAGTCGAACACTGACTTGACCGTCACACCTCGATTGATCATAGCAGAATCCGTTCCTGAGATATGCGATGACGAGCAACCAGACCATACATCAGGTTATTCAAGCCAAGATTCCCCTGCGGCTTTGTTGTTCACGAGTGGCTCAACAGGGCGACCCAAAGGTATCTTCCTTACGCAAACAAATCTTCTTAACCATATCGCCGTCAAGACAGACGTCCTTAGTCTGGGCCGGGAGACGATTCTGCAGCAGAGCTCTTTCGGATTTGATATGTCAATGATTCAGACCCTGACTGCTCTACTCAATGGTGGCAAGCTGGTCATCGTCCCCTCAGAGTCCCGAAGAGATCCTATTGAGATTATGAAGATCATGCGCAATAACGAAGTCACCTTGACCATAGCAACTCCTTCAGAGTACAAGATGTGGCTCCGTTACGGCGTAGAAGAGAACTCGAAGCACGGACAACTAGCTCTCTGGCGTCATGCTTGTCTGGGTGGAGAGCCTGTTCCCGACCAACTCAGGCGCGACTTTGAGCTTCTCGAACTTCCCAATCTTTCCTTGACGAATTGCTATGGACCCACGGAGATCACCGCCGCCGCTACTTTCCAAAACGTCCCGTTAGGCGCAACGCGTGACTCCTATGACAGTTCCATGACGGTGGGCAAGGCGCTTCCCAACTACTCCATTCGTATTTCGGACGTGTCAGGCAATCCACTACCCATTGGAGTGCTTGGTGAGATCTGCATCGGAGGCGCCGGCGTGGCTCTCGGCTATTGCGATCTTCCAGAGCAGACTGCCGAAAATTTCATACGTGATAGCTCGGACCCCAAGGATTGGCCATTTACATGGATGTATCGCACCGGAGACCAAGGTCGACTTCTGCGTGATGGCACGCTACTCCTCATGGGACGCATGGATGGCGATACGCAAGTGAAGGTCAGAGGAGTCAGAATGGAGCTGCAGGAGATCGAAGACACAATCCTCGCTGGCTCGCAGCAGAAACTCTCTGCTGTCATTGTCACCGTACAGACTGATCGCCTGTTAGCATATGCAACCTTGGCCACTGGAGTTGAGTTGAACGAAAAGGACCGTCAGCAACTGTTGATATCTAGTTGTTTGCCGCTGCCCGATTACATGTGGCCGGCGAAGTTGACCATCCTGGAGGTGCTACCTTTGACACCCACAGGAAAGTTTGACAGAAGAGCCGTCGAAGCACTGACAGCCCTGGATACGACTTTCTCAGAAGCTGACGACACTTCTTGTGGCGACGAAGCTCGTCTCACCTTGTTGCAAGGAGAGCTTCGACTTTTGTGGGAACGTGTTCTGGACGGACCCAATCGAGCGATTGTGCCTGAAGCCGACTTTTTCCATATCGGTGGAAACTCGATGTCATTGATGCGACTACAGGGGGCAATCAAAGAGTCCATGGGCTTATCCGTATCGACAAGAGTCTTGTACCAAGCGAGCAACCTCCGACAGATGGCTGCTGCCATTGAGCTCCAGAAGAATCAGCGACAGAAAGATGAGGTGGATCAATTGATCAACTGGAACAAAGAGACAGAGATTCCTCTTGTTGTTCAAGAGGCAGCAACTCACATACAAGTGTCATGCGCACCAACCATTCGTGCGTCTAAGAAGATCGAGATCCTTCTCACAGGTGCAACGAGTTTCCTTGGCGGAGCCATCCTCAAGGCTCTTACAAGTTCACTCGGCTCAAACGTGAGCAAAATACATTGCATCGCAGTCTTGCCAGATGAGAAGAAGGTCGTTTCGGCCTCGGACTCTGTCATCTACTACTCAGGCAGTCTCTTTTCTAAGCGGCTTGGACTGAGCTCCAGCGAGTTCGAACACCTGGAATCTGTCACTGATCTGATCATCCACGCCGGCGCCACTGGTCATTGTCTCAATGCCTACCAATCTCTTCGCACACCGAACCTGCAGTCGACTCATCTCCTGGCAGCTTTGGCTCTTCCTCGATCGATACCTGTTCTGTATGTCTCGTCAAATCGCGTCGGTCTGCTCTCTGGCAAGACGGCATATCCGCCTCTGTCCCTGTCGGCGTATGAGCCACCAAAAGATGGAAGCGAAGGCTACACGGCCACCAAATGGGCCAGTGAAGTGATACTGGAGAAGATTGCAGAGAAGTTCTCGTTGCCTGTTCAGATCAGCAGATCTTGCGTCGTCGTCGGCACTGAAGCACCAAACTCCGATGCGCTGAATGCAATCCTTCGCTACTCACTTCTCATACAGACGGTTCCGTCCTTTGGCAACGTCGAAGGTTTCTTTGACTTCAAGGATGTGCACGAGGTTGCACACGAAATTGTCGAAGATGCGCTCGCTCTGCGACCAGTCAAAGGCGAAACTTGTTCGGTACGTTTCCGCCACCATTCCAGCGGTATCCGGGTGTCCATGGCACAACTTCGAGAACATATGGAGGGTATGCATAAGCTGCCATTCGAGCAAGTTCATTTGGCGGAATGGATAGACAAGGCGCTGCAGGCTGGTATTGATCCTCTGATTACTGCGTATCTGGAAGCGATGGTGGAGAAAGGAGAGGTCTTGCGATTCCCGTTCTTGGGCGAGCAGGCATGAGCGGAAGTTGTTATTTTAGTCAGTGATAGAATGAGTTGAGGATGTGGTTTGATCTTATTTTATCCAGTCAGCTTTTAGTAGAACATCAATCGAGGATAGAATCATCTCTTCCTTCCTGATTTTGTATATAACCTGCGTATACTGTGATGCTGCGAAACGTGCACTTCGATGAGCCCGAGCTTACGAAGGTCGGCATTTCGCGTTCTCGGTACTTCCGCTCGGTTGCCCCTGACTCACCGAGGTCTTCTGCCACATACTCCGAGGAATATCTTCTCGTTCGGTATGACCGAGCCTCGTTTCTCGGCTATTTACACGCATGGTAAGCCCGAGTGTAGATCTTTCTTGTCTTGCTGCAAATTTGCGGCAATGCCGCCATCTTCGGGCTCAACAGAGTAGCCCCGAGTCCTTCGGAGGTAATATTCCATCGTGCCTCATAACGACATATAAGCACCCAGCGTATTCGAGATGTCGTCTTTCCACTGCATCACAGGTATTTGCTCATCAATTCCCATACAAAAGGATCAAGCAACAACATGAGCGACAGAACCGACAGCAACCTCGAGAATGGCCCTATTGACTCTGAGAAGTCTCCAAACAGCCCCTCGGTGTCTTCCGACCCGGCAGAATTAAAACCACAATCACCACCAGAAGCGCCAGAAGGAGGAAGCAAAGCCTTTCTTTCGCTACTTGGCGGCTCGCTGGGGCTTTTTATCTCCTTCGGATGGGTCAATTGTATCGCGGTATTCCAAGCAGAGTATGAAACCAACCAACTTAAGACCTATTCCAGCTCAGAAATCTCCTGGATTACTTCGTCTGAGTGTAAGAGCTGTGCCGGTGATTACCTTTGCTCAGAAACTGACCAGACTACCTANGTTTTTTTCATGCTGTTTGCATCTCCTCTTTCCGGATATCTCTTTGATAATTATGGGCCACGACTGCCCATCTTCATCGGCGGTATCTTGCACGTCTTTGGTTTGATGATGACGAGTCTGTCCAAGGAATACTACCAGTTCTTCCTGAGCCAGTCGGTCTGTTCAGGTCTCGGCACGTCGTTGATCTTCACCCCAGCCATGACTTCGGTAAGCATTGCCTCACGAATACATACACGTCAGGGCAGAGCGTTCACTGACAGACAAAATCAACAGCCAATGACATACTTCAAGAAGCGCCGCGCACTAGCAGGTGGTATCACAGTTGCTGGCTCGTCTCTCGGCGGAGTCGTCTTTCCGCTCATGGTCAAATACCTTCTACCCGAAGTTGGCTTTGGATGGACGATGCGCATCTGTGCCTTTTTAATTCTGGCATTGTGGCTGGTTACTATGGCGACCATTGCCTCTAATATGCCTCATGGCGGAAGGAAGTTCGACATCTCCAACTACACCCGTCCTTTCACGGAGCCCAAGTTCCTTATCTTATTAGGTTTCTGTTACTTCCTTTACTGTAAGTTAAATGATTACCGATCATCTGCTGTTCTCGAAGAAATCGCATACTGACTGAGCGAAGGGGGCCTGTTTGTACCATTCAACTATCTTGTCATTTCTTCCGTGAAATATGGCATGTCGCTGAATATGGCTTTCAACCTGATCCCTATCATGAACGGTGCCAGCTTCATCGGTCGCACTGTCCCCAACGTCCTCGCCGACAAATACGGTCGCTTCAATGTCCTGATCATCATGGTCTTCTTCACTGGAGTCATCACACTGGCCCTGTGGCTGCCCGCCCACAGCAACGCCGCTCTCATCGCCTATGCTGCCATCTTCGGCATTACCTCCGGCACTTGCATCGGCTTGACACCGCCTCTGGTCATGACTATCTTTCCACCCCGAGAAGTAGGCTTCCGCATCGGCACGGCATTGGCGATTGCTGGAGTTGCGGCACTGACCAGCCCGCCAATCGCTGGTGCCATTGCCAGCAAGAGCGGAGGATCGTATGAGAACTCGACCATTTTCAGTGGTGTGAACTTTATGATTGCTACCGCTTTCTTGATCTGGCTGAGAGTCCAGGTTGCTGGATGGAAGCCAACGACTGTAGCTTGAGCATTTTGGGTGCTGAGCCAAGTTGAAGAGAAATTGTCATGATGCTTGTTGAGAGGGAATGTATTGGAAAGGACGCGGTCAGCACGTAGATGAGTTGCATAGATGTATCAATCAAGAAGTGGACAATTTTACTGAAGACCCTGATTTCGCGTCTGGTAAGATCTTGCTGTGTATAATGATCCGTTCTAGGTAACCCGAACAAGAATGTGTAGACGTATATGATGGCAAATCTTGTGAAGTGCAATCATGGACTTTGGAGACAGACGAAAGCTTGGATAGATTCTCCAGGCCACCAAATTCACAAGAAGAGTCGAACATTGAGATTTCTGCAACAATCACTTCCAGTGATTCAAGTTCTATGCGACTGTTAAGTTCGTTGGTTCGTACCTACCAATCATTGATTATGTCAGTGCAAAGTGTCGACCGATCAGAGATGTGCTTCTCAGTACAATTCGACCCTAGTGCCTGAGTCGAGCATTCTATCAACCCGCAACTATCATGTGTGACTTTCAGAGACCAACAGCCTCCGGGAGGTCCGAAGAGAGCGGCACGGCGATCCTATCAGGCCGGGGTGATCCGGGCTGTGTCGGCGCTCCTTCGCACCATCCTCTAAACCCGAAGGCCGGGGAACTGTGACTCGGATATATCTTTTTGCAATTCCTGTGTCCGTGACAACACTCATCAGTCCTTCGGACAATTCTACATGGTTCCATGTGGTGCAGTCAACGAGCCATGGGGCTCATAAGTAGACAGACTTGCAGGAGAGTTGTGATTGCAAGTGCTGGTCAACACCGATGAGCAGCATGTTCATCACTTCATTCTCCCCCCTGGCTCTTGGTTGCCTCAGGCCTCGTTCTGTACCTTCTTCATGCTCTTTGGCATTCAATCCAATACAACCGATTGAGAAAACTTCACGGATGCGGTCCCATCGCAGCGTATCCCCAATGGGATCGCATCTATGGCCTTGACCTTGCGTTGAGCCAACTCAAATCTCTCCGCAACAACACATTCATCCCATGGCTCGCAGCCATGCACGAGGGACAGCCTTCTACATTCACTGTGCGTTTCCTTGGAAAGCGCCAGATCTTCACCAGCGAAACGGAGAATCTCAAGTCCATGACTGCAATCAATTGGAAGGATTTTGGCATCAGTCCATTGCGTCGACACACAAAAGCCTTTCATCCTTTTGCAGACAAGGGTGTCAATACTGTGGACGGTGAAGATTGGGTTTTTGCTCGTCATCTTATCAAGCCGTTCTTCAACCGAGACATGTATACCAACACAGAGAGAATCAGACCTTTTGTGGACACGCTGTTTACCCTGCTTCCACCCGATGGAGAGACTTTCAACATTCAGCCATTGATGCAACGATGGGTAAGTAACCATGACTTCTCTTCCATTCCGCAGCTGGACCTGACCCTATTTGCANNGTTCCTCGATCTGACTACTGACTTTATCTTGGGCGAACCTATGGGCGCACTTACGCATCCCACCCGAGCCAAGATTACTTGGGCGATGCTTGATGTTCTTCGGGGCAGCAGGCAGCGTATGCAGCTAGTCCGCATCATCAAGTGGATCAACTGGGACTGGTGGCTCAAGGCCGTCCAAGAGGTGCACGACTTTGTTGACGTGCACATCAACGCAACCTATGCCGAAATCGCAGCTAGAAGAGAACTTGTGGCCAATAAGAAAAATGTAGGACCTGAACGAGAGGATCTCCTCTGGTACATGGCAAGCGAATGCCCGGACCATGAAGAACTACGCTCGCAACTCTCTCTGTTGCTGGTACCCAACAACGATACGACTTCAATCTTTATCAGCAACGCCATCTGGCATCTCTCTCGCCATCCCGACAAATGGGCAAAGTGCCGTGAAGAGGTCATCTCGGTCGTCGGCGAGGGCGACGGGGCAGAAGAGGGGCTTACCTTTGCTGCCCTCCGCGGTATGAAGTATCTCAACGCCTGTCTCGACGAAACCCTCCGTCTCAATCCAAACAACGTCACTCAAGTCCGCGTTTGTGTCAACGACACCACGCTTCCCCGTGGCGGCGGTTCGGACGGCCAACAACCCATCTTTATCCGCAAAGGCGACACCGTCCAAGTGACCAAGACAGTGCAGCAGCGCAACACAGAGTACTGGGGCGAAGACGCCGATGTGTACCGCCCCGAGCGCTTTGAAGGCCTCAAGCCTTTCTGGGAATTTGTGCCGTTTAGTGGTGGCCCGCGTCGTTGTCCTGCACAGATGATGGTGATGACCGAAGGTGCGTATATGGTTGCTCGTCTGCTTTTGCGGTACCGAAGAGTCGAGACTAGGGATTCGAACCCATACACTGCGCTCATGAGAATCGGGCCCAGCAACAAGACCGGTGTCTTGGTTGCATTTTACAAGTAGGACAATAGAGCGGTGGATGAGAGGCACATTATGTAGACCATGAGTAACGGCGTCTGTTTTCCCAATCTACCATCATACTGAATGCAAATACATTGGTGTTTCTCATCGGGTATGTGGATCGAACCTAGTAGTGCTCAAGTGGTTTTGAGACTGTACTATAATCAATGCTCAAACGGTTCCAAGGTCATGAACACAACGACATGTCGGCAATTTCGACGCGATGACGTTTGAGGTATACGACACACATTCTATGTGTAGCAAATCTTTGAGACCTGAAGTCTTGCGTTTTCTTCGACCATCCCATCGACCTCCAACCAGGGAGCAATCTCCGTAATAAGGCAATGCGTCCGAGAAATTATTGCAGAGATTGATCATTAGACCATTTTCTACTGCTCGAATGTATTTCTCGCCTGTTTGAGCCTACAATATCACAGCGCAGGCTCACGATATAACGGGTCTGGTCTCGCAGAATTCTATATCCACTTCTACAGTCAAACATGGTTATCCTCGAGACCAACAAATCTCTTCATCTCACTAATTCTCAATGAACCGCACATCCGGTACGCCACGCTTCGATTGCGCCTTGTCGTTTCCATCATGAATCAAAGTCTCCATTTGAAATCTCTCGACCACCGCAATTGTAGTCAGCTTGAACACCACATCCGCGGCATTCTTACCCAAACAGCGTCCAGATGCTGCACCGGTACCGAAGCGCATGAATCCGCAGCGCTGAGCTTGAGGAGACACTTCCAAGAATCTGTCAGGTCGGAATTGATCGCCATCTGAGCCCCAGGTCACCGATCCTTCGTTCAAACGCTGGTTGTCAATGATCACTGTAGTATTGGCTGGGATGGCGAAGCCACCGATTGTCTTGTCTTCTGCTGTTGTTTCCGGCATGGAAAACCCTGTGAATGTGGATCAGTGGGTCTGATCATCGTCAGGCATGGGTTTGGGGGAGGCTCACAGAAGGCGGGAGCTAGACGCATGCTCTCCATGGTCACACGATGCAGCAGAGTTTTCGAGTTGGTCAGGTATTTGGACATGTCAAAGTCTGCGTCAGACTTGCACTGTGTGATTTCGGCGCGGAGTTCGTCCTGGATCTTCGTGTTTTTGGCAAGGTTTCTGAAGGTTGTACTGAGTACAGATGCGCTGACGTCGACATTGGCGAAGAGAATCTCACCAAGGGTGGACAAGAACTGGGACAACTCTCTGTCAGCGATGTGTGCTTTTGGTAGACATGCGACGACAGAAGCTGTGTATACTTACCTCTTCTTCAGTCATGTCATCCGACTCGACAAAGCCACGCGCGGTAATTTCAAGTGGACATTCCCATTTGCCCTGAGGAATGGCCTTAGTACATCTAGTTTACAGTGCTCTTGGGATGGATGTTTCACGAACCTCACGCGCATTTCCAATGACCTCTCGATTCAAGTCTTTCCAACCATTCAGGAATCTATCGAGGAGTCTGCGGGTTGACGTCGGGAACTTGCTCCAGATCTTGGAGTCGTGCCCTTTGCAGGTCATCAATGCGTGCACCACATGATCATGTGATTCGCTCAACTCAAGCAGTTGCCAGTAAAGCTTGAGAATACAGTCAGCGGTGTCGTTGGCTATGGTGCAAGAATGATATATGCTCACTCGATCGTCAAAGGCATCCTGGTAGAGATGAACCGCAAGAAGACGAAGCACAAGGAATCTGAAAGACTCCCCGACGGCAACATCACTGACACCCTCCTTACTATCTTGAGCCAGCTCACGAATCCAGAGGCCAATCTCTCTTTGGAAGCGCGGGGTTCGCTGTGCCACGGCGTGAAAGGCAAAAGGAGGATCAAAGTGTTTGCGGATCTTGCGCCAATCCTCACCATAACGAAGTCCAACGGCCGTGCCCATGAATCTAGAGACACATTGTCAGTCACAATGTGCTGAAAAGACAAGCATCGATGTCCATCCCAATGATCCTACCTTCCGAAGAGTTCTCCGAAGTTGAAGTTTTGCGGTTTGCCATGACCTGGGATGTTGTGTGAGTAGACGACTCTCTGAGAACAACGTATCATGGGCCCTTACGTTTGTAATCGCCCTGGTAGAAATCATGGATCTGGTCCGGTTGACTGATCACCAACTCTTCGTATGGTCCGCAACGAATCACGTAAGGGTTGTCTCCTGCCAATTCGCGACCCTGATTCGATATCTCAGCACTGTTCGCGTCAGTTGATGTTTGAATGACAGTAGTCATTCTTACTGACCTGCGCAGCAACTTTAGTCGCAAGTCTTTGATCTCCAAAACCTTCATGGTCCTTCCCTTTGATCCGGTGATCTTTTTCTGGTGCCAAACGCCTACGGAACCAATGCACAACAGTAATAAGGCAAGTATCAGGCTCTCGGGTCGCAAGACCTGAGCTGAGAGTGCCTCTAAGAGCTCTTCTGCGACAGAAGACTGCATCGTGCTTACGGACTGTCGTGCGAGGTCTGATTTCGGCAAGGTTGGACAGCGTGGTCGAACTACAGTGACACCGTGGCTAGCTGCTATATCTTGAGCAGTATCCTAGGAGGCTGTGCGGCCAAGCGATCAATATACGTTGAATGCTTCGAGTGCCGAGACCATACAAAGTGTGGTGTGCGGTGATCGTGAATATCCCCGAGACCCCCGGGCCCCAAGCCCGGACACTATCTCCGGCCCGAAGACCGATAGGTGGCGGCACGGCGAACCAGCAATACCGAGTACCTGAACACGAGCAGTCTGTTGGGCGCTCCAGAATATCATGCCCATAGAATATTCAAAAGTTGGTCTGTATATTCTTGTCTCTTGAACCTTCCACACTAATCCACTCGTCAATCGCTCAGAAAATGGACTCTCAAGATAGCCGGGAGCATCTTCCTGATGGGCATATACTCATCGCAGGTGGCGGTCCTGTTGGACTTCTCCTCGCACTAGTGCTTGCCTATCATGGCCAGCCTAGCGTGCTTCTTGAACAGAATATGGAAGCAACCCGGTGAGCTGCATGTCATCATGCAAAATACATACTCGAGATCACTGATTCAAGATGTAGTTACCCAAAGATGCATCTGGTCATCGCTCGCAGCATGGAAATTTTCAAGCGTCTGGGCCTGGCAGAGGAACTGAGATCACTAGGTAAANNTTCTACACCCCTCCATATCAACTTGTACGCTCGCAGGATACCATACCTAACGGAGCCACAACTAGGCGTTTCTCAAGAGGAACCTTTCACGGTTCGTTTCTCGAGCGGTCTAAATTCCGAGCAAACCATCAGCTCGTGGGACCTCCCCAGTGCTGCCGATTTCCAGGAGAAAATCAAATCCCAAAACGATGGAACCATGCCGCGCGAAGCATGGCAACGCATTCCAAGTAACATTATGGAGCCGTGGCTTCGCAAAAAGTGTGACCAGAATGCTCTGATAGACATCCGATATGGGTGGAAAGTCCAGGAGATCTTGGAGCACAAAGACTCAGTCGATGTCACGGCATTTGTAACGGAGCTGAACCAGTCCAGGTCGCTGCGTTGTTCTTTTGCAGTCGGATGTGACGGTGCTTGGAGTCCCATAAGGAAAAGTCTGGGGATTGAAATGGAAGGAGGACCAATGTATGTTGAGCAGATCCTTCTGAAAGGGTCGATTGCGGCAATCTTGAAGGGTATGACTTGCTGACCTTGACTGCATAGGCATCGTGCCGTTGCACTTGTACATTTCAGGTCGAATGACTTAAAGAACCTCCATCGTCAGGGCAAATTCTGGCATACTTTCTTCCCTACAGACCCAACCACGCACAATGGTTCGGTCGGTGGCGCCATCATCGCCCAAGACGGGAAAGAGACATGGACCGTACACGACTATTTGGGCTCGGACTATAACCCGGACGAGGTCACTGCTGAAAAGACGATTGCCCGTGTACTTGGAGGTATGGGCAAACCATTCCCAATCGCAATTGATGAAGTGTTCGCAACGTCAATCTTCACGCCCACCGTCGCCCTTGCCAAATCATGGAGCGGACCTCATCGCCGCGTATTTCTTGCTGGAGACGCTTGCCATCAGACCATTCCCTCGGGTGGCTATGGCATGAACATGGGCTTGGCCGACGCATGGGATCTTGGGTGGAAGCTTGCGGCTACGTGTCAAGGCTGGGGTGGACGTCGCTTGCTAGACTCATACGAAGTCGAGCGACGACCCGTAGCAGCACTCATGCAACACTGGAGCAAGATCCATATGATGAAATTGATGGGACTCGCCAGCGCCGTCAAGCTAGATGCAAAGATCATCGACGTGCCTGATGAGCGCGGGGCATCGCTCCGACGCGAAATTGACGGGTATGTTCAGCTTCATGATGACCACAACCAAAGCTTTGGAGTCGAGATGGGACATCGCTACGAGTCAGACCTCAACTTTTATTCCACCCAGGAGGACTTCGATCACCCGCGCCCAGAATTCAACTCCCGAAACTACACTCCGAGCACATATCCTGGCTACCGAGCCCCTCATGTGTTCTTGTCGGATGGGAAGGCTCTCTGCGAGTATTTTGGCACAGGCTTCACTCTAATCGCCTTCGCGAACAACGACGCCGAAGTGGATGACGTCCAAAAAGTGTTTTCCAGCTTCGAGTGGGCAGCCAAGACCTGCGGGACACCTCTGCAAACGAGATGTCTGACCAACGAGATACACGCTTCGACTGTCTGGGGCTCATCCCTCGTGCTTATCCGTCCGGATGATTTTGTGGTTTGGCGAACAAACAGAATGAAGATTGACGTGGCGGGAGCCGCTCGGGTGTTGTCACATGTGACCGGACATGAGACTACAGAAGAATATTAGAGTAGAAGGATCTATAGATATGAGCTATGATCTGTAAGGAATCCTATGGTGGGACAGCAAGCCTTGGTTATCGCGTAGAGGGCAGTTTCTGAGCTCTGGGCTTCGAGCCATGACCAGCGCCATTCACATCGTGGACATTGGCCTCGATGATCGTGAAGTATGGTTTAGATCTACCCGGGACGATTCCGGTAATAGCGTACAGTCTCTAGGGCTTTACCTATCCTCCCTTAGAATGATGCGAACATGAACGTGGAAAGGTCCAAGGAAGGATTCGAGTTCTGCTAATGATTAGATCTTGTCTTTCGAATCTGACCCAGTCACATATGAAAGTGCTTACCATGGTCTCCAAGTCCATCAAGAATGCAGGATCGTTGAAATCAAAGTTGTTGAGCGGATCCTGCAGATCGATGGGCGTTGAAGCAGACTGCAACGCAGTGTAACATATCCTCAAGCTTTCTTGCGCAGCCCGAACGACTGCTGGCTGCACACCCTGACCAGTCTCCATAGCACGGATCTGGGATATCACACCTGCCAAGAAGATATAACGCTTCAAATGAGGATGACCTAATTTGATGATCTGCAGCAGCTGCTCCTTTAGATGCTCCAAGGTTCGCATGACAGGTTCGCGCTGTGCACGAGCCATCTCAGCAAGGGGATCCAAGATCAAATCGCCATCTGTGCCTGGTGCGAACGAGGTCCCGATGTTGGACTCCTCGATCTGGCGGATTACTTCTAGACCCAGGACAGTAATGACGTCCAATGTCAAGGCACCACGAAAGGTACCGGTACTCATGATCATCAAGCGAGATAGGTCATCAAGAACTCCCGAAGGTATGTTGATCAGAGCTGCATACGAGGCGATGATCATGGCTGACTCAAGGCATATCTTTCGAGAGAGATAGAAGCGAGGATCATTGCAAGCCTGCAACATGAAAGGTCGATGCAAGAGCAAGATATACCTTCGCAGTTGCATATCCAGGAACTTGTGATGCATACCTAGGAAGTTTGTCCAGTGTAGTCGACAATACTGCGCAATCTCTCTACAGATATCCTGGATCTTGGTGGATAATGCAATTGCCTGCTCGTATGATTGCTCACCACGAGCATTGTTGATCACTCTGGCAGCCTCTATACGAACAGGTAAAGACTTGCGCAACAATATCTGGATTGAGGCCTCGGTGAAGGTCCGTAGGGGTTGCTGCATGGGGGCCTCAGTTATGCCAGAGGAAAGATCGGCGTCCAATATGTTGAGAGGTATATGAGTGTCGAAGTCCGTAAGTGTGAGAAGAAGGGGTGTCGATGTATCTACTGACCCGTGAACAACGAGTTCTAGGATAGTCGTCCATAGTCTTTGACGCAAAGCAGATTGCAGGTGGTCAAGATTGAATAGGGCAGTATCACGATGCAAACCCATTATCATGGCCATCTTTAACAGGGAAGCTTCGGACAACCACAAAGAAGGCCCGAATGATGTGACTTGACGAGAAATTAGCAACAGGCAGAAATTCTGAATCCCTGCAAGATTCATTGTGCTTTTTGCTGATGGCCCCACGAGCCACCACTGTGCAGCATATACCCACTTCCGACTCATGAGATCTGTCGTACCATCACGATCAGCGTCAAAGACACTTCCGATGGCCATGAGAAGGCCCAGCTGAATCGTGAAGCTAAATGGCACGGCTGCAGGGTCTTTCCAGAACTCTTCGTATTCTTTCCAAAATGTTGGTATGTGAACAACGCGGTAGATCAGCTCGAAAGTCCGCAAGTAATGCTTGACCAGTCGATCGCAAGTGTCGCGAGGCGGAAAAGTGTTCATGATGTTGGGTACAGGATCGGCCAACATGGGTTCTTGATCTCTTTTGATCTTTTGACGCAGGTTTCGGCATTCGCGGACCATACCAACTAGCTCTGCTTTAGTGTCGACAAAATTCAGTTCCATCTCTGTTGCGTCAAAGTCACTAACATTGAACTGTGGGACGAGTCAGTTCAGCTTTTTTTTGTGCTTCGTCACGAATGGAAATGTTGCTCAGATGGCAAATTCAATGATACCTTTGCGGCAGTGTGTAGCCAATGACTCGAACCGAACAGCTTGACCTTCTCTATCGTGTTGCGCATCAACGGAGTCGTGGGTACAACTGACAGACCTTTTGCTTCCGGAAGTGTTGATGGTGCATTTTTGACGCCAGGCAACTCCTAGACGGCTCGGGCAGATNNTCGCAGGGGGCCCGTTCTTCGAGCTGATTGACTTCTCTATACTGTGCATACGACGCTCGGTGCTGAGCAAACGCTCCTCGAATGTCGCTGATGTTGCTGAAGAAATAGCCGGTCTTCGTACCTCAAGGACTTGTGGAATCTCTTGAGGTAATGGCTGCTGTTCAGGCACAGAAGCAATCGCAGGCTCAGAATTAGAGACCGAGCTAGAATACCTTGCAGGAGAACGATAGGTGCAATTCACGCGGCCGCGCGTTTGACGACACGCCGAACATGGCATCTCGAGATCACAGCGAACTTTGCGACGTCGACATGGTTCGCAAGATTGTGGAGGTCTCCTAGCTCTGCGCGTCCGTGGCGAAGAAGCCAGATCGGGGTTGGGCTGACCGAGTTCAGGCATGCCGTTACACAGCTAGCGAACGATCAAGATCGGGATGGTGGCGTTGCTCAAGTCCTATGCCTAGACATCCGGTCACAAGTAATTCTAGGTGTATCGAGTAGTACCACTTCGGATGCAGAAATCCTCTGATTGCAAGATTGTCGCGTCGTCGTGTAATCTTGTCTTGGCACTCTTCGATCGCCGACCTGCACCGAGCTGCCGGCCGGAGATGATCAAAATTCTCCGAGGCAGCTTCCTACGTCCGGATTCACATCACAATATCTTCGGCATGATTTGTAGACGACTAACATAAGACAGACTGGCCATAATGTCCTTCTCTCCGGAGGTCCAGATTCCTCGTGGTCCTTGAAATTCGTCCTTGTTGTTTACCTCGTTCTCCCTCCACTGTGAGCCATCATGTGTGCAGCATCGAGGACCCACCGTCCATCTATCCTCTGCCTGCACGGTGGTGGTACATCAGGGGAGATATTCGACTGTCAGAGCATCAGGGTTCAACGCGCTCTACAGGATCATTTCAATTTTATGTTTATCGATGGTCCATATGCCAGTCCGCCAGGGCCTGGTGTGCTTCCGGTCTTTGCCGACTGTGGCCCTTACTACGCATGGGAGCCATCAGGCACGAAACTAGGCGACACACTACCAGATGAGACCATCGCCCGTCTTATAGAGACATTTCAGACATGCGCAGCCGCTGGAAACCAAATCGTTGGAGTGATGGGTTTCTCGCAGGGTGCTCGAGTTGCTACTGGTCTTCTCTCATGGCGAGGACACGAATACTTTTCGTCACTGAGATTTGGAATCTTGTTCAACGGGTCTTATCCTGCAATNGTTACCATGTCTAGGGTCCTGTCCGCTGGACAGAATATCAACCCCACGATCCACATTCATGGTCTTCTTGATCAGTTTCTCGCTCAAAGTCGGATGTTACTCGACCGCCACTTCTCTCGCTCGCACGCTATGTTGTTGGAACAGAGGATAGGACACCAGGTCATCAACAAAGAACCCAGCATCAAATTGTTGGCGGATGCCATCATTAATATGTGGGACGCAGGGTTCAAAGGCACCACTATGAGCACGTACCCAGCAGATCTTCATGCTGACGCTCTTCTCTTTGTGACTTCCTAGTCTCGATCTGAGGTTCACTACCGCTGAAGAGAAAAGTCTATGATACATTTATCATTATAATAAGGAAATATGTAATGATTGCCGCATTGTAATTGTAACTGCGTTGCTGCTCTGGACAGATACTGAGTATCTTCGCAGTAGAGATGTTCTTCCTATGATATTGCGAGCCGAAAGCAATATTTCGAGAGCTGCAGAAGTATCTTCAACGTCTGGAATGGTTTGGAGAAAGATGGTGTTGCTTGGCTTTAGTTCTGTTCGCCTGTCGAAGGCTTAGAGTCTCTGTCGGATTTTGTGTCAGTACAACCAATCGTACAAAAACAAAGGCTCACAAAGACTCACTGGAAAAACTTTTTGCGACAAAGTAGGTCAACGAGCCGAGTAGAACAATCTTGAGCAGGCCCATGCCCTTTCCAGGACCACTTCTGTACCTTGCCCAGTGCATGGATGGTTCTTGAGGGAAAGGATAACGAGGATAAGGATAACTGCGGAAAGCAGCGCGACAACGTGAGTTGGAGGGAAGCATGATGTATGATGTGGAATAGAGACGAAGATTTTATTCTGATGCCCTTCGAGAACTGAGGAATGGGCGCATTATATCTCGGACGCATAAATCTCGCGTTCGGGTACGTACCCGAGACTCGCTCGGTGAATCCTTCTCGGTGCTCGGGGAATTCGTATCATAAGGCTGCCAAAGCTCGGTTTTACCGACAAGCACGGAGAAGCCCCATTGAGATGCCTGGAAGATGCGACATGCGTCATGAAGCGCGATCATCAGGAACAGAGGTGAGAGACACTTGGCCACTTGAAGACACCGTACGTCTTTTGATGCGAGGCATGTGCTCAACTATCTTTGCCTTGTTGAAGATCATTCACCTTGTCCTTGAACATTCCTATCTGCGTAGTTCGATGGAGCCAATTTCTGCACCGATTTGCCGACTTGTCTTGACTGAAGAAGAACAGAAAACTGGTCAAGCTCTCGTAAATCAAGAAACACTATTGTGATGGACTTGCGTATTTGGCAGCCTTGGAAGAATCAGGCCCGGGTCATGCAGCAAACAACACTTCGGCTTTCTCTCCATAGGTAGCCAGAAGTCTCCGACAGCGGCCCCGCATCATTGCAACCTCACCCCACTTCCTCCAGGCGGAGAGAATACGCCTCCCAACCTCCGCACCTCCATTCTCGTATGAGTCGCGTTCGTCGCACTATACCGCTACGCCTAATGCCTGTTACACCGCATTGACGGGTCTTGTCACGGACCAACAGGGCAGTCGTCTATAGCTCACAATTGATCATGGCTACTCGAACAGAATGACCATAAAAGCCATGACTTTCTCATCAATGGCATCATGGCACACCTTCCGACGGCTTGCAGTGATCTAAGCCACTTCATTGAAGATCGTCACCGCTATACCTGTATACCCCGGGAAACCTAGCCCCGCCAAGATGTGGATGTCTTCTTGGTATGGGTCTTCTAATCACGTTTGCCATCTGCCGGCAACGAGTATTTAGCATGCTTGTCGCCCGCCGTTCGAAGCTTAGATTTATCGTCTTCAATACTCAGGATGAAGTTAGGATCTTCCGTCAACGCCTTGTTGGCATTGGCAAGCCCTGCTGCGGCATATCAAGCCTGGAGCTATACCAATGTGTCTGATCCTTATTACGGACAGAGCCCGCCTGTCTATCCTTCACGTACGGTCCATCATACCCTACATCCTATACGCCATCTACTGATAATTCCATANGCTGCCGGTAATGGGTCAAGCAGTACCCAATGGGCCAATGCATACGCCCAAGCACGCAATCTGCTTTCCCAAATGACTCTTGAGGAGAAGGTAAACGTCACCCGTGGTTTCACTGGAACCTGCGTCGGCAACACTGGCGCCGTCCCTCGCCTGGGTATCGAGCCAATGTGCCTTTCGGATGCGCCTGATGGTATTCGTGGTCAAGAGTTTGTCAGTGCTTTCCCTGCTGGCATTCACGTCGCTGCCACTTTCGACAAAGACCTCATGTATGCTTATGGTCGTGCTCTGGGCGAGGAGTACCGTGGTAAAGGCATCAACATTGCTCTTGGACCGGTTGCTGGACCACTTGGGAGAGTTGCGAGAGGCGGCCGGAACTGGGAGGGCCTATCTGCTGATCCTCACCTTGCTGGTGCCGGCATGGGAGCTATCACGAGAGGTATCCAAGATGTTGGTGTCATCGCTACTGCAAAGGTATGAGCGCACGTGACTGATGCGAGCTCCCTAACTGACACTACACCANNGCACTGGCTCCTCAACGAAGAGGAGTTTCGCCGCATGCCTGCGATTGGACAGGGCGAGTGTAGGTTTCCCAGCGAGAACCAATACTGTATCTAGATGCTAACATGTAATNNAGCCATGTCATCTAACACTGATGACAAACCTCTTCATGAACTCTACGCCTATCCTTTCATGAATGCTTTGAAGGAGAATGTCGGCGCTGTAATGTGCAGCTACCAACGCGCCAACAACTCGTACGGATGCCAGAATTCCAAGCTTCTCAACGGCATCCTCAAGACTGAATTCGGCTTCCAAGGGATGGTCATGTCCGACTGGGAAGCTCAGCACTCGGGTGTTGCCTCTGCAAATGCTGGACTTGATCTTGTCATGCCTGACGGTGGTTTCTGGGGTGGTAACCTCACTCAAGCAGTCAACAATGGCTCTGTCTCTATTGACAGATTGAACGACATGGTCACTCGTCAACTGGCGGCTTTCTTCTATGTTGGCCAGGGTGAAGGCTTTCCCGCTGCAGCCGTGCACAGTAATCTCCAGATCCAGGAACCTGTTGACGTACAGGATGATCACTCTGATCTGATTCGAGAAATTGGTGCTGCTGGAACTGTCCTTGTCAAAAACGTCAATCACACTCTACCGCTCAGGAACCCTCGTTTCTTGTCAATCTATGGATACGATGCAACCATCAAGGCAGACCCCTGGCAAAACCCAAGCAGATATGGTGGTGGATACGAGGTCAATTTTGGTTGGAACACCTTTAATGGTACCATGATCACTGGTGGAGGATCTGGTGGCAGTACACCTCCCTATGTCATCTCGCCCTTCCAAGCCATCCAAGAACGTATCGCCAAAAACAAAGGGACGCTTCGCTGGGACTTCCACTCCGAGAACCCCTACCCGCCTTATCTTAACTCCGAGGCTTGCTTAGTCTTTGTCAACGCATATGCGTCTGAAAGCTTCGATCGCACAACATTGGCAGACGAGTTCAGTGACAACTTGATCAAGAATGTCGCGGCCAATTGCTCGAATACCGTTGTCGTGATACACAGTGCTGGCATCCGAGTTGTCGATGAATGGATTGATCATCAGAACATCACCGCGGTGCTCTTCGCAGGCCTTCCCGGCCAAGAATCAGGACACTCTTTGACAGACATTCTCTATGGTGATGTCTCGCCTTCTGGCCGTCTTCCCTACACTGTTGCCAAGAAAGAAGAAGACTATGGTGACCTCCTAAACTCGACCATCTCATTCGACCCTTATCCCCAATCAAACTTTTCGGAAGGCGTATACATCGATTACCGCCATTTCGACCACTACAATATCACTCCGCGCTTCGAGTTCGGCTTTGGCTTGTCTTACACTACTTTCAACTACAGCAAGTTGCAAACAGCTAGACTTGCCGATGGAAATCTGTCGCCTTATCCCGACGCAAATGTCGCAATCGTCTCCGGCGGGCATCCCCAACTCTGGGATGAGATCTTCTCTGTTTCCTTTGAGGTCGTGAATACTGGCAATGTGTCTGCCCATGAGGTCCCTCAGGTCTATGTGGGTATTCCTGATGCGCCGAAAAAGCAGCTCAGAGGCTTTGAGCGAGTCCTTCTGCAGCCTGGACAAAATAAAAGAATCAACATTCCACTGACGAGAAGAGATCTAAGTGTCTGGGATGTCGTGGCTCAGCAGTGGAAATTGCAGTCTGGGCAGTATGGGCTTTGGGTGGGTGCGAGCAGTAGAGATTTCAGGTTGGTGGGAGGACTTATTGTTTGATCATAGACAGAGGTACGTAACCTTTAAAAGGCTCATCACAATTGATTAGGAATTGCCGTGTTGTACCGCGGCTCCCTCGTTTACTTCTCTCTCGACCGCCTCTCGGCATATCATCGTGCTGCAACATTTCATCCATTCGGACCTCATTATCGTTCATAATGTCGTCTATCTACATATAGACACCGAGCGACCAATGGATTTGTCCTGGTGAGAGCGGAGACTGACATGCGTCGTTGATTACTTGTCCCAGTCGAACCCTCTCCGTCGCCATCTTCCATCACCCAGCTTTTGACCATCATCGTGGCTGTGACTGTCGACATGGAGCAATAAAAGAAACATGTCAAAACGACCTTTTGTCCTGCTTACAAAGAGTGCCTTTGGTGCAGACTACCCACAAACAGGATCAGAAGAATTTGGTCTCCAGATACGCATACTGTTGCTGACATTTCCGTGCGAGATTAGCTATCCAGGCTTGTGAATTCGATAGTCAGTTTCAACAAGGCACTCAGAGATATCCTTGTAAGAGTTGATCTGGAAATTGGAGAGGTTGTCCAACACTTCATGTTTTGATTACACAACCTGACATCTGACTAATCCTCGTTATCGTCTTCATGCATTGTTGGAAGAAATTGATACTCTCAGACTCTCTGAAGCGTCGGCACTACAAGGATTCTGGGAACTGGCTTGGTTCAATGGAGCGGGGGAATCAATGTAGAGGGCTTTGCCTTCATTGCAGGACAATACTGAAGAGTTACAAGATTAAATGTGTAGCGAAAATTATGATATAGCTGAGCCCAGGATGAATGGAAGTCTCATCTTCATGAGCATCCCATACTGTGGGTAGTACCCAAGAACAAAAATGCAAAACCTTGATGGAATAGTCAGTGTCGGTCAGTGAGACCCGGTAATAAATCTTTTACCAAGCCCCTAGAATCTCAGGTCCCAGCCAGCGACAGCAACACCAAAAAAGCAAATGCGAGATCTAGTTGCGTATATTTGGTATTGTCCGGGTGAGAGCTTGAAATCAATACTTACAAGACTCTGGAAACCCCTTTGTCCCAAAGCAAGCAATACCGAAAGTAGATGTAATCATAACCGATTGAATTGTCTTCCAGCGTAATAAGAACCTCGTCAACGAACTTGTAACGACCTGTTTCTCGTCAACGAACTTGTAACGACCTTCATCATCTCCAACTCCATCGTTCAGCCCCCACCTCATCGGCGCCAGGCATGCGATATCTCGACACGCGCAAATGCTAATGCGACAACGAGAGAGACATCCACGCCTGCAGCGACTTCAAGCTTCCAAGCCGTGCGATCCAACCNCCGTTTATGCAAAAATGAAGCATCGTTATTATCTGTCAGAGTCATTTCTGCAATAAGCGTCCCATCCACTTGGAAAGCTGTTCTACTGCCAGTTTGGTCAAAGGATCGCATCTCGATTGCTACATTGCCGAGTTGTACGTTCACAGCAGTGAACCCACTTCCACTAGTGACATCTTTGATCTTTGCGATTTCGTTGCCGGTAATGTCTTCGAGGGTCCAGGATTTGTAGCTCAGTGCCGTGTGACGAAGGTCCAGGATGTGGTCGCCTGAAGTGCTGTCGACGAGACTGCGGCGTAGTGTCCATGATGTACCGAGACCTTTGGCAGTGAAATCGAACAGTTTGTCACCGTGTTCGTCGCAGACGACGGCGTCGCGGAAGTGGCGGTCGTGGCAGCGGAGGCCGAGTGTAGTGGGTTTTGCTGCGGTGTATTTGGTGTCGAGGGAAATGGGGGTGGGTGCGGATTGGAGGTTGGTTGACATCATTGTGGAATTGTTTCTTGCTGATGGTTATGTGAGAGTGCAGGTCGGGTAGTTGAGTAGTTGAGGACGTAATAGGTGCTATTTAGGGTGTTGAGAGTGATGAGTGGACTCTAATGACAGATACTGAGATTGCATACAATGAGTGTTCTCTACCGAATCGCAATTGTTATACCTGTCCTTGAATCCTTCGATGGACGATCGGTCTTGGCTTCATCTATCGCCTCTTGGATCTCACGTGCGCAGTGCGGTGACCGTGCTATCGGGATCACCTGAGCTATGACATTGCTACCTACTTGTGATCATGAAGACGACGTCTGATCTGATTGAACCACAACCATGTTGTGGTAATGTCCGGATCAAAGGTTGCAGAAGGTTGCGACGAGGACACATCCGCGGATCAACCTCGGGTGATCGCTGAGAAAGTCTGATCTCGACCTCATCTCTGTCCGTCCACATTGCACTATCCTAGCATTCCACAAAATGACATGCCTGGCTGATACTGCCAGTTCCAGACAATGTGATATTGAGATATCCATCTGGCTCAACTTTGTCTACACTCTGGCAACGCAAAGGAGAATTTTCCATTACCAGCAGCACGATCGCGAAACAGCTCATGCCTGGATCTCTACGTCCTTACTCTGCTCGTAAAATGGATAATCCAAATACCCTTCCTTTTGCATAGGAGCATAAAACGTACTCCTGTCATACTTGTTCAATCCCAATCCCTTCTCGATCCTCTTCGGTAGATCCGGGTTGGCGATGAAGTGACGTCCAAACACAACAGCAGTATCGTGCTCCTTATACTCTTCATCAACCGCAACTTTCGCCGATTGAGGAGAAAAGCCACCGGCAACCAAAACAGGAGACACGTTATCCCAAATCTCTAGCAACGGCTCAATACCCTCAGTCTTTTCGCAATCAACACTGTTGATGACGCGCGACTCGATGATGTGCAAGTAAGCCAGTTTCTGCTTCTTGAGCTCGGTGACCAAGTGCGAGAACTGAGGGAGAGGATNCTTCATCTTCATGCCTTGGAAAGTGCTAAAGGGACTGATGCGGAAACCGACACGATCAGCACCGATAGCATCAACACAAGCTTGAGAAACTTCAAGGGCAAATCGAGAGCGGTTTTGGATGTTGCCGCCGTAAGAGTCGGTGCGGCGGTTGCAGGTATCTTGGGTGAATTGATCGATGAGGTAGCCGTTTGCGCCGTGCAGTTCTATGCCGTCGAAGCCTGCTTTGATTGCGTTTGTGCTTGCTTGGGCAAAGGTGTCTGCTGCTTNTTTGATTTCTTGCTCGGTCATGGCGTGAGGGAGGGAGTCTGGTCCTTCGGTGAATGGCGTTTCGCTAGAGCTGAGAAGAGGGAAATCTCCTTCTTCCTTCAAGAGAGTGGTGTCTGCGACTCTACCGACCGAAACCAGTTGAGCATAGATGAACCCGCCTCTGGCATGAACTGCATCAGTGATTTCATTCCATCGCTGGATCTGGGCTTCTGTGTATATTCCTGGTGCGTTTCTGAAGCCACCATGTTCAGGAGAGATCAGGACTGCTTCGGCGATGATAAGACCCCCTGCTGATGCCCTTTGCGAGTAGTATTCCACAGCAATAGGCAATTGGACGTGGTCCTTGTCGGCACGAAGTCGGGTAAGAGGTGCCATGACCACACGGTGCTGAAGCTGCACCGTGCCCAGCTCAAGCGGCTCGAAAAGTTTCGTCTCGGCCATTTTTTTCTTCCTCGAATAGTGACGTTGTTGGTTGTGGAAGAGTCTTGGAGTTTGTCAAGAGTCAAGAAAAGATGAGAGAAAAGGGCAGCGGTGCTCAGTCGGCTTATCAATCATTACTGTGGTCTATGCCATCGACTCTCCTGATTCATGAGGGTGGTTGATTAATGCTCTTGTCTGATCGTATGCGCTGTCGGCAATTATTCTCCCGACGTACGAACATGTTCGCGTCGGCAATTTTTTTCCGACCTTGCTTGAGTACATTTGCTCCAGTGATCTTCCAGTGAAGACCGAGTGTTTGCATTTTGCTCTTGTGAGAATCTTCTGCCAAGGATACGGAGAACAAGAGGTACAGCAGGAACGGCCCTCCAGAACTCTGCATCGCTTCTGATATTCAACGGGTTGCGCTCGAAGACTCGACGTATCCGACCCTTGGTCGCTCGACCTCCTTGTAGTTGGTACGAGACTGTCCAGTATCGACGCCGAAATGCTCCCAATGGCCGCAGTCATGGGCCATCACAAGCTAAAATCTCGAGAGATGTTCAATCGTCTCCGTGAGAGACATCGATTGTGTGGAAACTGACGACCAGGCTCAGTGAAGGGACGCCCGACATGCTGCACGACTGTTATAAAGAGAGTTCGTGTGTGCAGAAAAGCAGACGTGTAGCGCCCGGCCTTGATTGCACATTAATCGTGTTTCGGAGCTCGATGCATCGTAACTCGGTATATCTTGTGATCTATTCACGCATGCGTGTGCCTATGTGCCTACGACCATCAATCGAGTCGACAAAGCACCGATAAGATCAAGACGTTTGACCGATAGCTGGCCGAGGTATGTAGGACCCGTCCATCCATGTCTCATCATTCAATTCAGCGAAAACATCTATAACCTCCAGGTCTGCGAAAGATAGAGTCAGTGATGGGGAAATGTGCATTGAGAAACAAAGTCGCGTCGTTGCAACTGTTTGTCGCGTTTACTCTAACGGTCCGACGGTCGTCATCCGAGTGCATGACTCGCGATTGCTGCAAGGACGACCCTGTTCTCGAGATTTCGGCTTAGGGAAGAAAAGTCGACGGCATTGATTTGGTAGAGCTTAAAGTGATTCTTCGTTCACCAAGATCTCGATCTCATATTGCTAGAGTCTAGAGTCTAGAGTCTAGTGATATGGATAAAATGAGTCAGTTATAAGGGGCGGAACGTGTAATGTCGACATTGGGCATTGAGCACTCTAAGCTTGATGGGGTTTGATTTGCGTTGCACAGTGCATTGGTCTAGAGGAGACAAACAGCTAAGCAGTTCTCATCTACAGAGGTCGCTATCCCAGCCATCAACGTACTGGAGTTCCATCATACAGCATCCAAGAATGGAATCACTTCTCAGTTCGTGATACCAGTAGAACTCGGCCCTCAAGCTTGACCCCTAGATCAACTCCACCTACGTACCGCATCACTATATCAAAACTCCATGACACAATCACGACAACTCGATACTTGACCGCTATTACTGCAAGAGTGGAGCGAGAGTGGCAGAAGACGCGTACCTCTCCTTACGCCATCCATGATCGCTATATCTCGACTGCCGAGATGGTCTGACGGTTGCTCCGATCTCGTCTATGCGCATTGCGCAGAACCTTGTCGACCATCCATCAATCGCGCACGGCGTACGCCAAGCTCGTTAACAAGAGCAAGGAAACAAAGTGTGATGTGGTCTTCTTGCGCATATACTCCACGAAAGAAGCCAAGTTCTCGCGTAGAGCCGAGTAGCAAAGAGACACCGATAGAATCTTGCGCGTCAAGTGGTTGTCACATAGCACGCCATGTATTTCGCAAGCAGCGTGGATGAACAGTCGTTTAGGAGCAGAGGTCCAGCCTTGCCAGAGTACTCACCTTGAGACGTGGAGCCAGTACAAAAGAGCTCGAGCAAGCCTTTAGAAGCCAAGGCATGCTGTCTTCTCGAAACCCGTCCGTACTCGACCGACCCGGGCCGGACAGACAGCGGAGGACGTTGCGAATGATGGCCGGCCCGCAACCACGACGAAACATACCAGAAGAGCGAAGCAGAGTTCAAGCCATGCACACAAAACGATCATAGAGATGGGGATTGCTCGTTTCAGCGATCCACATGAGACGAACAGCAGGCCCATGGGTCGAGTCTTTGATGCAAGATTCGACCTTGCACCCCTCCTTGACTGCACGCGTTCAAGACACGACGCGAACACGCTTTGGCTGCAGAAGGTACTGTTGGTGGGTGTTCGCATCTGAGCGTGAGCCGAAAAGGGTTCCTCGCGGCGGAATAGGCGACTTCCCAAGGACATGATGCCTCTATGCAGGATAAAGAGCTGTCAAGAGTTTCATGTCGGCCGTATGCTTTAAAGAGGTGGAAAGGGTAAGAGCAGAGGACGGGCTGGCCCTTGAATATCGAGCGATTCATGTGAATTGAGTTTTTAGAGATTCAACATGCCTGTTGGAAAGGATGGAGAGTCGAAATAGAAACCGCAATTACGGTAGCGACTGCATTGAATTGTTCATTCAGTGTTAAATCTTGGTCGACCCGATCTAATCTCAGCGACTATGAGATCGATCGCACAAGACGCTATTGAAGACCAGTGTCGTCATGTGAATTAAAGAGACACGAAGAGGCATTCAACCAGCCAGCCATATACGAGCAATGAACATGCGAGGATAGGAGAACAAAGGCAAATCAGTGGTGGTGGTCGGGAAATATCGCAGCGCATTGGGGCATGCAGTCNAGCGGCGAAGTGGCAGCCGGGGTGATCGACGTGTTTCCAATTAATCTCAAACAGGGCCAGCTGAACGCCCACCTCTCTCGATGGCTTGAAATTACGCGCTCCAAGCGTCTNGATGTGCGGATCGACTTGCGCAAACCTCGCGCACTTTTGGCTTCTGAGGATNNTTCCATGGCCAGCAAATCCTGGATGCTTTCGGAAAAGAGAAGCAATCGACGTGAAGATGTGCGCAGNGGGTTGACAAATGGCAGACGCGTCGCACAAGACGGCAGTCGAAGGAAGAGAGGGTGCTCGTGCAACAAGTGTTGGTGGAAAAGGTCACGACTCCAGACTCCACAAAAGTCTGGCCCAGGTACAGTATGCTAGCTATCATCCNNATGGCGAGGTACATACAGGCGTGCTGCGCCACGATGTGGGTGATTGCAAAGTCACGATTGACATTCGGGCGCTTACGAAAAGCTCCGAGATTGATGACATTATTAGCCAGTCAGTACGCTGCATGGTGGAATGGTGGTTTGATGATGGATTGGAAGCGTGCACGGCGCTTGGACTGATGGAGGACGGACATGCGGACTCGGGAAGCGGAAGAGAAAGAAGCATCGCAGAAGAAGCAAAAAGGAGCGGTGACGGCGATCGGGAAATGAGATGGGTCTCAGCTGGACAGGCTAAGTGCAGGAAAAGGGAGCATTTCCTTTGCCATTTCACGTCGTGGAGCGGCAGTGACCAGAGTGGTCTGCGGCAGTGTGATGAGGTGTGGGAAGAGGGTGTTATTCTTGGAGATGTTGTCGGCTGGCGGCTCATGCCTTGTGGATTTCAAGGTTGCAAACAAAAAGGTGAGGCAGCGTGCAGTGGGCCGTTTTGGTCGGCGGGTGTTTCAGATGGAGAGCGTTGTGTGCATCAGCCGCCAGCAGTGTGCAGTCGTTCCGCCATATTCATGCAGGTACCAACGCAGGTGCTATGATTGTCTACTACTGAACAAGAAGCTGCACGATGATAGAGGATGACAGAGGATGGCAGTAGACAACAGGAAGAAGCAAAATGAAGCGGTGGTTGGCAACGCGGGCACCTTCTCGAAAAGACAGTAAATTATCGAATCAACGGCTAGAGATTGGGGTGGCTTTAGTGCGCGAGCGAAAGCGGTAGGCACTCGACTAAGCGTGCCTTTTTCCAGGATGCATCGTCGTAGCTTGCTATACCCAAACTGGAGACGAATACTCGAGTAGCGGACAGAAGTGGAAGAGAGGAAAGCAGGTGTCGGCGTGGCCGCGGACCATCTCTCGATGCGGATTGGTAGCATCCTATGTGGTGATATCCAGAGCCAAAGGTTCGAGGCTAGAGGGCTGGGGGCGTTGGGCTAGAGAGTCTCAAACAGGGCACGGGCGGGCTTGGCGGGTTTCGAGTCTTTGCTGCACCTGTTTCATGAGCCTCATCAACCTCTTCCCTCTCGTGCCCTCAGCCCTCTGTCATTCTCAAACACTCCCATCAATACCCAGCTCTCTCTCTGCGACACTTCGTCCAGTTGCGCCTTCCCTCTCTCGCACCTGCCGTACTGCATCTGACTGCACCTGCTGCATCTGCGCTCCTTCCCTCGCACAGCACAACGGCATACCACGTTATCGCAGGCCGGCCCTCGATACTGACCGTCGCAGTCCTAGTCCCATACTCATACCCATACCCCTCCCACACTCGCTTTGCCCACGCCAAAACCCTAGTCTCTGTCTCTTGCGCATCTTTAACACGTCCCCCCCTTACTCTAATACCCTGATCTCCATTGCAATGTACTCGACACAACACGGCGCCATGGCTGGCCCTCCTCAGGGTCGTTCGGTAGCTCCAGAGACGTTCCTCCTCGACCAGGACGCCCAACAGAGCTTGCCGCAAGACTCGATAGTCGCCCTGCAGCAAGTCGACAACCGTACGTGTCGCATCTCTCCCTTCTCTTCCATCACCTCCACCTCCAATGGCCGATACTGACACGGACCCNNAGTCAAGTACTTTTTGATCTCGGCGCCCGTCGACTGGTCTCCGGATCAGTACATCAGACGCTTCCTGCTACCCACGGGCGAATACGTCTCTTGTGTGCTATGGTACGTGCTTGTTCGCTGACCGACGAAGCCCAACTCATCCCAGTCCAGGAGCAACCTCTTCCACATCTCTGGTACCGATATTGTACGATGCCTGTCATTCCGCTTCCAGGCTTTCGGCCGTCCGGTCAAGAACTCGAAGAAGTTTGAAGAGGGCATCTTCTCGGACCTGCGAAACCTCAAGTCTGGCACTGACGCTTCGCTGGAAGAGCCCAAGAGCCCCTTCCTCGACTTTCTGTACAAGAACAACTGCATCCGCACCCAGAAGAAGCAAAAGGTCTTTTACTGGTACAGCGTGCCACACGACCGTCTGTTCCTCGATGCGCTGGAACGCGACCTCAAGCGCGAAAAGATGGGCCAGGAGGCCACCACCGTCGCCGTCAGCGAGCCCGCCCTTTCCTTCGAGTTTGACTCGAGCCAGTCGCTGTTCGAGCAGCTCACCAAGGCCCAGCAAACCAACAGCTCCACCTTCGCAAACAACGTCGCAGCAACGTCTGGCCCCATGGCAGCACACACGCTCGTGTCAGCAGCAGGCACGCCCGCGCCCATGGGACCTCCAGCAACGACAGCCGAGTCGATGGGACCACCAGTGGGGGCTATGATGCAGCCAACAAGTATGCCCCTAACGATGCCCTCGGAGGAAATGTTGACGCAGATGCCAACGTACCAGCAGATGGCCATGCAAGCGCCCTTGGCAGCCCAGGTGCACAAGACGCGTGAACAGAGCTGCGGGCCCATCATGCACTACGAACGCGCCATGAACGCCGCCGCCCGCCACAGCAGCATGCCCGCCTACATGGAATACTCGCCCGCGCCGTCGTTTGTCTCGTCGCACTTTGAGGACTACAGCCAGCGCGGCCTCAGCTACGAGCCCATCACACCGCCCCAGCACCAGATGCAGCAGCAGCAGCCCCACCACGAGCCTGCCTATATCGCCAACGAGGAGACGGGCCTCTACGCCGCCATGCCCGACCCGGGAATGTCGCAGTACTACAACCCCTTGATGCCCGTTGCCCAGCCCATGGCCGCTCCCCAATATCCTTCGATGATGCGCCCTCTGAACCACTTCCCCTCGGCGCTCGAGGGCTCGCCCACGTACAAGCAGCGCAGACGTCGCTCCTCTTTGACCCAGCAACCGCCCAACTCGACTCCTCAGAGCGTCACGTCGCACGCCGTCCACCGTCCCAGCGATCTGCGCCACTCGTCTGTCCCTGTCCACGATGTCGACCCCGTCTACCACGACTCGCCGAGAGGAGCGACCCCCGTGCGCCAGCAGAAGGACTACTCGCGCCATGCCACTCCCGTTGACGACTCGATGCCCATGGGCCAGGACGAGTACGCACAAGCATACCCTGGAGACCAGTACCGCCCTGTCAACTACGCCCAGGCTGCCGTCATGCGCACTCCCAACGGTGTCTTCCGTCGCGCCCGCAGCGCCACCGTCCAGGATATGAACAACCCTTACCCCTCCAAATCCCACTCGTGCCCGATCCCCATGTGCGGCAGGGTTTTCAAGAGGTTAGAGCACTTGAAGCGGTGAGTCCTACTTGCTGGGTCTGAACCTTCCCATACTAATTCGACCNNCAGACACGTCCGTACTCATACCTCTGAACGCCCCTACGTTTGCCCACTCTGCAATAAGGCCTTCTCCCGCTCCGACAACCTCGCACAGCACCGTCGCACCCACGACGCAAACCCCGATGGCACCACCTTCCCCGAAGAAGACTTGGAAGAGCCCGAAGAGGGCATTGACCTCTCCGAAGGCGACGTCAATGACTCGTACATCCCCATGCCTGGCATGCCGTCTGAAATGCACGGCGACATGGGCCCTCCTCCNCCACACATGCATATGAGCCATATCTCGCGCGACCACATGGACCCTCATCACATGGATCCTCACCATATGGAGCCCCACCACATGCAACATCCCATGCCTCAGGGTATCGTCTCGACCGGCGCCGAGTACCAATGAGAAAAGAAAAGAACAACAGATCCAGAACGACACGCATTACACCTTTTCACGCGTCTCTTTTGTTTCCGGGCATGGGTTCTCTGCTTTCTTTCTTTTTGCTTCAGTCTTACACTACTCCATCTGGACATACAGGAACAGGGGTTTTGGAGTTGTGTGTTTTTGGTCCGCTGTCGATGCATCACTTCGTGTCGCAGCTAGGAGGCGCTAAAGAGCTTGTGTCTTTGTCGGCACATTTTTGCTTTTGTTTTCATCTTCTGTTTTTACATGTCTGCGTTTTGCATTTTGCTCGATTTTGCGCAGTCTCTGATCAGAGCGCGCCATTTGTTTCTGCTGTTTTACGTTGAGCTACACTTGAGCGAGAAGAAGAGAGGAGTCATCAAAAAGAGAGAGAGAGAGAGAGGACCTTTGTATAAGAGAACCACCCACATATTCCATTAATATCTACAGAGAGCGTAAACAGAGAGGAAAAAGACCACGACAAAAAAAAAGAAAAAACATCCAAGACTCGAATCGAACTCTTCGCATCAACAAAAAGGCTGCTGCGCGGCCTTGTTTTTGCATGCTCACATTCGAGGGGGAAAAAAAGATGTTTTTTTTCTTTTTGGCTTTGTCTTTTGTTCTTCCTCTCGATTGCATTTTCTCGGCATTCCAACTTTTTGATTCTCTTTTTGATTCTCTTTTGCGCCCCTTGATTGCCCTTGATTAGATCAAAAATGTCCAACACAGACTCTTGAGTTTCAAAAGGAAAAAGAAAAAGAGAGACAAAAGAGAGCAATAATGATACAGTTTGTGTCGAAGAAAAAAGCAAAAAAAAAGAAAATTCCGAATACACATACATACATGACATCAAGAATCCATCAATTGCTTTGCTTCTACAACTTTCAACGTCCCTCTACACACCCCTCTTCAATCCAAGTCCCTCAACGCCCCCTCCACCTCGACTCTCCCCGCATCCGCCCTCCCAGAGCCCCAAAGCCTGACCAATTCCCTCGCCTCGGGTTTGCCCATCTCCCCCTTCAATGCCGCCTGGGCAACAATCTTCGGCCTCTCCTCCATCCAACTCCAAAACTCTGCTGCCGTGTGCAGACTCGACGTTTCCTCGATGCCTTTGAGCACCTGTTGCAAGACCAAGATGTTCAAGTGCATGCGGCCGACTCCGTAATCGTCCATTGCGGGGATGGAGGTTGTGAACGAGGTCAGTGCGGTCGAGGTTGGGTGGGCTAGATGCATGACTAGTAGACCATGTTGTGCGGACGGCAAATGGCAAGATAGATCTTCGTCTAAATCGAGTAATTGCTTGGATAGCGATAAGATACTGGGGTCGGGGTCATTGTAGGGTTGGCCGAGCAGATAAGTGGTGTTCAACGCTCTTTGCACTCCACCGAGTATCTGGAGACGCAGCTCGAGGTGCAAGGTTCGCAGGATCAAGCTACCGAGATCGGTCATTGAGGTTGTGATGGCGTCAAAGTCGCGGGATGACTGTGTGTCCAGAGGGAGATAGATCTCTGCGTGGGGGTTTGGCGATATCAGTGTTGTCCAGCGGCGGGTTTGATGGCGAGAGGATGTGGTGGAGGTGTTGGAGTTGCTCATTGAACTGCTCATGTGGCGGAGCTGGGTGGCGTGGGCGACAAACCAACGTGTGCTGTTGTACAAGACGCATAATCCACCGATGCACTTTCTATCGAGGATGAGATCTGCATCGGTGAGAGGCGAGGCTTTGACATTGGCAATCAGAGATGTGGTTTGTTCTTGCATCAAGCGTTGCACATCGTCTGCATTTTCAGCTTCGTGGGCCAGGAGAGTGGCTACCGCATCCCGCATGTCTGCGTTATATTCTGCGAGTGCGGCCGAGCGCTTGGGTTTCCTCTCTTCGCTCGAGTCCTGTTGTGGTCGCATGACGAGTGCGCGATACCAGTTATAGCACTTGTCGTAGTAGATGCGCATTTGTGCCATGACCAATTGACTGAATGCTTGATCGTGGGGCAAGCTGTCCAGCAGCATGCAAAAGGCTTTGATCAGGTCGAGGAAGTTGGATGTGCCTCTAAAGACTGGTTTCTGTGCTCGCACCTGCCATTTGGGATCTTGCTGGAAGGCATCACTTTCGGCAGAGGCGGCCATGCACATGTCTGTCAGTGCCTCTTCCAATTGTGGGAGGAAGACGTTTATCAAAAAGTCGTCGAGGAAAGAGGTAAGAGTGCTCAACACGATCTCTGAGCTCGGCGGTACAATGTCCTTCAATCTTGTCAAGAAAGACAGTGAAGGAGGTAGCAGAATACCCATATTAAAGACGCTCGGCTCAACCAATAGCTTGTGGCCAGTCGCTGAGCGATCTTCGTTTCTTTCATTCTCGGCGTCCTTTGCAGCAGGCGTTGTACCAGTAGCTGCCAGGCCAGGAACTGAAGACTTGAGGATGAAATCGAGGTCTTCCTTCTCGATTGTGAGTTCAGTCGACTTGCTGTCTGTGTCTGCCAGCTTGAACAAGCGCTTGTTGCGATCTCTCACATGCGGCTTGAACATGTTTGCTGCATGGTGGTGTTCAGGGTGTGATGAGTTTTCCGGGCTATCACTAGCAGCCAGATGGTCATGCAGCAAACTACGAATCTCGCTCTGATACAGTTTCCAAAGTTCGCGGAAGCTGCGGAGCAGAGCGGGTTCGTCGCTGCCTTGGCGGGACAATATACCGCCAATGACTTCATGCAGGACACGGTGGCCTTCTGCAATGGCCTCGAACTTGGCATACAGGGTAGACAGCATGTCTTCGAGGATCATCTTCTTGTCTTGGTTGATGTCGGCATTGATGTTGTCAAGCTGGAAGTGTTGTTGTTTTGCAGCGCCACGAATTATGCCGGGATAGTTTTGCTCAACTTCGGTGTATGATCTCTCGACAACTCGGAACAGCTCAACAGGTAGTCTTTGCTCGATCTGGTCAATTGCGAGATCCAGACGCGACATGCGATCCAATGCTTCAACCAGCAGTTGGATGTACGAGAAAGTGTCTGCTTCGGGATTGCGGGATGTGTCTTCGGTCAGGATCTGTGTAGGGTCAAAGGACTCGAGGAAGCGGTATAGCTGACGGCCCTCAATCTCGAATGACGCCGAGCCAGTGGTAGTGGAGCGGTTGGTGTATTGCTTCCATCGCTCTTCACAGTAGGGACTCTTGAGGTAGAGATGGCTGTGCAGTTCTTGGATGAGTATGTCGGTAATGGAGTGTTCTTGATTGCTGAAGTAAACACGCAAGTCACTCAGAGCACCAATGTCTTCCATGTCGGGCTTGTGCATGAGTTTGAGGGCGTCTTGTAATGTCTCGACAGCACCGAGGAAGCGCTTTTCCGAGATTTGAGCTTCGAGCTTCGCGGGCATGAGTTGGAGTTGCTCGATGTAAGCCAGAGTCTGCAGCATGTGATCGTAGCTCTGACTTGATTGCGCAAAGGCCTTGAGTTCAGGACGAGTAGTACGAAGGTTGCCCTTGGCCTGGACGAGCGAGTGTTTCAAGGTACGGACTCTCTGCTGCGATGACTGGATGCTGGCTTGGATCTGATGGAAAGTACCGATGGACGAGTTGAAGCCTTGATGGTGCTGGTTGACGATGGCCTTGAGAGCGTTCTGCAGTTGTTGGTGCGTGTCCTGGAAACCGTGGTACTGGTCGGCCAGACCGAGAGAGCTCTGGTCCATGAGCTGCAGGGCGACCTTGACGGGCACACACGACTCGTTTGCCATTTGACCCCAGTGACGGTCGATGTAGCGCAAGATGTCCTCGACCTGCTTGCTGTTCTCGGCATTGCGCATCTGGGAGGCAGCTCTACTCCTGCTCCTGCTGAACGCTCTGCCCTCTCCACTGGCTCGCTTGCTGCGGTCGAGTCGCGCCGGACTGCCCACTCGAGGGACAAAGTCATCTGTGGCTCTTCCCAGTCCACCGTAGCCTCCTCCAGCGGCAGGGCCCCTTGAACGACTCCTTTCATCTGCGCTGTTGTCTCTGGTGGTCGTGTCGAGGTCGTAGCGGCGTGGGAACTGGTAGCCGTCTCCGTTGGTGTATCCTCGGTCGCCAGTGGCCGATGGCCCGCGCATATACGACATGGTGTGATTATAGGAGACCCATGAGTTGCGAGCCGGAGTGGATGTTTGTGTTTCAAAAGTCCAGTGAGTCAGTCAGCCGTCGTGAGGTTGTTTGAGCATGAACAATGGTATACACGGCGGGTGATCGGCTCAACTTCCGCATCGGGAGTGACGCGTCTCGGCCAAGTTGCCTTTTGCAGCAAACGTGGGAAGTTGCGACTGCGACAGCTCGCGCTGGCCTCAGTCCGTCACCAGCAATCCCGACGTGCGCCTTCCTGTTATTTGACAATTCACATCGCTCCTTCCTCATCTCCATCTGCTGTCGCCAACTTCAATCAGCACTTGGACCGGACCTCGCATTCCCCGTCGCGCCAATCCATGGCCCATTGATTTCGGCGCATCTCCATCAACACTGTCCACTCCATCTTGGAGAACTTCTCCTTCCGCCATGGCTGCCGCGCTGAACGGCCATCCCAACGGTCATGATGACCACGACGAAGACGTCGCCACCGCTCTCGTCCGCTTCTCACACATTCCCGCCGCCCTCGATGTGCCGCTCTCAAGTGGAGACGCCGAGGAGGCCGTCGAGGTCAATCTCGAGGACCTGATGGACGACCCTACCGAGTTGTGCACCCTGCTCGAGAACGAGAATGTCGCTCGCGGCTACTGGATGACCATCGCCCTGGCCTACGCCAAGCAACAAAAGGTCGACCACGCCATCGACATTGTCACTAGGGGCCTCAGCTCTCTGTCGCGCAACGCAAAGCCCGAAGACAAGCTGTCCTTGTTGTCATGCTTGTGTTGGCTGCGCCTGTGGCAGTGCAGAGAGGCTCCTCGCCTGAAGCCAGGTACCGACCGTCCCACGCAGAATCCTTCGACAAGACTGACCCGCCTACAGACACCCAACTGGCCTCCGAGGCTCGCAACAAGGAGTACTACATCCACCAGGCCACCAGCACCCTCAACGAGGCCTCGCGCATCAGCCCCACCTACCCTCCCCTCTTCCTCGCCCGCGGCGTCTCTACCTCCTCCGTGCTTCGCTACAGCCCTCCAAGTCATCGTCAACCGCTCAAGAGTCCGAACGCCTCGACACTCTCCGCCAGGCTGCAAAATGCTTCGAGGACTCCCTACGCGCTTCTCACGGTCGCAACATGATGGCCGTCATGGGCAAGGCTAGAGCTCTCTTCTCCCTCGGCAAATACGCCGATGCTCTTCACAACTACCAGTCCGCTCTCGAGCGCGCCCCACAACTTCAAGATCCGGATCCGAGAATCGGCATAGGCTGCTGTTTCTGGCAGCTGGGTCACAAGGATGAGGCCCACAGCGCATGGCAACGCGCCCTTGAAGTCAACCCGACCTCAAAGATTGCCAACATCCTGCTCGGCCTGTACCACCTCGACCAGAGCGCAAAGCTTCCCACCACCGACCCCGAGTTCCAGCAACACTACAAGAAGGCCATGACCGAGTACACCCAAACTGCCTGGAAGCTCGATAACAAGTTCCCCCTGACTTGCGCCACCTTCGGAAACTATTTCATCCTCAGAAAGGCCTGGCCCACGGTAGAGCGTCTTGCCCGTCAAGCCATCGAGGCCACAGATGTCAACGCTATTGCCAGTGATGGTTGGTATCTCATGGCCCGCAAGGAACACACCGAAGGAAACGTTGCCAAGGCCACCGACTACTACAACAGGGCCGATCAAGCAAGAGGTGGTGATGAGAGAGGTTACCTGCCTGCCAAGTTTGGTGCCGCTCAGCTCAAGATCCTTTCCAAGGACTGGTCCGGCGCAAGGTTCCGTCTCGAGAGCATTGTTCAGTCCACCAAGAGTGCAGAGGCCATGACTCTGCTTGGTCTCCTGTATGCCGAAGAAGTCTACGCTAACCAAAATGCTGGATCCAAGGAAGACAGGTCGTCAGAGATGAGAAAGGCTATTGGTCTCCTGGAAGGTGTCCGCAACACTTGGAAGGACCCCAAAAGAAGGCTACCCCTGACTCGTACGTCCTCTTGAACCTGGCCAGACTTTACGAGATCGAGAACCCTGAGCGAAGTCTTCAATGCTTGCAGCAAGTGGAACAGATGGAAATGGACGACATTGACGAAGAAGATCGCCCAGACACCAAGGACGAAGCCGAGCTCAAGGCCGCTCTTCGCGAAATGCTCCCACCACAACTGTTGAACAACATGGCTGCCTTCCACTTCCAAGCCGAACGATTTAGCCAAGCCAGAGACCTGTTCCAGACTGCCCTGAATGCCTGTGTCAAGGCTGGCGCAAAGGATAGCGAACTCGATACCGACTCTCTGGTCACATCTATCAGTTACAACTTGGCCAGAACTTATGAGGCCGAACACATGCTGAACGAGGCCAACCAGGTTTACCAGGGTCTGCTCGAGCGTCATACCGATTACACAGACGCCAGAATCAGACTCGCATACATTGCACTCCGCGAAAACCCCTCTGAAGGTGCTCAGGCTATTAAGAAGTTGCTTGAGTCGGAAGCAGGCAACCTCGACATTCGTGCTTTGTATGGATACTACATCCACAAGGCAAAGAAGCGAACCATGAACCCTGCCGAGGATCAAGAGCAGAGGCACTACAAGCACACTCTTCAACACCACGACAAGCACGACAGATACTCTTTGACTGGTATGGGAAACCTCTTCTTGCAGGTTGCCCGCGAGATGCGCAGAGATACCGACCAGGACAAGGAGAAGCGTACAAAGACGTATATCAGAGCTATTGAATTTTTCGACAAGGCTCTGCAGCTTGACCCTCGTAACGCCTATGCCGCTCAAGGTATTGCCATTGCACTGATTGAAGACAAGAAGGACTACGGAACAGCGATCCAGATCTTTACTAAAGTTCGGGAAACCCTGAAAGATGCCAGTGTCTTCATCAACATGGGTCATGCATTTGTCGAGGTCAAGCAGTTTGCCCGCGCAATTGAGAGCTACGAGGCTGCCCTTTCCAAGGATCGCACACACGACCCCAGCATTCTCGCCTGTCTCGGTCGCGTTTGGCTCATGAAGGGCAAGCAGGAAAAGAACATGCAGGCCATGAAGACTGCGCTCGAGTTCTCGAACCGTGCTCTGGAGTCATCGCCTGAACAGCTTCACTTCAAGTTCAACGTCGCCTTTGTCCAGATTCAGATTGCTCAACTCATTTACACTCTACCGGAGGCCACGAGGACGCTTGTTGATCTTGAGGCTGCTGCCAATGGGTTGGATGAAGCCATCGAGAGTCTCATGGCTATAGCGCGCGCACCAAACCCACCTTTCCCCAAGAACGACATCGAGCAGCGTGCCAACATGGGAAGAAACACTATGCGCAAGCAACTGGACCGTGCCCTGCAAAGTCAACGCGATTTTGAGCAGAAGAACGCGTCCAGACTCGAACAGGCTCGTTCACAACGTGAGGCCGAGATCAAGAAGCGTGACGACGAAAAGAGAGCGCTCGAGGACGCAAAGGAAGAACGCAGAAGAAAGATCACAGAGGAGAGACAACGCATGCAAGAACAGGACCGCGAAATCGCCGAACAGAAGATTGAGGAGGAAGCTGAGCGCAAAGCCCGCGAAGATGCCGACCTCACCACGGACGAGGAGACGGGTGGCCGAAAGAAGAGAGAAAAAGAAGCCCAAGGGTGCAAGAAGAAAGAAGAAGGGCGGTGACAGCGATTCGGACATCGTCAACGACGAAGATGAAGCCTCCGATGTCGACGCTGATGCCGAATTCGGCGGGAGAGAGAAGCGACAAAAGTCCAAGCGACGCAGCACTTCGGCCGCCTCCGACGACGAAGACGGCGAGAAGCCCAAGAAGAAGAAGCGCAGAAAGCTCGAAAGAAAGGGCAAGGTTGCCGAGCCAAAGGGCAAGTTCAAGAGCTCGGAAGTTGTGGTGGACAGCGATAGCGACGACGATGCTGTTGCAACCCAGAACGAAAATGCAAGACTTGCCGAGAAGATCAACGATGAGGATGACGCTCAAAAGGAAGCTCGGGGAGACGAGTCGATGGGAGAGGAAAGAGAGGACGAGGACACCGTTGTTGAAAGGCGGAGAAAGAAGCCTGCTCGTGTGATCGACGACGACGACGAAGACGAGGACGAGACTCCGGCCGCTACTGGTGGAGATGTCTCGATGGTTGACGAGTCTGTCACTGCAGCTGGCAACGAGAATGCGCCAGACTCATAGGTATCTATTCCTTTTCTGTATAACACGCATAGCCAGTATATCTTCAGAGCATGCGCTCACACATATCTTGACGATTTTTTCAGCACCACAATATCCGCGGGTTCAAAAGCGCCGCAGCATCTTCCTTTCAGTCTACAAATCGAGGTAGAAGGAAAAATGAATTTTAATATTGTTTCAACAGAATAGAGTGTCGTTCCTGAGAAACGGTCAAGGTGGTGCGAGCAGTGTAAATGGAGAAGGTTCCTTGGAGCTCCACCACGCACTCCACAGGTAAGCAGCTCCTTCTCCAATCAACAGCTTGGGATCTGCTAACAGTTTGCAATTTTCTGACAGCTTAGCTAAAGTGATTTTCCCCCATCGCCATTGACTTTCGTCCTGCTTCATTGCATCCACCGGATCACCTTCTGGATCGATTTTGCTGCTATATATCGCGTCACAGCCATCCACAAGAGAAAAGTTCTCATCCCAGCAGCTATCCCAACCCGTGTATCAGCTCTTTCATGGCTCTCTTGCACGGAAGACACCACGAGTTGCTCCACAGCTCGTCTCCAGAAGCAAACCCTACCTTCCAACGTGCAGCACACAAGCTAGACCACGGATTTCTACTGGACCACAGCATTACGAAGCTCGTACTCTCAAGCAAACAACGTTCATCTCCAAGAAAGCTTTCTCGAGCTTTGCCCATGCCTCAAGAAGCAAGCATACGACCTCACGCTGACGTTTGCAGAAAGACTCTTCGTGACCTTTTTCCCCTCTACTCCCATGTTCTCTCATTTGAATTGTGTTGCTACCTCCAACTCATCGATACCGCCGCTGAGAACGTCAAGTCTTGAGTAAACAATACACAAAGAATGCATTTCGCTGATGCTTCTTTGGCGGCAGCGTGCCTTGTGCAGCTGTTCGCGCCTGTATGGGGTTGGCCGCAACCTGATCAACTACCACAAGACGCACTTCCGGCTTCTGCTATTCACGACCTCGATCAACCAGCGATCACACCTGCTCCATATGCTCCAAAGGCACCAGGCGAGGCAGACGAACTTCTGGCTACGACCAACACCTTGGCATTGGCTCCATTGACTTCTGCACTGGTCACTGCCTCGGGCCCAGCATCAACTCGTCTTTCGGTATTGGCATCCGAGATCTCAACAGGAGCAGCCGTGAACTCGACGGCACTCAGCATCCTGGTCTCTGATCTGGCGAAGAACTCTTCCATCCCACCTGCCGAGTTCTCCTCGGTCTTGATCAGCGCGGCTACGACTTTGACACCCACTAATGTGACTTCGGTGTTGCAAAACGCGACTGTTCTTTCGCCACTCACTTCTGCGTTGGCCACTGCTACGGGAACTGTTGCAGCTCAGCTTTCCACGCTTGTATCTGAGATGTCCAAAGGGGATCCTGTGAATTCGACTGCCCTGAGCGTCTTGGTCTCTCAGCTGTCGACCATCTCGTCAATCCCCACAAACATCATTCTCACTACACCAACAATCAATGCCACCGGATTATCATCGAATCTCAGTGTCATCTCGTCAGTCTTGTCTACAGTCACCGGCCCAGTCTCATCACAACTGTCCTCGTTGGTATCCGCAATCTCAACAGGCGCTTCGGTCGATACCTCTGCTTTGAACTCTCTTGTGACTCAGCTGTCAACTGTGAAGTCGGTACCAACAAACATCCTCTCGCCTGTGGCAAGCGCTGTCACATCTCCTGTCTCTGTAGCCTCCTCTATCGTATCGTCTATCCTCGCGGACATTACTCGGGCGACATCACTGAACCCTAGCATTCTCTCATCCATTGCTAGCGATATTTCGGTCTTTCCAACGTCTGTGTTACCAAGTAGTGTAGCCGCGTCACTCCTTTCTGATGTGAGCATGATTGCCACTGCGACAGATAAGGCAAGCGCCGCATCCTCAGTCTTGAGTCAAGCAACGGGAAGAACATGGCCTTACTCCGTTGGAGGTGTCACATTCAGAGTGCAGAGAAACACGATATACAGCGGCACCTTGCTCAAACTCATGAGGCGCGACTTCCACAANAAAAGATTCGCCGCTGATACTCTCGACGGCTGCATGAACAATTGTGCAAACAATACGGCCTGCTCTGGCACTGCATACAACAAGAATTCGAGCTCGTGTACATATTACAGCTCGGTCGATCAAAGCAGTGAGAAGCAGCAGAATGGAACCGATTTTGCTACCGTCCAAAATCGAAATTCAAGCAGCAGTAGTAGCATGCCGACGGCGGGTTCTACTGGTACGGTTTCATCTTTAACCATGTCGACAAGTCATGGACCCTACTCGAACACCACTTCATCATCAAGTCACTCCATGACCACATCCGCGAATAGTACTTCGAGTCGATCAATGTCCATCACTGCCAACAGTACATCTAGCCATTCAATGACTACGAGTGCAAACAGCACATCGACGAGTCACTCATCAGCCATGTCTTCAAACACGACATCATCTGCTTCAGCTACTCCAACCAATCATGTCGGAGCAAGAACCTGTCTACAGATTTCAGCATCCGGAAACACCTTTACTGATTCCAATAATGTCACATATGCTGTGATCTGCGCGATCAAGAAGAAGATGCTCTTGGAGATCCGTGCCCTGACACCTCGCCAGAATGGCGACGTCGGTACCGTCCAGTCAGGCAGCTTCGAAGGTTGTGCTCCTTATTGCGATAGCAACACGCAGTGCAACTCTTACAGCTACAATTCCACTAATGGAACGTGTTACCTGATGAGCACTACAAATGTATCTCAACCTGTTACTGGATTGGACTATGCATACAAGGTCCAGAGTCAAACTTCTTCCAGTTCAACGTCGACAGCTTCGAGTACTTCTAGCAGTTCCAGCACTTCTAGCAGTTCCAGCAGTTCCAGCAGTTCCAGCACTTCGAGCACTTCGTCGTCATCAACCTCTGATTTTGTTCCCGATGGCTACTCCATCTCGAAAACTACAATCTGTGGTNNGATCCCACGGGACCTTCGGTGATCACAGCATCAGCGACATCGAGTCCATCAACCACTTCGTCGTCTTTTTTTATCCGTGAGTAGCTCGAGCGCCAGCTCGAGCATCCCGTCGCCTAGCACCACGACATCCTCTTCGTCTCCGTCGCCATCTTCAACAACTACTAGTTCATTCTCTCCTCCACCTTCTACAAGCGTGTCCACTGTGACCGCACCTGGAAGTACTGTTGTTAGTGTTTCCACTGCGCCCGGAAGTACAGTCGTCAGTGTCTCCACCGCTTCTGGAAACACAGTCACCAGTGTTTCTACGATGACCGCTTCGCCTCCACCACCCTCGTCAACAAGCTCATCTTCGATTACGTCAGCCTCAGCTCAAGCGAGAATCGCAACTCAAGTCCGAGTGGTGGCACCTGGAACCAGAACTGTCAACAGCGCGGCTCCCAGCGTTGCAACAGTGGTCTCGCAGCAGACCCAAGGTGCCGTAGTCACATCTTACTCTGTTGTTCCTGGCGGTAGTACAGTCACCATCCTCAATACAGCAACCAGCGTGAGCTCCGTCTTCACGTCGACCAGAACAGTAGGCTCTGTGAGGCGCTCAACTGTCACTAGAGCTCAAAGCTCACAACCCTCTGTCATAACCGTTGGCGCAGTCACTGTGACTTCCGATGTCGTTGTTCCTAGCGGTTATACTACGGTCACTACATCTGGCGGTACAAGCACGGTCACCCAGACGACTGAGAGAACCGTGGCTACAGGTGTGGCTACTGTGGTCAGCATGTCTACGGTCACTGTCGCTACTATCGCAAGCAGCGGCTCGTCGACTGTGACGTCTGGGATCAGTACTGTTTATATGAACGCGGCTCCCGTGAGCTTCATGGCGATCTGGCACAGAGATGAGAAGCCCACGAAGGAGAAGAAGGTTAGAGAATAGCACGAGGGAAAGGGAGACAAGGACGACAAGAAGAAGGCACCAAGACCTTGGTTTGCCTATGATGGTTTGACCGAGATGTGGATGTGATGACATCCATTCATCCATCCATCGTATCTTCCTTCCACCACTCAGCTCCATCCGACCGTCCACCTCGACTCAGCAGAAAAGAACAATGAGAAAAAAGGACGAGGATGGAGAAGATAATGTATTCATTGTTTTTTCCAACAAGAAAAAAAAGGAGGAAATTGAGATTGTGTAAACTTGCATTTGCTTCTTGATTCAGTTGTTGTCGTTTGCATCATCCTAACCACAGTCATTCTTTTTTTTTCCCCACCTACCTACGTATATTAACAAACCCCGAATATGTAATAGTAGTCCTTGGTTCTTGGTCATTGGTTTGTAGATTTAATCTAATCAAAATCACTCGTTTTTGCATCACTTTTTCGGACTTTTTGGGAGATATTCCTGCTTTCTCCTTCTGGTACTTGGCATATACAATTGGTCGGCATACAGATCAACCAACATTGCCATCGTCATCCGTTTTCTCTACGCCGTGTGGGTCTGGCAGGACTCTCCGACGTCTTCACTCCTTCGAACCATCGGGTACGTCGCCGAGCACCGCCGACTACAGCCGAACAAATCTATCAATAGATGAACAAGACGGCCGACCCACCCACAATCATGACTTCCAGTTCTCTCCATATTGAATCCGACTATGGCACCTTCTGAGATGCCGGACAAGCGCATTCTGGCAGTCGTGACCACTGGCGGGTTTCACGCATGCAGGTACGTGACTCTCAACAATCGAACACTAGGCTTGATACCAACGCCGACAGCACCCGTGCTAGTGATCTGCAAAGTGCTTGCGGGAAGAGGCTACACCGTTGACTTTGGCACTCTACAAGGAGAAGAATCTTGGACTGCTGCATACCCTTTCATCTCGGCAAGCCACATCCTTGGCCCAGCCGAAACTGTTTCTCTCTCACGGAGGAGGCAGCTCGGCAAACGAATCCTACCATCACGCCACACCAACCCTAACCCTCGCCTTCTTCTTCGATCAACTTGCAAATGCCTCTCGCCTGACAAATGCAGCAGTGGGACTGGCACTGTCAAAAGACATCATTCACCGCTGACGAAACATGTGCCACGATTGGCATGATGGTCGCAGATCGAGATGGCGGATTCAAAACAGATTTGCACAGATTACAAGGCATAGCCAAGATTGCGGCGAAAAGAAAAGAGATGGCTGGAGATGTCATTGAGCAGATCATGATTGACGAGCAAGGAAGATGGAATAAGGTCAAGAACTTCGTTCAAGGTTTTTTGAGACGGCGGATATGAGGATGAGTGTGTGGAAAGCGGGGAATTGGGATCTGTGGGTGCTCGGAATGACGGGTTGTGTCTGTGTTGGATGGAGCGCAAAAGTGGCCTTCAAGGTGTTTGGGTCGTGGATCAGGACTGCAATATGGGGACTGAGTTTGGTTCATGCAGATTGAAGGTAGAGTCTACTGCGTGTGTATGTGTGTGTGTGTGTGTGTGTGTGTGTGTGTGTGTGTTTCTAGATCCACTCCAGCTGAATCGCATCATAAATCGGTCCTCTCCACAAACTCGACGACAAACTCGTAACTTTGAAATCAATCTCGTTATCCACCTTCAACACACCCTTCTTGATCGGAAACTCAAACTGATGCCACTCCCCAGCCACAGTCCCTGACCGATACAAACTAGGATCCGAGGCAATACCACTGCTGCTCAAATTCCCAATACGCACATCGTTGGCAAAGATGTTGACTGTGGTGCCTTGACTATAGCCAGCCAGACTAACAGTAAGTAAAGCATCTGAGGTGGCGTTGGAAGTGGGTAGAGCAAAAGCGATTCGATAGCTACCGATCGCGTTTTGAGCAAAGCACCAATCACTGTCTTTACTGCTGTCGACTGTATAAGTAAGGTTTGCAGGACAATCGTCCACTCTTCCAGCTCCAAAGCCCCCTGAGTATGCAAAGCCAGTGGACTTTCTGTCAAAAGCGCCGATCTGGAATATTTGTCGTCGTGCAGAAGGAATTTTCCAGGAAAGATTATCGAGACGAAGTTTGCTGGTGCGAGAACCAGTCACATTAATGTCGTTTTTGAGATATGTGGTTGTGAGGTCTGCTATACTACCACCATTGGCCCAGGCTTGTAGAGCATAAACACCAGTCCTGACGTCTGTAAAGCGGAAAGAACCATCATTGTCTGCGTAGGTGGTGTAGTAATAGTTACTCCCCATATCCAGAGTTGTCTTGTTGGGATGATTGTCACCGAGGAAGACGGCAGCTCCTGCGGCTGGCCTGCCGTCTGAGAGGACGAGTTTTCCTATCACAGAGGCAATGCGAGATTGGTAGGAGGTGTCGTCTAGCCATTTGTAAGGCCATGAGTTTATTTCGTTGTTGTAGCGGCGAGCGACATTGGGTTTTGTGCCGTCGTTGAGGTACCAGAGCTAAGGGCCCCAGATCTTGCCGTTTGGGAGCGTGTCATTGGAGAGTGCTTGGAAGTGTGTTCCGTGGATCATGTTGAGCTGGACGGCATCTCCTGTTGCGGATTCGCGGTGATTNNCTGAGGAAAAAGTCAACATTGTCGTGAGTTTCTGGTGAGAGGAATTACTTACCATTAGTTCCTGTTTCAGATGATCACCATTGAAGTAGTCTTTGCCTGGATNGCTGCTATTGTTAGATAAATACAAGCCATAGAAACATATCCAAACACTCACCAGATACCAACTGCCAAACCTCTCACCGTACACACCCCAATACTCTTGCTCCCTAACAAACCCAGACCAATCATATTTGGTCAGATAATCTCCCTCGGGCGTCTTCCAGGTCTCATCCTGGATCTTGGTCGAAACCGCATATTCAGACAATGCGGGCAATACCCCATCCTTATCTGCATTGTAAGCACTGGTAAAAGTCTCATTGTCCAACCTCCAGAGCGTGCGAAATTCTCCCAGGACAGGTAAAGCGCGGTTTACAAAGTATTGATATGCGCCGGCAAGACCATTGAAGATGACCCAATGCATTTCACCTTCTTGGGCATCAAATTGGATGTCGATGTAGTTGCTTCCAGTCTTGATGATTTTGGCACTGGTCCAGGCGAGATTGCTGGCTGCGCCGTNCTATGACGTGGTATTAGTGTGGGTATATAGTGTTGCGGCCAAGGGAAATAGCGTACTGTAACTGACATAGTGGCCGGCAGCTTTACCGACAAGTTCTTGGTTTTTGTAGTATAGCTTGGAGCCATAGATTTTGTCCTGTGTCATGTTCCAGACGTCGTTGCCGATGATCCATGTTCCATCGCCATTGTCCTTGAGAAAACCATGCTGTTTAGCATGAGCAACTCCCATTGACAGTAAGCTCAATGCGACAGCGAAGTACTTCATCTTGAGCAGATGGTGAGGCAACAATAGCTCAGTAAAAACACCTTGCGTATCCCCAATTATATACACCTATCTTGATGGACCTTGCTATACGAGAGAGCATTTCCCCGCAGTCTACTACGGATGAATAGACACCGAGGTGACGATCAGGGACGGCTCAGCAAGAACAATGACCATTCGTGGAAAATCGTCCTTGGCTGACCTCGTGTCCTTCCACTTCTATATCATCTTTGCTCCGGATCGTCGCATTCCCAGATCTGTACATGAAGATGTTGGTATCATGCAGCTGTTGTCGGTGTTTGGGAGCAATGAGGGGCGAGGAGGTGGGGTAAAGATCCCAGCGTGTTCAATGCTAAGAGGTTGACCCTGTCGGTGCTTACTAGCTTGCTCAGCACAGAACACCCCTCTCCCTGCGTAAAACCAATAGAGTCATGCAATTATTGGTCTCATTCTGCTCAACAATAGTGAAATCATCTACAGTCTAGCTTTACCGTCCTTCTGCTTGCTAACCTCGACAAGCAATTTGCCAGTGTTGACGCCCTTGTACAAGTCTCTCAATCCTTGCTCCGCCTTGGCCAATCCACCTTCAATGACAGTCTCCTTTCTCTGCAACTTACCCTCGTTAAGCCATTGCGCCAATTGCTGTCTGGCAGTGGCATACTGGTCCGCAAAGTCAAACACAATAAACCCTTGCATACGAATGCGCATGGAAATGATCATCATGTAGTTCTTGAGTCCGCGGGGAGAAGCACTGTTGTAATCGCTGATGGCGCCACAGCACACAAAGCGAGAGAAAGGCTTTGCGCGCGACAAAGCGAGGTCGAGGATCTCGCCGCCGACATTGTCGAAAAAGACGTCGATCAAGCCCTTTGTCGCGGCGCGGAATTTGGTGGTGAAGTCAGCGTCTTTGTAGTTGAGAGCATCGTCGAGACCGAGGTCGTTCTTCAGCCATGAGACTTTGTCGTCACTGCCGGCAAGACCGAGTACTTTGGCGCCTTTGAGTTTGGCGATTTGGGCAACGACACTTCCGGTTGCGCCGGCGGCACCGGAGACGACGACAAAGTCGCCCTCCTTGACTTCACCGACGTTGATGATGCCGAAGTAGGCGGTTAAGCCGGTCATGCCGAGGACACCGAGGGCGTCGGTGGTGCGGCCGTTGGAAGGCAGGTCAACACGTTCGAGGGTCTTCTCGTCAACGACTGCGAGTTCGGTCCAGCCGACAAAGCCAGTAGCAAGAGTGCCGACGGGGAATCTGTCGGATTTGGATGCTTCGACAGTACCGATAGCGACTCCACGCATGATCTCGCCGATCTGAACAGGAGGGACATATGAGCGGGTGTNCTTGATGGTTGAGAGTCAGAATGGAGTCGAATACCATCAGTATACTCAATCAAACTCACCATTCAACCATCCTCTCATGGCAGGGTCGAGACTGAGGTACAGAGAACGGAATATGACTTGGCCATCCTTGAGATCGGACTCCTTGGGTGCCGCATTCGATTTGACCTCGAAAGTCTCTCCAGGAACGATTTCACTCGTGGGACGAGCAGCAAGATGCACTGATTGGTACTGTGAAGACATTATGATGTGCGTGTAATGATGATGATCATGGGAATCTTTCTCGAGGGTCGGACGAGATATAAAAGTTAACGTGAGATGCAAAACGCGGGGAGAGCTCCGATTCAGGGACGGGGCCGAGGGGCCGCAGACTCGCCTCGGCTTACTCTTCAAGTAACATTAAGCGAAAATTTCGTTTGGAGGCAAACTCTGTCAGTAATGTTAAGCGAATGCAACCTACATATCCATTGAGCTGATGAGTGACTTTGGCGGTGAATCCGGTCAGCTGCTGAGAAGCAGATCGAGTGCGACGCGACATCCGAATATTTGTTGGTGATTAAGAAATGTTTGTCGTAACAGAGACTGGCTACTCTAGACTTACAGATATGATCATCATACACTCCGTTCAACTCACATTCTTACGTGTCGTGGTTGTTGTTTTTGTTGTTTCTTCCGCTTGGGGCAATGGCTGGGAGTTGAAGGTGCTGCAGGTCTGCGACGACTTGATGGGCATGTCATACATTCGGGTCAGCCACGCCTCACATTCGACAGAGCTCGATACTTGAAGAAGGACAATAGTTTTTCCGGATACTTGTGTGCTTTGTGAATTGAGTAAGAGTGTTTGCGATGCTCGCTCGACGTTGGAGAGCCGTTCAGCGTCGGCACGGTGACGCTTGCTGATGTAAAACGAAGTGCCAAGCAGGTCGCAACGGCGTGTTTATATGCAATGTCGAGGTCATCAGCTGCGGAACGGACAGAACACGGAGATGAAAAGGTGTGCCCTGGTGTAACGAGTGCCCTTTGAGACAAACAGAGGAGGTCCGTCCGGCGTGAATGTGTGGGAGCATTTACAGAAATATGGCATCACGTAGCCGAGCACGAGAGATCTAGTGGACTCCAAGTCGGCGTAGCGAACAATTATGGTGAGGCTTGTGGGCTGGTCTCTTAGCAGAGAGAGGAACTGTGTTCATGAAGAATCATTAGTCTAACATCTGTTCTGACTCATCCCGCAAATTGGTGCTGAATATTGATGCAGAGGGAACCAAGACCCCAGCTGTCGAAGATGAAATGGTTGTCGTTTGAGCTTATGGCATCCTGATTTCCGAAGTAGAGAGCGCGATGTTGGTCGCATTGGTAGGCTGAATGAGATGTCATTGCCGCGAGGAGTGCAAACCGAACCCTATATCAGTAACTTCAGACCTCGTCGTCCTTTGACGCAAGACTGCTCGAGGCAATTCAACGGCTATGGAAAAACACCACCACTGACTCGTACCTTTGTCATTCTCTTCGTCCGGAGTCAGGGTAGATCTGATGACTGTGGGTGTTCGCATAGCGACCGAAGTAGCGATAGATGCCGACAGCAATAGAGATGCGACATTGTGAGTGTCTAGAGTCGAGGCAAGCTGATCTTGATGAGTTGCAAGGAAAGGTTCGGCAATATCGCTGAGCGATGTGCGCGTACGGCTCATTTTATTGATCTGCAGTCAGAAAATGACTCTTAACTGGTCATCACAGACAATCACAATCAATTGGATACTTTGTTGGAAGGCGCTCTAACAACAAACAAGCAAGCGAAGGCCTGGATGAAGTCATGCAATTTCGACATGTACCCGGACACCCGTTCGATAGGCCGCACGGAGGACGCTGCAGGCAGTTTGGAGGCGCAGCGGCGGGCGTGAGATTTGGCCCAATCTGTGGTTGCTCCCCGGCTTCTTGAGTCGAGTGTTTTCGAAGCAGAGCTCACAACAATTTCCGCACAGCCAATGCGCTGAGCTGCCGTTGAAGGTCAGGTGACGATCGCATTCGACAAGCGGCTAGCTCGAGGTACGCGGCAACAACGCCTTACAAGCGCCACAACCTGGACGACCCGGCTCTTGTCTTGGACGACACGCGGACCAGTACAACGGACAACAAGAAACAGGCCGACATGTGCCTGTGATTAGCTGGAATAACAGACAGGGTGCAGGGCCATCTCTTGGTAGGTAGGAGATGAAGGGATACGACGCAATGAACATGTTGCTCACTATTGATTCGCATCTCAGGAGAAGGTGAGCAGCCTCGTCTCGCCCCGGTTGAATCGCGGGTGCAAGTGGGTACTGACTCCAATCTTACTATGTTTGGCGTACGCTTGCCTGCTTGTGCGCTGGTCCACGGAGCGGATCCTTCCACTGGTCGTCGCAGACTGCAACTGACACAGCGGCGCCGGCTGATGGCGCAGATCAGGGCGAGCACACGCAGGTACAAAACCTTTGGACGTCGCTGCACCCTAAGCCACGACATCTTTTTTTCCACCCACATTCGAATTTCCAACCCATTGTCACTCTTTCCTTTGGGCCTTTATTCGACACACACACACATTCGCTATTTTTCTCTTTTTACTAGGATAATCCAGATCTCAGAATGCGTGCCTCTTTCTACGCTCTTGCCGGCAGCGCTGCCTCGGCCATGGCTGCCACCCGTGGTTTCAACTACGGCTCTCAGGGCAACACCCTTGAGACCTTCACCAACCAGTTCGAGTCGGCCCAGGCCATCACCGACTACGCCTCGGCCCGTCTCTACACCATGATCCAGGACGGCACTGCCAACACTGTCATCTCGGCCATCCCCGCCGCCATCAAGACCAACACCACTCTCCTTCTCGGTCTGTGGGCATCTGAGAACCAGGAGGCCTTCAACAACGAGCTTACCGCTCTCAAGAATGCCATCACCCAATTCGGCGCCCAGGGTCTCGCCGACCTGACCGTCGGTATCTCTGTCGGTTCCGAGGATCTCTACCGCATCTCCGAGACGGGCATCAAGCAAAAGAGTGGATACGGCCAGACCGCCGACGTCCTCGTCGACTACATTGGCCAGGTCCGTGAGGCTCTCAAGGGCACCGCCCTCGCCAACGTCCCCGTCGGCCACGTCGACACCTGGAACGCATACACCAACACGTCCAACTCTGCCATCCTCGGCGCTGTCGACTTCCTCGGTCTCGACGAGTACCCCTTCTACCAGGACGGTGAGGGCAACTCGATCGACAACGCCTCGGACCTCTTCTGGAAGGCTTACAACAAGGTCGAGGCTGTCGCTGGCGGCAAGCCCCTCTGGGTCACCGAGACCGGCTGGCCCGTCAAGGGCAACGCCGAGGACGAAGCCGTTCCCAGCGTTGAGAACGCCGCCAAGTTCTGGCAGGACATTGCTTGCGAGCTCGAGGCCCGCTGCATCAACTTCTGGTGGTACATCCTGAACGACGACGGCGCTTCGCCCTCGTTCTCGGTCGCCAGCGGTATCGACGGTGCCAACACCAAGTCTCTCTACGATCTCAAGTGCTCCAAGGCCTCTACCTGCGGCGCCTCTGTCTCTGCCTCTTCCTCATCCTCTGCTGCTTCCTCTTCCGCTGCTGGCTCCAAGACCGCCTCTGCATCTGCTTCCTCCACCGGCTCTGCTGGCCAGAACATCGACGTCGCTTCCAACGGCACCGCATCTGTCGAGCCCGTCGTCTACGTTACCGACGTCACCACTTCCTACACCACCACATGCCCTGCCGGCCAGACCATCACCGCTTCTGGCAAGGAGACCGTCTTGACCACCCCTAGCGTTTTCGTCACCACCCACGCCGTCTCCAGCACTGTTTCCACCAGCCAGACTGTCGTCCCTACCACCATTGTCAACGCCGTCACCCGCTCCATCACCTCCGCCGGCAAGGTCGTTCCCGTCACCAAGCAGAGCACCCAGGTCACTTGGGCTCCTACCTCTCCTATCGCTGGCGCCATTGTCCCCTCCGGTGCTGTTGCCCCCTCTGGTGCTGCTGCTCCTTCCGGTGCCGCCGCTGCCTCGGGTTCCGGCGCTGTCGTTGGCCAGGCTTCCGGCACCACTCTTGCTTCTTCGTGGGCCGCTAACCAGACCCCCGGCGCCTCTGCCACCGCCAGCCCCTCTGCCTACAAGGGTGCCGGTGCCAAGGTTGGTGCTTCCGTTGCTCTTGCTCTCGGTGCCGCTGCCGTCGCTCTCCTCTAAACCAACAGATCTCTGATCTGAGATGAGCGATTTTGCATATCTGTCTTTTTTTTTTTCCGTATCTTTTGCGAGCGATTTATACACCACTTCTTTGTCTATCCTTATCTTGAATAAGCCAAAAGGGCTGTTCTCTGTTACACTTGACTGGGCATTTTTGCATATTCGATGTAGAAACACCGAAATCTTGAAAATTATTGAACATACTCTCTGCTTCCGAGTCGTTCTCATGCAATGTGATGTTTGTCTCTTTGATGTTTGAGCTCCTGTGGACGGGCGACACGACGACCGATGACTCTGCAATCTTTCACAGGATCTGTAAGGCCATGAGCACTTCGACATTATCCTTCGTACTCATGGATAATAGCACTGTGTAATGGCTCATGAAGTTATGCAAAGTTTCCAAAGATCGCTTTGAAGCTGACTCTTATCCGTGGCTCAACATTGTATCCTTTGCAAGAAACCTGGAAGCATTGCGGTGTCCGGATTAGGCAACCTCATCTGCCGCAATTTAGCCGTGGTCTTGTAACTACAATGTACCTGACCTTTCTCGTTTCCCGCATCTGTCATCTCCTCGACCTACGGATTTTTACATTACATACCGCACCAACACTAGACAACAAAATGACAGGATTCAACTCGAACACCAGACCTTTCGCAATATGCACCTCTCGTCTCATCCTTCTACCATCATATCTCGCCATCGATCTTCCTGCCTACAGACAACTGTACTCTTCCCTGCACCGCAAGCCAGAATTTACCACTATGGCTTTTGGCTCTGCCTGGGGAGTAAAAGATTGGGACGAACACAGTATTGTCTCCATCATTGCTCGCGAAGTCCAAAACTCTTGGCGGGTACGAGGCATGGGCGATTTTGCCGTCGGGGTGCAGGAAAGCAGCTCTGTTGCTGCGCAATCGGAGGAGTGGAACGTTGTTCAAGGAAATGAGATACAGAACTTGGACAATGTACACTGGATAGGATATGTGGGCGTCAGAGACGCAACCACTACATCCATGCGCGCAGAATCCACCTCTCAACCNCCCACGCGTCCATGGCAGCAAATGATAGAGTTGCGATATGGATTCCACCCCGAAGTCTGGGGCCAAGGATATGGCACCGAAGCTGCAAAAGCAGTGATTAAATGGTGTGAGAAGTCTATCGGAGCAGAGAGATTTATCGCAGAGACCGAGATTGAGAATTTGGGGAGTGGGAAGGTACTAAGAAAATTGGGGTTTGGAGAGATGGAGATGGGCAAGGAGGTCATTTGGGGCATGGAGGGAACGAAGGAGTGGGAGGTTTGGGTGGGGAGGTGAGTTTGTCTGGGTCACGCAGGTGGTTGTTGACAGGGCTCTTTCGAGAGTACTAGGTAACTGGAGGCCTCAAAAGTCACGTGAGCAAATTACGGTCTGTCTGGGACACCGAGGCAAGACTGCTCAGTGCTCACAAAACAAGTGGAAATGGTCATCTTGACTGCAAGTCGACTACATTGCAATAGAACCATAGCTACAATTATTGTTCAGATCTTCTTTGCCCTCGTTCATCCTAGTTCTGATCTTTCGCAAAGCGGGGAGCCATGTCACTAGCTTGGTACGACAACGCCATCGCACCGGATGGAGGCTTCGAAGATGGATGCCTCCCCGAGGAAGCTCAAGCCTTGAAGGAATACCTCGACAACACTATCGAGATGGAGCAAGCTGCGTGCTTGATCACAAAACCTACCGAATCGTGTCAAGATCCAGGGGCTGACCTTCCCAATCTATGGGGTCTCTTGCAGGATGCCTTGATCGAAATACCAGACTCGCAACAAAAAATTGTTCATTTACTCAAGAGTATGCGAGAGCTACCGACCTTTTATCCTGATTCGCTTGGCAAAACGCGTAGCGATCCGCTCGAAAGTCCCCCCAGCGTCCTCTGGCATGATCTTCCTTCTTTTGCAAATCAATGGTATGACACCAATTGGTGGTACTATCAAAACCAATGGCGAGACAATCCGAACATCTTCAAGTCGTCGGGAAAAGTCGCTTAAATCGCCAATCTAGCTCGTACCGAAGCGCTACTTGCACATACCGACATACTGGGAGAAGAAGTTCTTTACGAAGGCCTTTCCCGCCTTTGCGATACCCTGGAAGACAGCAAAGCTGTACTCGAGATTGAACTCTATGCTGTGAGAGAATGGCTACTGAACGCGCACGATCTACTCTACACCATGTCACGAACTCCACGCATGCACTATCTCTTATATTCCAATTCTGACTTCAGAGAGAAGATTGCAAACAAAGAAATGCATCCAGATGTCAAAGATGAACGTGATCTTTGGAAGGGACCTGGAGGCACAAGCCCCGAAAGATGGAACTTTTCCATGGANACTCGAAAGTTCTTAGGTGGTTGATCTTGCCTTGATCATGCTTTCTATCCAGTTGTGGATCTCGTGTACCAACTCTGCTAAGCATGTGAAATGTATTAGAACTGATGACTTGTATAGCTCCTCCCGCACCTCACTCTAACTACTCTTGACTAATCCGTGAAACGCGCCCGACTTTGCAAGTAGATATTTTGGTGGCCCTTGCTCGACGATCTTTCCATCGTCCATGACGATAATCTTGTCAAATGTTGCAACAGTCGTCAGGCGATGTGCTACCACTATCAGCGTCTAAATAGAGTCGCTCTGCAGGATTCTTCGTATCGCTCCGTCGCTTCTGTTGTCTATTGCTGATGTTGCTTCGTCAAGCAGAATAAGTTTCCGTCTATGCATGAGTATCCGAGCAAGGCAAAGAAGTTGTCGTTGTCCAGACGAAATGTTCTCTCCGCCCGCGGCGACTGGGGAATCTAGTATTAGTGTGTGAGTGCCATCGTACTGCGGCCCTTGTGCACTCGACATCAGACCCACTCGTTGCAAGACTTTTTCCAATTTCGCATCTGGATACTGATCAAATGGGTCAAGATTCGTGCGGACAGTGCCAGAGAACAGAGCTGGGTTCTGTGGAATGTAGCCTATCCTTTGACGTAGATCTCGCAGTCTAATTGTTGATACATCGAGGCCGTTGATGTACACACTCCCCTTTTCGGCCTCAATCATGCGTAGGAGAGCCAACAAGAGGGTCGATTTGCCGGCTCCTGTGCGACCTACCATCCCGATACGCTCACCAGGAGCGACCGTGAAGTTTATGTTGTCTAGAACCAAGCGAGAAGAATCTGAATATCTCACACTGAGGTTCTTGACTTCAACACCGCCTTTGCGCGGCCAGTCTTGTGTGACCTGGAGACCATCTTGAGCTTCACTCTTGAGGTATTTGAATTCCGAGATTGCGCTCGCCGCTACCGCAGACGTTTCGAACGCACCAAATCCATCGACTGCTTTGAAGATCACACTGGAAAAGCGCATGGAAAACGAGAGTGCGAAGCCAAATAGAGAAGCGTCAGTGGCCGCAGATCGTGAATGTAGGAGCACTACACCTGTGCCGAAGCTGAAGATGATGCCGATCAGAGACATCTGCAAGCCCAGCCAGCGATTGGCTATCCAGAAGTGGCGTCTGGCTTTCGAAAGATCGTCGACGCAGCTGTGCATTTGCTCCTCAAATGCTGATGTTGCACCAAAAGCCCTGATTGTTGAAAGTCCAGTTGTAGTGGTCATGGCAAGGCCAAGCAATCTACTAGTAGGCTGGCGGTCGGCACGTTGCACTGTCACTCGAGCTCTGTTATAGAGTCTGCCCACCCCAGAGCTGGCACACAGACCTCCGAACACAATGAAGCCGGTGTACCAAGACTGATTGAGGCTTCACAAGAATCAGCAGGGTATCAAATTCTAGATGTTCCATACATACCCAATCACAATAGTGGTCATAATCTCCATGCCACATTGCAGGAACTCGGACACCAGAGGCATCAATCTGTCGTCCATCGCTTGTGAGTCAGTGCAGAATCTTTGTGTAAGTTCACCGGTGGAGACACTGTCGATCCAAGAGAGAGGCATCTGAACGACGGTGTCAAGCATGGTGTTGAAGAATGCCTCTGATGCCCTGAGGGTCCCAGAAGCTTGATGCGCGTAGAAGAGATATTCCGCTGACACGGCAAGTACTGCGCTAGCCACGAATGATCCGGTATGATGGAGAATCTCGATCCGCATTGGAGGCTGCGAGATCGCTAGCGAATCCAGCATCTTTGCGTTTTTCAAGGTCCATGTTGGAAGCATGACCAGCACTTGTCTAAGGACGAGCGCGATGATGTAGACCGACACATAGTTGTAACCACCTAACCCTTCGATGTAAGATTGACATGGAGCAGGAGAAGACTTGAGTGTTAAATCTGCGGCTGAACTCACAGGTACCTGTCGGTCTTCTTCGTGCACAAAACTGCCCAAGGTCTTCCCCGTATCGGAGACAGCACGATGGGCGACGGGTTTCCAATCAGTGCTGCGGATATCCAAGCTCGGTTTCCGTCTGTCATCTCTAGGGTCTTGAGCCACAGCTTGAGCCGTACCGTGGGCAATATGAACGACACAGCTCGCCTTTGACATGCAGAGTTCAAGCTGATGAGTGACCAAGATTCGTGTTCTGCCATCTCCGAGAGGACCATTGAGAGCGTCGACAATGTGTCTCGCCACGCGAGTGTCCAAAGCCGACAGGATGTCATCCAACAACAAGATCCTCGCTCTGGAATACAGTGCTCTTGCGAGCGCTATTCTCGCCCGTTGTCCACCGCTCGCCATTACACCTTGAGCACCAATCGACGTTTGATCACCGTCTTTGAGCGCCTCAAGGTCCGGTATCAAGGCGCACACTTCTATGACACGCTCGTATCGTGACGCGTCATAGATCTCTCCAAGCAACATATTGTCCTTGAGAGTTGTACTCTGGAGCCAGGGGGTCTGTGTTACGAGAGCAATGGGATTGTCGGCGGTACCACGTGACGTCTCGATACTGCCATCGAGTAATTTAGCTTCCCAAGAATTGCAGCAAGCATCAGACTCTTGCCACTGCCTGTATCACCATGGATGACACTGAGTTCCCCAGCAGGAAAGCTAACATTCACATGTTCCAGGTTGAACCTTGTGCTGGCGTCTTGGCCTCCAAGTAGAGACGAGTCGCCGCTATCTGGCCACGTGAACGATGCATTGCTGAGGACAATGTTTCCCGAGTAGTTATTCTGTATGTAATCGTCTCTGTCTGGAATCCTCAGAAAAGATTGTAGACGGCGAGAGCTGGCTTGTGCACTCAGATAATCCTGGATCACGAGAGGTGCCAAACCGAGAGTGCCTTCGAGCTGGGGCAGGAGCTCACGTATGGTGAAGATGACCGAAGCCCTCAACTGACCTTCGAGATACGCATGAACAAAGATTGTAATCTCCGACACTAGCAGAGGCGATGCGATTTTCCACACGAAGCTGATGTTCTGGGCGACCAAATCTTGCCTTTTAGCACGGAGCTCTATTTCCCTGTACTTCTTGACGCGCTGCCTCCATAGATCTTCGTTCGCCTGGAGTTTGATGTCGTGGAGTACACTCCAGACACAGACCTCAAGAGTTTCTTGTAGATAGTCGCAATCAGCTGTGCTCGAATGGGAATACCGAGCTCCGACCATTGGAACCAATTCTGGCGGTAATGTACAATGGTCTCGGAAGTCGCGGATAGAGCGATGCCACACAGCCAGACCCAGGCAAGATCCCGATCATTGCTCTCTAGACGAGCAATCAGGCGCAAGACACAATATGGAGACCCGAACGTGAGGATTGTTCGAGTAATCGTCAGAATCCATTGTTCGATGACGACGTGTCTACGTTGAGCAAAGACTTGGGTCATCAAGCTCTGGGTACAGTCTTTCACAGGTGGTTGAGCCTTTGATTTGGTTTTGTGGTTGAGATCGGGCCAAGCATCCAGATCGGAAGTCTCGGCTGCTATGCGCATAGCCTCTCTCGACCAACTCATGAAGCATCGCGAGATCACGGAGGAGCTATTCAGAATCCACTACAGTGTTGGCACCAGTGACCAGATTTGGCTTACGCTGTATGGACAACGAGATTATGACTAGCGTGGCAGCTATCATCGAGAAGCTCCTATGAAGACATTCTCCAGATTTGAGAGCGATGTCACAATTCTTGGTGGCAAAAACCGTAAGAACCCATGGAAATCGGCTCCGATCTCTACAGATCGAAGATCTGGCAAACACAGAAGGAGGAGTGCTGCGAAAGCGGCTGGCTAGCCTTGGTCAAGTCTCTCAAGCCACTGTTTGGAAACATATTCGCCTTGCGACATCCTTTGGTACGACAAGTGGCGTACCTGGGTGATATCGTCATGTGCGAGGGCCGTGTCAAAAGTGTCAGTCCAGACCGAAGCAAGCACAGATCCAACAAGACGAAGACGCTGTACGAGTCCTGCAAGGGAGCGGGAGTGTAGAAAAGCTCTCAGAAGCTAGTGTAGCGATGGAAGTTTGAGGGCAGTCTCGGCAGTCGGCAAGATACATGATCCGATAGGAGTAGTCTCTCTGCTGCAATGTCCTTTCAACTCACATGGACATGGGACGGGATGTTCTTCATACAATCGAGTCTTGCGAATGCACAAAAGTCTCGGTCTTTGCCAGGTCAGTTTGATGTCCTTGTAGAGAAGCGGCGTGAACATGGCGTTCCATGGCTTGGAGACGAGCGTACAGGAGGCAAGACGATCTCTGGGAAAGCTAGCGATCACTTGGTGGAGGAGTTCAGTAGGAAGATGGGACAACTCGAACATGACGGCAGCAGCAACTCGTGAAGGAGAGTTGAATTAACACTCGGATGATAAGAAGGTTCTTTTTGCGAGCTGGACGCCTGTTCAACCTGTGACGCAACTCTGTGCATTTAGTTAACAACATGGTGCGAATCTCGCGCCTGTCTCCAAGCCTAGCTCTTCGAAGGCATGTGTCGCCGCCAGAGTAGGCTACGATATCGATATATTACGAACAAAGCATGTCGAACGCGCGACAACAGAAGAAGCAGATGGAGTCGGTTGCCATGTTGTTGACGGATGATTGCCTACCGCTTTCAACAGACTTTGATCTCAATGTGACACCGCCGCTTTGACCATCTCGGTCAAGGCTTGGCGAGTGCCATTCGAATCTGCTTGTCGGCTGCATTCTTTCTCTTCCCCTTTTATCTTGACTTTTGTTGGACAAAGGCCATCGAGACCCATTAAGATCAATCATCGCTCCACGTCAAGAATCCAAATATTCGATTGCAAAGCCGAGGGTTTGGATCTTGACCTGATGACGTTCATTCACCCACCGGGGCACCCACCAAGACATGAGGGGCAGTATTTTGAGGGGTAACAGATCAAGGGGCAGTCTCACAACCGTCCCCCGGGTGGGGCTATAGCCACAACTTCATGCCTTTAGAACAATATTTCTACCAAGGACAATACATGGTCATCTCACTGGCCGCTGTCCGACCCACCGGAGGCAGGTCATTGTGCCATTGTTGACTTCGGAAGCTTGCAGCATGCACAATTGTCATCATGCGCCTGAAATACTCTTCCTGACATCTTTTTTTTCTTATTTGCCTTGTGTCTTTCTTCTTGAATTCTGACCTCTCCTCCAGCATGGCGTATCCACAGACCTCGTTCATCTACACCTCTCTCACCCCCGAGACTTTACTTGGCCAGCGCCGACGAGCCGTCGCAGCAAACACTCTTCAGTACCAGCTCGATGTACTCAAGAAGACTGGACGCTACGATGCGTTCAAGTTGAAATGGCATCCAGTGTACGATTGCGCGCCAGAAGTGTGGCCCATTCCAGACCATCTCTTCTGGGACTCAGATGTCGCAAAGTGGATAGAGGGCGCTTGCTATTTTCTACAACAAGAATGCATGCCAAGTATTGCCGATGCAGTGGACGAGCTGGTGGACATGATCAGATCCGCTCAGCAGCCAGATGGCTACTTGAACATACACTACACTGTGGTCGACCCGGGCAACCGCTTCACGAATCTCAAGGACATGCATGAACTTTACAACTGCGGGCACTTGATTGAGGCTGCCCTAGCACATCATGCTCTTTACGACAACGATCAGCTTCTGAGTCCCATCTGCTCTTACGTGGATCTTTTGTGCGAAACCTTCGGACCAGGTGCGGAACAAACGCATGGCTATCCTGGACACCCCGAGATCGAGCTCGCTCTTCTCCGTCTTTATGAACGCACTGGGGTCCAACGCTATCTCTCACTGGCAAGATACTTTATCACAGAAAGAGGCAGTGCAACTGGTTGTGATGGGAGACATTACTTCGACGTGGAGGCTGAGAAGCGTGGGGCGGATCCAAACATGAAACCCGCTTTCTATCCTGAGCCTCGCTCGCTATGGTATCACCAGGCACATGCACCCATCGCCGAGCAACAAACTATCGAGGGCCACTCAGTTCGAGCCATGTACCTCCTGACCAGTGTTGCGGATCTTGTACGCATTGACCAAGGTCATTCCGATTTACAGGCTGCGACGTACAAGTTGTGGAATAACATGGTCAATCAGAAGATGTACTCTACTGGTGGTATTGGTGCTATCAAGCAGTGGGAAGGCTTTGGTCTGGATTACTTCTTGCCGCAAGGAAGCTCAGAAGGCGGTTGCTACTCGGAGACGTGCGCCGCGATCGGAGTCATGATGCTGGCTCAAAGATTGCTCCAGGTGAGTTGATTTCGGATCTGTGAAAAATTGAGTGTCTAATCTTGATCATAGATCGATTTGGAAGGAAAATTCACCGACATCATGGAATTGTGTCTGTACAACGCCGTCCTGACCGCGATGTCCACAGACGGCAAAAAGTTCACCTACGTCAATCAACTGGCGTCAAGTGACGAGGATCTTTCTCAACGCGATGACTGGTTTACAGTCGCATGTTGTCCAGTGAGTTCTGGTCGTAACCGTTGCTGACAAAGCTGACCAAAGTTGTGTCGTTAGCCGAACATGTTGCGCCTGCTGGGAACTATTGGTGGCTATATCTGGTCTTACCAGTCTATAGCCACAGAGAAGAGAGCGCAGATCGATGTGCATCTGTATATAGGTTCCAAGCTTGCTTTCGAGTGCGGCGAAAACACGATAGCGCTCGAGCAAGAGACCAACTGGCCATCTTCCGGAGATGTGAAATTCAAACTGCACTCCAACTCGGTCAAGGTCGACCTTCGGCTAAGGATTCCAGGCTGGGCCGAGTCATGGAAGGTGAGTCAAGGACTGTCGATACGGGCTGTCGCAAGAACATGCTGACCGGAACAGATCATGCCAGAATGTCCGAATGCAGTCCTAAAGAAAGGATATCTTTCGGTTCCCTCTGACTGGCTGGGACAGCATCCAGAATTCATCCTTTCCATACCGCTCAAGGCTCGCATATTGGCTTCGCATCCTCTCACTAATCAGAGTACTGTCACGGTCGCCAGAGGTCCTGTGGTATACTGTGTGGAAGACTTTGATAACGCTTGGGTTCAAGACCACTTTGCAGTACGTTGTCCGGAAGAAGGGTTTCGACAGCATCACTAATCCAATCACAGAACNGTCCTACTCGACCCCACTTGCACCATCACCGAGAAGCATGTCCAAGATAAGAGTTCAGGAGACTCGTTTGTTGCTCTCACAGTCACGCATGGCGCTTCAGTCTTGAACACCGACGCTTTTGAAGAGACTCCATTTCTGCTAGACGATGGTCTTAGTAAAGGTACACCACTGCCGAGCCTCGAGTTCGTCCCATACTACTTCCGCGCCAATCGAGGAGGAAAAGGGCATATGCGCGTGGGCCTCAAGAGAGCGATCTGATTCGGGACTGCTGGCAGGATAGCATCACAACATTGTTCATCCTTTGGAACGAATTGTGTAAGCAGGCGACGCGCAGCCCAAACTTTCGCCGCACCAGAATAAATTGCTTGTATCTTGTTACGTGAGATCTGAAAGAGTCATCTAGACCTGTTGTGTTCCTTGCGCAAAAATTGTCGGAGTTGCACAACTTTGACCGTTGCATTACCTCGGTAAGCCCCAAAGTCTACATGATAGTCTCCGGAGGGGTAGCAACGGCCAACAGCTCCTGCTTCCAAATCCACGTATCGAACTGCGCGCACGTGTACTTCCGTCGTCCTCTACGACTCTGCCTCGCAAGGTCACTCCATCTATAGTATGCCCCTCACACGCCGGAATCCTGTTCAGTCACCCTTCGGAACTCATATCGGATCCCTGGTCGATGGCTGAAAGTGCCACTAGAGACAAGTCGCTATCTTGTCAATTCTGCAACAAGAGCTTCGGACGTTCTGAGCACCTGAAACGTCACATCCTGACGCACACTAGATCCCGGGAGTACCAATGTCGAGTGTGTAGGAAAGCCTTTTTAGAAAGTNNAAGTCATGGCGTCATCTTGATAAATGTTCAAATCAACCAATTGACGATCCAAAGGGATGCTCTATCTCGGCATGAACATACGCATCAGACACCAGGGCCGACCCTCCTACAACTTGGAGGCAGAGCCTGTATAGCTTGTGCATCATCGAAGACCCGATGCTCAGGAGAAGCACCATGCACAAGATGTCAACAGAGATCGTTGCAATGCACCTATCCTAGTGTCGCGAATGGGGACAATCCGATCGAAGTCCAGACAAACAGTCCCGACATAAATCAAGGTATGTTTCAGGCGGTGTTTGGTTATCCACCACTATATGGTCTTGCAAGATCTGACTTCCCATCAGATACATCAGATATCAACCTCGGGAACGGATCTGAAGCATTTCTTGGAAACCCTTCCGACCAAGCCGCGTATACTGCGCACCAAGCTCCTCAGGAAATCTCATCATATGGAATGGCTCCAATATCGCATGTCGATCATACACTGTCGCAAATAGACCTCTCGACATCACAATTCGAAGACCCGCCACATATCATGATGAACAGCACAGAACAATACCAGGAGACACACAGCGCGACAGGGCTCTATCCTTCATTGCCAGTCAGCTATACCGCGATCAACTGGCTTGGGTTTGAAGATGGGCTCGGTATGACTGGATCGCTTGATCATGACTGGCAATACCCTGATCATATGTTTAACTTTTATATGCCTGCTAGTGATACTCACAGTATCTCTCAGGTGTCTCCTGCTGCCTCGAGGGATCTGGAAACAGCAACTGGTGGCTCTTCTACTCGCCCCGACAATAACGCAACGACCCCTCACGATGCAGCCACGACAAGTACCTTGGGTACGGACGANAACCCCGCGACGCCTGGACAATTCTACGCCGATGGAGGTACAGCTCGACTGCCACGAATGAAGAAGCGAAGGGCCACGTCAAGCTATGCAGTTCATGAGCATTCGAGAAAGAAATTTTCGATGTTGTTACCTGCTAGTCTGACATGCGCGCCCTCTGATGACCACTGGCTTGACGATCAAGGCTACGCTGATCTCCAATCGCATTACTCAAACTTCTGCACCTCAGCCGCAACACTCTTTGCACCATTTGAAAATGTCGACTTTCCTCACAAGACCCTGTTCGACTATCTGTGTGGTCTTTATCTTGAGAACTTCAGCTCGATACTCCCATTTCTCCATGTCTCAACCTTGAGAGTGCAAAGACAACATCCTCTTCTCGTTCTGGCTATGGCCGCGATAGGCAGTCATTATCTCAAGGATCAGAACGTCAGTCGATTCGTACTCTCGATGCATGAATTCATGCGGAGAGTCCTGTTCTTCGCTCCTGAATCTTTCGATGGTTTTCAGCTGGATCTTGTAAATCAATTCCGAATCACTTTGCTGCATGCTGTCGGTGCTACATACTGTGGTGATGAAGCTCTGAGAGATCATGCCTTCGCTCTTAGGCTAAGACTTGCGACCTTCTTCGTCAGTGTCAACAGCTCACAAGCGACAACAGCTGGAGCACAGGACGATTGGCATCATTGGGTTGACAGAGAGTCGTCAGTCCGTCTACGGCACTGCACATGGCTTATGGACTGTATGTGGTCGTTCCAATCTCACACACAAACGATGCTCACGCTTAGCGATGCAACGCTTGCACTACCGGCGCACGAGAAACTATGGAACGCTACTTCAGCAGCTCAATGGAACCATCTCATGCGCAACAGGGAGGTTCCGAAGGATTTAGCTCCATCTGTTGACGAACTGTATATCTCCAAGAACGTCATGGCGGATGCTGGTGAATTTGCTCGTATACTGCTAATCTACGGGCTTCATCGGCGTCTGTCAGAAGTCGCAGTCTATCACAGTCAGAAGTTGTCGCATTGGGTCTCGAAGGAGCAAAATCCAGCAGAGACTGCAGTCATACCAGACACCCCTATCTGGCTCCCATCACTTCCTGTGTTCAGACAATGGCAAAATCTCACATGCGATAGTCTGGACGTCTTGCATTGGACAGCCAACGCCACAATCGGAGAAGCAAGCGGTTTTGAACATCCCACTGTCTTGCATCTGCATCTTGCTCGAGTCGTCTTGCTGACGCCGATCCGAGAAATTGTGAACCTTGCACGCTATCTTGCTGGTGACAAAGGCGCAAAGTCGGAGGCTGGGGTGATGGTAGATCGGCAAGCTGTACACAGATGGGCTATCCAGCATCAGTACAAGGCACGATTGGCGGCTATACATGCAGGCGTGGTTTTCTGGCATGTTCGAAGGTTTTCAGCAAACGCATTCTACGAGCCCACGGCTGTCGCCCATGCAGCCCTAGTACTCTGGGCGTTTAGTGCATTCTCTTCAAAGACAGCACCGCCACCTGATCTGTCAAACGATGGACCTCCTCATGCCGCACATGCAGACACAACTGTCGAGACAGACTGTAACACTTCGGACAGCGAGAGCTCGTCAGACACCATCATTCTTCTCGACCGTCCAGCAGATGACGAGATTGTGCAAGAGTTTGTCTTGAATGGTCCTCGCATGAGGGCTAACATGACGGGGGTTGGTGATTTGTACGGCGAGAAAGGGCCAGAGCGTGTGGTCAGGGAAGGATCAAAGATACTCAAGACATTGGGCTGCTGGCGAGTTTGGGAGTCTTGGGCAAAGGTATTGGATAGGCTGGTTGTTGTCTGTAAACGCGAGAGAAAACGAGCCAGGGAGGTGACTGCATCGAACGGTCAGGCCATGTCAGTCTCGAGCACGAGAGAAACTGGTGAGTGACATCTGCATCTAAGTCAACGCTGGACTTCAGCGACCACACAACTTTCAGCTCGTCATGTCAGGTGCCGCGCTCCTGGAGGGTTGTGTGTGCGATGTTGAATGATGGTTCTGGCTCGATCAGACAGCCAAACAAGTCCCCCGGAGCAAGGGTCCCGGAGGGGTCGACAAATACGAATGGGAGAGTTTACTATACTTTGATCACATCGTGCGGGGAAGTCGCGTGCATGAACCATTCTCTAAACGGTGCACCAGCATTTGACTCTTCGAACAGCCTCATCCGTGGAGAACACGCAACACTTCTAACTTCAGATCCCTTTCACACGACATGACATCCTCCGGGGGTGACAGGATCTCCATTCTATAAGACAACACGACTTGGAGTATCTGGGGAAGTGATCATCAGTCATACCGATACAACAACGACAACAACATCAAGCACATCTCAAGCATGGCTACTCACGAGAATGTCGTCCATGAGTCGGCAAGCATCGATGGTACAACCAGGGACACTTCGGAGTTCCGGGCACTCATCGCGCAGGCACAAGCAAGTGCCGACTTCGATTCCAAGTTGACCGTCATGCAAGCGCTCAAGAAGCACAAGAAAGCCGTCTTCTGGGCCATGATTCTGTCCACTAGTTTGATCATGGAGGGTTATGATCTGGTCATTGTACGAGCGCTCAGTCACTCTTCCATCGTTATTGTGATTGCTGATTATGACGTATAGATCAATTCGTTCTATGGTCAACCACAGTTTCAGAAAAGGTTTGGTGAGCAGGTTGGCCCTGACAAGTATGCCATCTCGGCTTCCTGGCAATCTGGACTGTCCAACTCGGCCGTCGTTGGCCAGTTGATCGGTCTTGTCCTGAACTCGGAGTTCCAGGATCGCTTTGGTTCTCGCAAGACCATGATGTTCTTCATGGTGTGGTTGATTGGCGCCATCTTTATCCCTTTCTTCGCTCCCTCTTTACCTGTTCTCGCCGTCGGAGAAGCTCTCTGTGGTATCCCTTGGGGTGTCTTTCAGGTCAGTCTGCATCATCGCGTTCGCTGTGAATGGCACTAATTGATTTGCCCACAGACTCTGTCGACCTCGTACGCGTCCGAAGTTGTACCTACCGTTCTTCGTCCTTACGTCACTGCCTACGTCTGCATGTGCTGGGGAGCTGGTATTCTTCTGTCGTCTGGTGTTGCCCGTGCCGCCATTACCCTCAAAGGAGACATCGCCTGGCGCCTTCCCTTCGCTCTACAATGGACGTGGCCAGTACCTCTGTTTATCCTGGCATACCTCGCACCTGAATCGCCATGGAATGCTGTCCGCCGTGGAAAGAACGACCTTGCCAGAAAGAGTTTGCAGCGCCTTATCGACCAAGGCTCTGACCATGACCACGAAGTCGAGTGCAGTCTGGCTTACATCATCTACACCAACGAACAGGAACAGCTCGAGACCGAGGGTGCCAGACTCATTGACTGTTTCCGTGGCACAAACCTTCGTCGCACTGAGATCGTAAGTCGCCTTCAATTTTCATGGTCGAACATCTGCTGACTCTTGTAGAACTGTGTCGTCTGGGCCGCTCAGATCCTGTGCGGTAACGCAATCCTCGGCTACAGTGTTGTCTTCCTCGAAGCCGCTGGATTCGACCCCATCGCAGCACTCAACCTCAACATCGGCCTTTCTGCTTGCTACATTGTCGGCGGAATCATCTGCTGGTTCCTGTTCCCTCGCCTTGGCCGCGCAACAATCTACATGAGTGGTTTGACGTTTATGTTCTTCTGTCTTGTGGCGATTGGTGGTCTTGGCTTCAGTGCCAGCAAGCATGCCGAATTGGCCATTGGTATCCTTCTCATCGTGTCTACCCTCGCCAACATGATTACTATTGGACCAGTTTGCTACCCTATTGTTGCTGAGACACCTTCCGGTCGTCTTCGCTACAAGACCATCACCATTGGAAGATTTGTCTACAACTTGACTGGTATCTTTTCCAACAGCGTGACCCCACGCATGATTTCTTCAAGTGGTAAGTCTTGCTACGCGTCAGTATGACTTTTATCAAGCAGTCCGACTGACATAGTTGACTCGAAATANGCATGGAACTGGGGCGCCAAAGCCGGTCTCTTCTACGCCGGCACAAACCTGCTCTGCAACATTTGGTGCTGGTTCCGCCTGCCAGAAACCAAAGATCGCAGTTTCGGCGAGATTGACATGTTGTTCGAGCACAAGGTTCCCGCCAGAAAGTTCAGGACTACTGAAGCTGACCGTAAGTTCTACCCTACACGTTTTGGAGAGTGTGGAGTTTTCGTTTTACTGACATGCCTTTGCGCTGCAGAATTTGCTACCAATCAGATGATTTTGGATGTCAAGGAAAAGGAGATGGCTATGCATGTGGAGAGATTGTCGTGATGAGTTAGAGATGAACGAACGGCGGGGTTGGGACTGCAGCGAGGTATACAGCTTAGCTGGTTGGGAAGGCTTCACAGTGGTACTTTGTGATCGAACCATCTTTACTCAGGCATCATTGGAATTCCCGATCATGCTATCCTTACATGAGTATGAAATCTTGTTACAATCTTCCACTTGACTGTCGTTCGTTGGATGCTCCTAAAAGGCATTCGCAATACATGATCGAATGATCAGAAGCCTCTTGACAAAAAGAAAAAAGTCGACGGTATGCCAAAGCAAAACAGCAGCCAAAGTCGACAGTATCTGTCGTCTACCAACTCCACCTTATAAACCCAATTCTTACCCACGATGGAAGAAAACGCACGTTTGCTGGCAAGAAATAAAGTGGTCGTCGATACAAGCACCCCAAGAAAAAAAAAAATCCCCGACGCGACAGAAAGTAAAAGCTGAACAATGCGTCAAACCTGCATCTACCATGCCCGTACCTTGCATCTAACCACATTTTCCGAAATCTTCATTCCCCTCAATCCTCATTTCGTTGTTCTTTTGCGCCAGAAGATTTACAAAATATATCCCTACACAAAACGCTTGACCTTTGAAGTACACCAGATCGACATCGTCTTCAAAAGTTCATGTTGCCACTTGCAAGCGGGAGTGCTGTGATCGGCTTTTCGGGCGCAGCACGCGGAGCACGGCGCAGCAAAACGTCGATCCTAGAGCAACAAAAGCTATTGCTCTTTTTTGATCGACGACACTGACACTTCCAAGCTGAATAAAGATCGGCAAGTCGATGCAAATAAAGTCTGGGAATATTTGTACTTGTGAGATAGAGTTACGGGGTGAACCAGATCTCTTCGGGGGTCCTGACACGGCAGAGCGGAGTATCTCGCCGGTCAAAGGGTCATTATTGCTAGCTGGACTTCTGAACGTCTAATTCTACATTTCCGTGTCTGGAGTCAAAAAGACTGCGATGGCGAATCTGTTGAGAAAAAGGTCGGAGATAAATCTTACAGGCACAATAGGGCACAAGAGAAGATGTACAAAAGCGCAATTGCGGATTTTGATAAAGAGATGCTAGACATATATGCAAGACTGCTTTTTTTCCATTAACTCATCTCACCTCACAATCCATCTCAAATCCATCAAGAAGAAAAATGCTTTGTTGAACAAGCAAACACTTCTTCCACCGCAAACAATCGCTGAAACTTTCATAGGTGCTTTCCAGCCGTCAAATCATGTCGTAAACCATGTCGTATATCGCAGTTTGCTGCATCTACTGAGCAGCGAAGCCAAGCTGAGGGGTCGAGCTCTCGCTGGAGAAGACGACAAAGTGGGCCTTGAGGAAAATATCACCAAAGATGGAAATACCGGAACCGGCGCTGGACTGGATACCACCGTAGCACTGGCCGCCACCAACGCTGGCGTAGTTGATGTAGCTGCCGGGAGTGACAAAGTTCTTGCCACCGATGACGGCGGTGAAGCTGGGGAGGGTGGCAGAGCAGGAGAAGATGTAACCACCCTGGTCGTCAGAGTACTGAGCGCTGGGGATCTTGGCGTAGTAGGCGTTGACGACGTTGTCGGGGAGGAGCATGAGGGTGGTGCCGGTGTCGGCAATGGCGGAGTAGGAGCTGGAGACGGTGGAACCGCTGCCGACAGAGTAGCCGGTGGTGGTAAATTGCCAGAAGCCGTTTCTGGTGTTGACGGGGACGTAGGTGATGGCACCGGTGTACTTGGAGGTGTCAATGTAGCCAAAGTCGTAGGATCCGGGGCCTCCCTTCTTCAGGTCGACGGTGAAGAGCTTGCGGGCAAGAGTGCTCTTGACGGTGTCGAAGAAGGTGGTCTGCTGGTTGGGGCTGACGGTGTTGATGGACGAGAAGGCAAGTCCGAGAAGACCATCGTTGTTGGTGTCCTGCTGGAACTGAGCAGAGATGGAGGTTGCGGCCTCAACAGCCTGGGAAGTGGCAGTAACGGCACCGACGACAACCTTGTCGGCGTAGACCACACCAGAAGCACCGGAGCCATCGCCGTAGCTGATGTCCCAGGTCTGGCCGCTGAGTCTGGTCTTGCCAGCGGTGTTGTAAACATCGTGGCCACTTCTCTGCGACGAGGCTTGGAGGGTGGAGAATACCCAGAGATCGGCTGAACCCGTGTCGAAGTCGAGGTTCAAGGTAGTGCCGCCGACAGAAACGGGGCAGAGGTACTCGGAATCACCGTTGTACGAGTTGGCGGTGACGGTACCGCTTTGCGAGGCAGCAGCGGCGGCCTTCTCGACAACAGAGGGAGGAGTACCACCAGTCTTGGAGATGGCCTTTGCGAGGGCAATGGCAGGGGCAGCGACCTTGGTGTTACCAGTGGAGACTTGAGGGACCGAGAACTTGACGTTGCCGACGCTGGCTCTGGGCTCGACGGGAGAAGCAACAGCGACGGCTGCAATGGCAGCAAGGGCAGCGAGAGTCTGCTGCATGGTCGAAGATGGAAGCGATTGGAAGAGGAGTGAGTGAGTGATGGTGATGATGATGTTCCATGTCGGGGAGGGGAGGCTCGTTATATACCTCGAGTCAAGGGTGATGAACTGACGAGCTCGGCTCAAGAACGAGCTGTGGTCGCCTCTCCAGACTCAACCGGTCGTGTGAAGAGGACCTGCATACCTTGAACGGCCAATGGTGTTGTACAGCGGAGACTTCTCGAATTACGGACGAAAGAAGATGCGGATGATGGCTGCGAGATTCACCCGCAGCTGCCTTTCTCGTCCTAAACTACATATTAGCTTCAACTTATAGTGTTCAAGAGCAGGGCAAGTAGGGGTTGTGATAGACAGATCGACAGTCGAGGACGTCGGTTGTTAAAAGGCAGCCGCTTGTTTCGCGTGTGGCCGGTGGGCTAAGACGCGCGAAGCCATATGCTTGGTGCAGCTAAGGACAAGTAAGCGTGGTCTAGTGGCCATGGCACGCAGGTCCATACGAACAGGCCTCTATCGAAGTGTGGGGATCTTCCACCGGCCGTAGATCTATCAATTCAGACCAGGCCGGATCTGGAAGCTGAGATTGTTTCAGCGCGTGGGCGCTGGTAAACACCCCATGTTTATTCGGCCTCGGTATCTTTGTCGGACAAGTTGCGAGTGGCATTTGGGGGCGCTGTTGGAAGTCTGATAGGTCATGGGTTGAGCAAGCGAGGTTTGAGGCAATGTCGGTGACAGCCAATTGGAGCGGCGACAAGACGAGCGAGCATGGCCGAGACGGCGCCATATGCAAGAAAGGTCGAAGATAGAGAGAGAACAAGTTGCGCCATGCTCAGACCTTCTCGAATCATGGAACGTGTGGCCATGCATGAGGCATGAGTGGCGGTGAATGTGCCGGCCTTGACTCTCTGTGACAGCTTGACTGCTTTCTTGTCTGAGGCAAACAGGGGCCGTGGGTGTGGTGGCCAAACGGCGTGAAGATGCGGGTTGCCACCATTCACGCGCGCGGCACAGATGATCTCTTGTCAAGCTCATGTTCAAGACAGCCATGCTCGCGACAGATGGCAGCCCAGCAGGGCACAGCGGAGAGTTCCCCTAACTCGTGTTGATCATTGGAAAGGAGCAGCTGGGTTAGCCGAGATGAGGCCGGGTAATTCAAAGCTTATCAGTGCGGGCCCGCCCGTCGTGCTTGGGGGTTTACATGTGACTCTTGCACCATCCACTTGATGCAAGCCGCACTATCTAACGAATGCAAACATTGTATATCGACACGAAACTCAAAGGCCAATCGCCTTGACATGATTCTCAAAGAGGCAGGCGGCTGTAACATGCAATATCACGCACGTCTGGGCATTGTTGGACACGAAGTGATCAGCTGGCAGTGCGACGCCGCTTGTGTGATATTGCGTCTTGGACACGGCGTGGGGGTTGCATGATGAGATAGAAGGAAGCTCGACATTAGGTAATTACGGTATGCGTGGAATCATTAGGCAGTGAAGGACTGGGCCTTGACGATAACGACATCCTCGACGGGTCTGTCGCCAGCGCCGGTTCTGACACTTCCAATCTTCTGGACAACATCCATGCCGTCGACGACTTGGCCAAAGACGGTGTGCTTGCCGTTCAGGTGAGGAGTCGGGGCGAGGCAGATGAAGAACTGACTGCCGTTGGTGCCAGGGCCGCTGTTGGCCATGGACAGGACTCCAGCGCCAGTGTGCTTGAGCGAGCTGTCGAACTCGTCCTCGAACTTGCCGCCCCAGATGGACTCTCCACCACGGCCAGTGCCGGTGGGGTCGCCGCCCTGCAGCATGAAGCCGGGGATGATGCGGTGGAAGATGACGCCGTTGTACTTGCCGGCGTCGGCGAGGCCTGCAAAGTTCTCACATGNTCTATCATCTCTGGTCAGTCTTCCTGGAGGAGAGTACGCATGCGCCTAGGGAAGGCAGGAAGGACTCACTCTGGGGGTCTTGTCGCTGTACAGGGCAATGGTGATGTTGCCGTAGTTGGTCTCGAGCAGGACGCCGGCGGGGGACCGGATCTCGAGGCGGCGGTGGTGGTGGCAGCTGCAGGAGCGCGGCTGCTGGTCTGGGGTGGAGGCGCGCTCGATGTCGTCGTGGCTGCGTTGTTTCTCTCGGCCGTCGTGTGCGAGGGAGTCGTGGCTGCTGCCGATGACGAAGACGACGAGTCGTGNCTTGTCGTGCTTGAAGATCTTCTTGAGCTTGTCCATTGTGCTGGGACGGTCTTCGGGGCGGTAGGATTTGGGAGGAGTGTTGGCTGCGTGGAGCATGAGGATGACAGCGAAGAGAGCTGGACGCGTCAAAGAAGGAGATGCTGAGGAAGGAGCCTACGTCATTGTGGCAGTGAACTCAATCCCGCCTGCATGACGCTGCCACGACCGGTTTTTCTTGCATTCGTTTCGACATCTCGCACAATACGTTGGACGGCTTCTGCTTCCAAGCTTGAATGTGCAGTGCAGAGAGAGAGAGAGAAAGAGAGAGGAAAGTTCTCTTCTGCTCCACGTACTTTCCACAGTCAGCCATCGTCCCTTGCACTAAAAGGATTCCGGTCGATCTCCCGAGCCTTCTTGGCCTTGGCCACTCCGCTGCCTCCACTCCGCCCCCGCTCCGCCCTGGCTGCTTGGCTTGTTTATCCATGTGACAGGGTCTTGCCGACTGCAACCTATTCATGTTTTCTTATGCTCCTTAAATCAGGCAACCCAACGCAATTGTCCCTAAATCTAGCATCAGACTATACCTCCCTCTCATGAGAATGTGTCTATCTTCATGTTATGTTGAATTTGACCGGTTGGCACGTCAGAACTGACTTTGTTCAATCGTGGGTCCTGCTTGCTGCAAGTTGGCTTCGAACAGTACACACAGACAGACACCTCGCAACCCGACGAGCACCACAAAGACTTACACAACACATTCATCGGTAGCTGCGTATCAACTATGAAGCAGGCATCTTTCGCATGCATACTAAGGAGTCGCATCGTCTGAAAGTTCTTTGTTCGTCATCTCTCGGCGGTTGTCCTGTTGTTGACAATGCCAAGGTCTCTGCTAATGATTTGGCCGTTACTCTTCTCGGGGAAACTTTTGCAACACATTCACATTGTGACCGGCTAGCACTCTTTCGCCAGCTTGTGGTATAGACAGTCAGAGATGGGAGCATGTGTTTTGACAAGAGCGATCCGATCACCCGGCGCGAGTTCCGCTCGCATCTCTGCCTAACGCCGTTATCTGCGAAACAAATCGTCATTTCTTGCGCCAACTTGCCGACTTCCGTGCTGCCGCATGCGATCTGCTCCCTTTTCGCGGGGTTTCATCGCTTTCGCCATCAGTTCCATCAAAAATGTTTCTGCCGGCCGCGCCCTTCGAGGAACACACGGCACTTGACTTGGAGAGGGCTTGAAGCAGATTATTCAGCTCCCTTGTGGCTGCATGAGTCCTCTACCCGGTCTTGCCTCTTGCTCCTCTTCTCTTCTTCTCCCAACTTCCTCTCGATCAACACACATCAGTTCACGCCAATATGGAGCGGATAGAACGCCTGCTTTCACGGCCGACAGCAAAGCCGTACAGGTCGCGAGACATTGAAGCCTCGGAAGAACCATGGCTCAACGAGGATGGCCTACTGGACTTTTCCCCCGACGACATGGAGAATCCCAAGAACTGGTCCAAGGCTCGCCGCTGGTACATTACCGTGGCATCTGTCATTCTCGTCGTCAATGCCACATTTGCCTCATCCAGTCCGTCCGGTACCCTTGAAGGTATCGCGACGGATCTGCACGTCTCAACAGAGGCCGCCGGACTTGTCATCACTCTTTTCTTGCTGGGCTACTGCGCCGGACCGCTCATCTTTGCCCCGCTGTCTGAATTCTACGGTCGTAGATGGGTCTTCTACATTACTTTTACCTTCTACCTGGCTTTCAACTTCCTCTGCGCCTTCACTCCCAATTTTGCAGGTCTTCTTATCGGTCGCTTCTTGACCGGTACTTTTGCAAGTGCATCTCTGTCCAATGCGCCTGGCGTCCTTGCCGACATTTGGGGACCTGTCGAGCGTGGTAACGCCATGGCTACCTTTTCCATGATGACCTTTGTTGGTCCCGCTCTGGGACCTGTCATCTCTGGCTTCTTGGAGTTGAAGGAGAACTGGAGATGGAGTTTCTACGTTCTCCTCTTCCTGGGCGGATTCACCTGGTTCTTGATGTTCACCATTCCGGAAACACTGCCGTCGATCGTCCTCCAGAACAAGGCGAGAAGAATCAGAGCTTTGAAGATTCCTGGTTATGAGAATGTCAAGGCACCGGTTGAAATCACTGACAGGACTCTTGCTGGCATCTTCGCTGTTGCCTTGACTCGCCCTTGGAAGATCCTCGTTGACCCGATTTCGTTCGCAGTCGCCGTCTATCTCGCAGTCGTGTATGCGCTCCTCTACATGCTCTTCACGATTTATCCAATCGTTTTCCAACAAAAACGCGGCTGGAACTCTGGAGTTGGAGAGCTACCACTTATCGGTACTGCGATCGGTGCTTTTATTGGTGGTATGATCATCTTCGCTGTATCTGCGCGCGACAGGAAGAGGCTGGCCGCTGGTCACAAGGGCGTACCCGAAGATCGCCTACCCGTCGCCATGATCGGTGGTGTCCTGTTCCCGATTGCCATGTTCTGGTTTGCCTGGACCGCCAACTTCAACAGCATTCACTGGATCGTTCCCACAATTGCTGGTGTCTTCCTCTCGACCTCGATCTTGCTCATCTTCGTCGCATACCTCAATTACCTGACCGACACATATCTTATGTATGCAGCAAGTGCTTTGGCAGCCAACACGGTCGCTCGTTCTGCCGCGGGCGCTGCTGCACCGCTCTTTACACAATACATGTTTGACGCTCTGGGTGTTGGTGGCGGCGGCTCGCTCATCGCTGGAGTTGCCTGCTTGCTTGCGCCAATTCCGTTCATCTTCTACAAGTATGGAGGCCCGATCCGAGAGAAGTCGAAGTTTGCGCCGACAGCCAACAAGAAAAGACGAGCCGACGCCGACAGAGGAAGAGAAAGAGGATGAGCCCATGGAGAGGGAGCCCAAAGATGATATGGCCACTGATCANNCGATCACAGCAACAGCGAGACGGATGTATCCCGCGCCCCATCTCATACTCTGGAAGAGATCAAGCCTGAAAATAGCGCGACTCCTTGAGTATCAGATGATCTATTTCTTGTACATACCCCAGATTTTATGCACAACTTTTTTCTTACAGCCATTTTTCCAAGCACAACTTTTCGATATCAACTGGGTCTTTCTTGCTCGCTCTTTCTTACCGACCGACAGATTATTAGACAAGAAATCTCCCAACCATTGTCATGGGTGTTGACTCCTGTTCCAGAGCAACCACTATGTCGGTACGAACTTGCGAATTCTTACCTATTTCGCCGCGACGCGACCCGGGGATGGTCAAAGCTTGATCACCACAGTATCCACTCCATATGAATTTGCACTATAGATAATTACTACACGACACGAGTAGCGAAATGCCATGTTGTTGAGGATCCTTCGTTGATCTTTTGTGGTCTGAAATCCAGGTCAGAAATGAGCAATCTGAAAACTTGAGAATATGTAAGAGACACTCCCGTCCGTCTTTTGGTTGGTCTATCAACCATCAGCATACATTCACACCACTCATCATGGATACCATCGTACCTTCGGCCAATGCCACCTTTCCCTCGTCGGACGGCGTTCTCAAGTCGGTGAGCACCACCGTTACCGAGATCATCGACAGCATCGACCTCAAGAGCCCGGCCGCCCACGCTCTAGAACTGTCGTACTTGGAGCAAGCCAATCCTCGTGGATACACTCGCCCAATGTTCTTCTTCCCCGCAGTCAAGGACGTAGACCAGATGGAAGTGGTTGAAATTTTTCGCAAAGCCCTGGAACCAACACTCAAAGCAATTCCGTCTTTGGCTTGCGAGATTGTGCCAGTTGAAGATGGCAAGACGCCGACTGGAAGGACGGCTCTCAAACATGGCAAGTTTGGTTCGTTGATTGTCAAGGATGTTCGCGGCACTGGCTTCTCATACGAGGAATTGCGAAATGAAAAGTTTCCACAATCACGACTGGATCCTGATGTACTTTGCGCCCGTAAAGTCTTCCCTGTGCCTGGCGAGACACAACCCGCTTGGGTACCTCAGCTGAACATCATTGATGGAGGGTTCATTCTTACTCTCCACAACCATCACACACTGTACGATGCTCAAGCCATCAATGAGATTCTCAGAGTGTGGTCACAGAATTGTCGGCATGTCCAGAACAAGGCCGTATCTGCATGCAGTTCTCTCCCTGCAGAACATTTCGAAAGGTCTGCTCACATCACCACTCGTGCTCCCACAACAGACTCTGGCAACCCTGAGGAACATCCCGAATTCGTCGTCGCTCCTTTCACTCTATCTTGGCCCGAGGCTGTATTCAGAGACACGCATAGACAACGCGTCTACCGTCTGTCCCCCAAAGCCCTGGCCGAACTCAAGAATGACTGCACCGAACCCGGCGACTCTTGGATCTCAACCAACGATGCAGCAACAGCACTCATGTGGCGATGCATCATCCGCGCACAAACCGATCTCAACACCATCCCTGAAGACGCCATGTCCCACCACATCGTCGTTGTTGACCTGCGTTCTCGCTCTGACCCACCGTTGTCCAGACACTACCCAGGATGTCCGATGAACTATGCTCGACCAGGCATGAATCTTGGTCAACTCTGCAACTCCACTACGCTTGCTCCGCTTGCTCGCGCAATCAGAAATGCAGTCGATGAACGCACGCCCGAGTACACGAAATCAGTCATTACTCTGCTCAACAATATTCCTGGATATGGCCACTTTGCATGGACGTCTTTTGGCTCTCTGCTTGGCACCGATTGCATGACTTCCACATGGTACAAACTCGATATCCTGGACCTTGATTTTGGTCCTGCAATTGGACAGATCGAGAGAGTAAGGTTTCCAACTGGAGGGCTGCTTAATGGGCTTAGTTTGATCTACCCGCAGATCACTAGAGGTGACCAGGAGGATGTGGGTATGGAGATTGCGGTTGGACTTGAAAAGCAGTATTTTGACAAGTTGGACAAGGATCCGGTTTGGTGCAAGTATGCAGAGTTGACGGATCCCGGGTATGACTGTATGTAGGATTCGCAAACATTTATACTTCGAACACATTCGATTATTGTCTTTGATCAGACACGCAGCACGGACAAGCGCGTGTCAGGACATGCCAAGCTTCGTCGTCTCACCGCCTCCACCCTCTTGATATTCACCTGACCCTTGATCACTCGACACAACCACACTCGAACTAGCACTCGTCGATGCAACATCGGATTACAAATTCTCAGGCGCGTTGAATCCTGGAGATCAAGCTCTAAGCAGACTCGAGCGTCGGTTTCCTGGCTTGACAGGCACACACCTATCATCACCCGACTCGCAAACACAGGACAACTATGTTCTGTCGCAATTGTGGTTATATAATGGACAGGCTACCATCGGAGCTCATCGCTGAGATGGTCACTCACTGTTCAACTGGTAGCTATCAAAGGCCCGAATCAAGTCTTGTACCATATGCATTGATCTCGAAACAATGACGATACGTTGTCGAACAACGCATCTCTAGCTCGATTGAGATCAAAAGCTCTGACTTAGAGATATTTGCAGCTACATATGGTGCCGATGCGGCTCGCTCACCCCTGAGGTCTGCTCTGCAAAAAGTGTTNGACTACTACATCGAGTCTGAAACAGGGATTTATGAGGCGCTGCGCTCGAGTTCTGCATCTGANAGAGCGACTGTCAGACGACAAAACACTGATATCGCTCTCCAAAGTCTCAAAGCATTCTACATCATTTTGGAAACCTGGTCGATTGAGAGACCAATCACTCTTGAGATACGTCTCACTAAGGATATCAGCCTGACCACGGCTTCACTTAACACTGTCCCCGGGACAGAGCTCGTCAATCGTTTTGTCATTGACCGCAGGGTCATGCGAACCACGGCCTTGTTGACTTCACTTGCCTCTCGGATGGCCGGCTTACAGGAGATCCTATGGGATCTGGACGACTGGGACGTGAGTATAAGCTTGGTGGTCCGGCGAAAAACGCGCCACGGTAGGGTCCTGATTACAAAGTGTGCTGAGTTTGACTGACACGGTTTCTACTCAGATCTCGCGAAGCAGTTGCAGTCGCTTGCGGACAGCTGTCCCTCCCTTCAAGTAACTGATCTGCGATTTGACAACAACATCCCCAGTGACGAGAATACAGTCGTGCCCAGTATCCTGCTGCCACATAACCCAGTCGATCATCTGAGTCGATGTATCCAGCGATTGTCGCTGATGACCAAATTGAGAACTCTCGTTCTCCGCGACATTGTCACTTCAGCACAGTTCTTGCAGCCATCACAGTCNACCATCGAATCGAATCCGGCTATATGGCCATGCCTCAATCATGTAGAGATCAATCTTCACCCAACTTTCGCAGACGGCGGATGGCTCTTTGACGTGGACTCGAATCCTGGTAGCGACGATGCCAATTCTCCTGGATCTGATGAAGAGGATGACGAGGGTCTGGTTTGTCGACGGATCAGAATGGCACGCCTGTACAAGGCTCAAGAGGAGGAGGCCAAGATCACCGATCTTGATCAAGAGTTTGACCCTGAACCTGCTCACGGTAGCGATGACCCCGACGACACGCACTGGGCCGATGATTTCAGAATTTGGCCATCAGAAAAACTAGAAGCCATGCTGGTCGATATGGCGTACTCGGATGCACAAACGTCTGCTTTGAAAGTCTTCACCGCTGGCTCTGATATGCCACATAGTGCATTACATCACCGATTCGAGTTCTTCTATCTTGGATATGTAGTCGAACATGCAGAGTGTGTCTGGGACTTTCCACACGACAGCGAGCAGAGACATCGAAGAAGGCTATTTTGGCGAGTACCAAGGTCATGGCGTATGAACAATGAATTGGAAAGAGCGTGGAGAGCTGTACTGGGGCAAGATGGCGTGGTAGAGTATCACGACTGGTATGGACTAGCTTGAAGGCATAGTCGGCACGACCAAGATACAGTCGTAGCTTGGACTTAGAAACAATCGGGAGTCTGAAATTGAAGGTTTGCTGCGAGCTCAGGTTTGGACCGACTGATATGAATATCTCAGCGCAGAACGCGAGCCCGGCAGGTTGTCTCGAAGTATATGCACTGTGCTGTTAACGCCTTTGACATAGTTACTGTCCACTGAACCTGTTACATTGAAGGGGAATATAACGATTGTTTGAAATTGACGGTATGAAGATATATTTCTTTGCTACCACTAGGCTTCGAACCGACTCGGCGTTCCCCAATGCTCATCAAACAACCTCAATATCGTCTCTCGCAGCGCCAAAAGCTCTGGCTCATTATCGCTAGTCACGTCGTCGTTGAGACAAAGTTGACCAGCCTGTTTTTCTGGGTCGGCAAGGCGATCGATCAGTCGCACTTGTACTTGTTCGGCATCGGTCACCATAGTGAACAGTGCATCCGGCTCCACCACGACATAAGAGTATCGCTTCATAGCCTTGAGAACCGTCTCTCTATGTTCGGCGTCCTTGTCCGCGTGTGGCANAAGAGGCGACAAACCTTGCTCAACACGGTTAAGCAGTAGTTTGATTAGACAATCGCCACATTGAGGATCTTGTCGGGCCACTCTGTCGAAGATGGCTGCAGTCGAAAAAACAGGATTGTCGGATCTATTGTCCCATGATGGTGATGAGAAGCCAGGTGCCAGACACTCATTGACATTGAACTCAAAACAGTCGATGTTTGCGATGGTGACAGGTCCGTCCAAAGATGTCCAAGTGGTTTCGACATTGACTTTGGGGGACTCTAGACCTGCATCCTCGAGCGACTTGGCCACGTAGTAATACATTCTTTTGCGGAAGGAGTTGCGACCTTCATTGGCTAGGCCCTCCTCGAGATCACTGATGATAGCTTGTCGTTCTTGCCAGTCGAGGTATCCGTTTACGTCGGGATCACTTCTGATCATGATGTAGCTCCAGAGCAGAGCTTCGCGATGTCGCTCGATGGTGTAATGGAATGCATTATACCAAGAATACAACTGGAATCCAGTCTCGCCCCTGAATTTCTGGCAAGCACTCTTGAGAGCTGGTCGAGGAAAAGCTTCCATGGCTTCTTTGTATACGCTCCGTGACAGAGAATGACCGAAATGAACTTGGCCTTTTCTCTTGCGGGAACCAAACCGGCGGTTCAGCATCCAGGAAGTGTAGATCAGGTATGGCTTCTCACCGAATCGCAGGGCGTCTTTCTCGGAAGGTGGTACGATTGTATTGTAGCTGTTGGGCTTGAATCCCATGACTGTGCCAAAGAGAGGGGAGTAAATGTCGGACGCTGCGTGAGGTTTACCGAGAAACATGTCATCAGACATTGCGAAGATNNCTGGAAAAAGTCAGTTCTTGATTGCAGAAATGATTCATCGACCCTCATCACTTACTCGATCAGTGTCCGAGGGTGTGTTGTAGATTTGGTTCTCGATGGTCAGAGAATTGAATGTCGGTAGACATTCTGCTTCCTCTTCGCCAAAGAAGTCTTCCTGCGACAAGACCTGTAAACTGTCTCCAATTGCAGAATCGTCCTTCAGCCAGGTGGGACGCTGTTTGATCATTCTCCCGTTAGATCCCTCGACTGCATTGACGAGAATCTGAATATTGTTACTAAACGAGCTGGCGTGCTTCTCAACACTTCTGATAGAGTAGCGCAGCTCGTCCCAGTCACGATAACGGTTGACACCATGGGAAGCGATCCATTCCCCTGCATCATCGTTCAAGCTGGAGTTCAGTTCATACGGACGCATCGTGTGTGCGAATCTCGTGTCGGAACCATTGACCCCNNTTTGAATGTTAGCTTACGTTCTGGCAATCGGCTCAGAACAGAAAAACCTACAAGTATACACAAAATCAATCCTTGGTTCACCGACTTTGCCGTGCTTGGTAGCGTCATAGACAGCATGCGCAAACCAATCTTCCTCCCATTCTTCCAAAACTTCGTCCTCCACCGCCATGCGTAGCGGAATGTGCACAAAATCAGGAAGTTCATCTGCTACTCTGTTGAGTCTCTCGAAGTTCGATGTATCTGGAAAGGTATAATCTGAACCAAGTGTCGTAGGCGTGGAATCTTGTGAGTTAGACTCCACCTCATCTGCAACGTTACCGATTGATAGGGGCGAAAAGTCCTCGGATGCTGGCTCCTGGTCGACGGCAGAGCTGTCTAGGTTCTCGAGTCGATCGATGGCCTGAGACTTGGACATATCGGCCAATCTACCACCATCCGCGACAACAGGTTGGATCTCTGACATGTCTTCTATCAGTGATTGCTGCTCTTCGACATCTCCAATGTCGTGGATTGAATCACCCTTGGTGACTTGGGGAGTGGCTGGTCGGTTCTTCAATGTCTGCTCCTTCTCGACAGAACCCTGTTCTTCTGCTCCAGAATCGGCAACCTCGATCATCTGTGCAGGCTCCGCGGACGTGGATATTCCACCATCGGCTCCTCCGCCGGAGACAAAGGATGCTTTGCTTGGTTGGATTGTCACAAGTCGATCTTCTGATCCTCCGGCAAAAAGTTTGGCTTTGCTGGCGAAGAAGGAGTAAGGAGATCTCTGGACGTATCAAGACCGAGACGAACAGTCCAGTAGACTAGCATGCAAAGAAATGTAAAGAAAACGAACAGTTGTCGTCGACGTGATCTGGTGTACCGCGTGAATGTCGAAGATGGACGTCTCGTCTGCCATGTCGAATCTTTTTGCTGTAGATAGGGCATGTTGCGGTCTTGACTTGTGGATAAGGTTGATATACGAGAAAGACACGAGATGATGAGGTTAGCTAGGCAGAAGGGGACGTTATCCTTGTCGAAGCAGAGGTCCAAAGGATCAGATCCGTAGGGCAATTATGTCCGGAATGGTTTTGTAGGGTCCTCCATTCTGCCATTACTTTCCTCCCCACTTTCTGCTTCATATCAGGAGACCGTTTCAGTCGTTGGATTGAGACGACTCGATGATCAGGCTCAAGAATACTTGGCAGTTCGGCTTTCTTCGGCCAGCCAGATGTAGAAGTTGAACATGCGACACCGGAAATCGCCATGGTGTCTGAGTCATGAAAGGCTTGAGATCAACGTCGATCGACAAACGACGTTGTGAAGGGAGGCGTCAAGAGAGGGTGTGCGGAGAGAGCTGAATATCAACGGGACCGTTGGCGGTAGTGATGACTTTTCTTGGCAGGTGCCGTTGGAACCACCGCGTGCTTTCCGCTCATGACCCCTCAGACGACAGATGAGTATGACAGTAGCTCCTACCACAGAATAGTCACATAGTTCAACCTAATGGTATGCTTTCCCAGCGTTGGGGTTCAGGTCCCGTTTGATGACCGATTGACAGAAGCAAAATCTATCTCGGCGTCCCCCAAGAACGTACATTTCTGTTTTGTGCCGTACTTTTGCTAGTGGATTGCGATCCAGTTGGAGGCAAATCCTACGACTTGCTCGGTTCATCTTACAGACTCTGATCGTCATCACGATTGGCAAGTTCTTCCGCGATGCTAGCTCACATGCTCAGGAACCATTTATTGAACTTGAACGGTGCGACTGCAGCGTTCTCCAGTCCGAACATTGATCGCGTGCTTCATTGAGGACCGTCACCAGCTAGGCTATGATGTTCGGCTGTTTGAAACCATATAGAGCTTGGCACTCGAAATGTATGGTGAACAATATCGTCTACTGCAGACGACTTGAGGTGCCCAGAGGAACATGCAATAGTGAGACAGCATGGGCCAACCACGCTCACTCCACGTAGTTACACCAACTTGACAACGATCATACGGTAAGCTTCCTTGCTCCATCAAACAGATAACCGGCTGTAGACCAGCTCGACGATGGCTTTGTGCCGGGACTAACTGGCATTGACCCACTCTCAGCTTACCTCGACCAATGCGACTGCCAGTATTGCCAATTTGGTATCATCACTGAGATGCTGGTACGAGCTATCGAACACAGGACTATCTGCATGACCCTCATTAGAGATGACTGCTTCTCTCTCGTTTGATCGATAACTCTCGGACGTTGGACCATTGACCAGAAGCATGCCATTTTCCTGCCTATCGCCGTTCAATATATCTTTGTCTGCGTGCCGCGATGAGCTGAGTCCCTTGTAACTGGACGCTGTTACTCTTTAGCATTCAATTAGTCTGAGCACACAATCCTGAGACACATACTCTCTATCCAAGAACAGTCACCGACTGTGTCTGCAGGCTATGATGAACAAAAAAGCTCACAGATCCTCTCTATTGCCGCATACTCAAGATTCCGCGTCATCCACTGATGCCAGGGCTGCGGACCATATATCTAGGTCTGCAACATCCCAAACATCAACATATCAGCTCACCATCACTTTTGAGTCTATCTTCCACTTGATACTGCCTCATACCTTCGTTTTTATCACTTGATCATGAATCCTTGGATCCATCTCACAAGCCTTCTCAGCTTGACCGCTGTGGTCGCTGCAGCTCCCCGTACCAAGACTTGTTACACGAGCCCTCCCACCACAATCACCAAGATTGTCACCCAGACCTGTCCTGCCCCCAAGACTGTCTACCTTGACACTGCCGGTAACACGGTACCTTCTCCTGCTCCTACCAATCCTGCGAGCTATGTCACCACTCTTCCGGCTGTGACCAAGATCACTGAGATTGTCTACCCATCTTCGATGTCTGTCAATGGTGGCGAGACCGTCACGATCAGTGGTGTACCAACCGTGATTGCTGGTCCTACCGTTTTGACAAACTGTCCATGCATCACTCGCACTACTGTGGTTGCACCCGGACCCGTCATCACTCTGCCTGCTGCCTTTGCTCCAGGTGCATCTTCTGGCAATGCTGGCGGAAACGCTGGTGGCAACGCTGGCGGAGCAGTCGGAGGAGGCAATGCTGGTGGAAACGCCGGTGGCAATGCAGGCGGAGCTGGCGGACGTCCTGATACCACTGTCATCAATACCTACATCGTCTACCCTACCGGTTTCATCGGAGGCGGTGGCGAAACCTTGACGATCAGCGGCACCATCACCGTCGTCCCTTCGCCTACCTATATTTCTCAATGTCCTTGTACTCAAGCTACGGTTGTGACCGTGACTGGGCCTACCATCACCAACACTATCACTCAATTTATCCCCATCCCGACAGTGATTGCAGGCGCGACTGTCACAAGCACTGCAACTGTGATCTCAGGAGTCACTGTCACACAGACCACCACTGCAACCGCAACTTCTGGCGCTGGGGTCCCTGCAGCCGGTACATTTGGCATCACAGTCGACGGTGCGACTTTCCTTGTCGAAGAGCAGATCAACTACGATGGCACTCCTCTTGCTCTACCCGCCCGCAAGAACAAGCGCCAGCAGACTTCGGTCAACCTTCAGGTTTGTCTCGAAACCTGTGCTGACAACGCTGCTTGCGTGGGTACTTCTCTCAACACTGAATCTTCGACTTGTCTCTACTTCAGTGCCATCTTTGCATCAACCAGACGTCGCGATGTCACTATCATCTTTGCCACTGTTATCAGTCGCGTTACTCCAACTGGAACCTCTAGCTTGAGCAGTTCATCTGCAAGCTCAACTGGTAGCTCATCTTCTGTGATCACTACCACCTCTGCCACATCCACCTCTGGTACTTCGACATCGGGCACCTCTACTTCCGGCACCTCGACCACTGAGAATGGAGGCACTTCGACGTCCGGTACATCCACCTCCGCAACGTCGACCTCTGGCACATCCACTTCTGGCACTGCTACCACGAGCCAGACTGCAGACCCTTCCTCAGACCCCGATGTTCCCGCTGAGGAGGAACTCGTCGTTCGTGCCGCTGCGCCCAAGCCTGTTGGTCTGACCCTTCGCGAGGCAAACCGTAACAAGGCTGGTGCTGTTGTTCGTCGCGGTGGTGTTCTCCGCCGCTCCAATGCTGAGCCTGCTGCTAAGCACGCTCCTCGCAAGGTTGTCATTGAGCTGTAAAATGCTAATACTGATCTGAGGCGCTCTGATCTGTGATCGAGCGTTGGATGTTTTGCTTACTGATTTTGATTACTGGTCACCTACTGTCTTTTAATACGCTCTCTTTGTGGTTTCCGTGGTATATTAGTCCTAATGTAATTAACAAGTGTTGATAACCCACCGTCTACCATGTTCTGACTCTTGTCCTTTTGCTATGAAGGTCTGTCAAGTTCTCAAGACGTCCTGCCTGCATCCCTGTGGTACTCCCCTCCAACTGGGTCTCGGTCCTTCCACTTGCCGGACAAAGAAGTATTCTTGACAGGGCCGACACACGACCGCAAAGGACGTAGATGGGCATCATAACTCTGTCGTGTGGAAGACTGTTAGCTGGTACACAGTCATTCCACGATTGATAGTTGTGGAACGGACATAGAACATCAGACAGCCGAGGACATTGCAGTAACAATTTCAGCAAGGAGTCTGATAATGGTAATCATTACGCTCAAAACATGTCACAGTGAGCAGACTGATCGAGAGAAGATATTTGACAGCTTAACTCCTTGATACCAAGGTCGGGGTACGCTTCTAGACGATTGTACGTGGCCAAACTTCAGATCACGTGCGATGGATCACCAGACGGTTGCTCTATTCCGCAGATGATGCAAGCCCGTTCCGATGCCTTCAGTCAACGATCCATTCTCAGCTTATCGTTCAACCAAGTAATATCCTTGCATCAAAAAGACCCATGATGAACCTCGTTCGATTAAACCACACGAGTGACTGCTGATGAGTCGATGTTGGCTCCGGCTAAGCACGCTATCGACCTTGTGGTATTGACGTGTGAACAGATCATGCCCCGATCAGGAACATCTCTATGTGTCTCATCACTTCTTGTTACCAAGCATGGCCCAAATCATATAGGGACGTTTATACATATGAATGGGTTCCCCGCTCGCCAAGATATACCTAACATGCTGGAAAGCGGGATGTCAATTAACGAGGGTACGCCGTTTTGGTGTTATCGCGTTGTATAACGGCGTTGCCCTCAAGCTGAGCCGCCCGTTTTCTCATGGAGCATCCTCCGCCGTTATCTTTGCCTACACACCTGGGAATCGATTTGTGCTCTACACTCGAAGGATTCATGGTTTCCCAGAAAGTGCGGCTTGGTAGGCTAATTGTTTGCTTTCAGTGAAACAATGCAATATTGATGGCTCCGATGTCAATCTTCTTGGTCGTGTGAGCATGTCTCAGAGAAGATGTTCCCGAAGATCATACAATCAGTTGAACATGGATCTGTGATCGCACCTATGGCGACCAGCCAATTCTTGCTAAGTGTAATGAGCTGGTGGCGAGAAGCATGATCTGCACCGAGCATCTCCTTGTCCATTGTGAACGTTTGAGTTGCCGAGAGTATGATGCATTTGTTGCACTTGTAGTGTTTGGTAGATGCACTCTATCCATTTCCCAATATTTTTGATGTTCACTTATATGGGCATTTGCGATCTTGATAGATTCGATTCTCCCCTATCCTATCCTGTTCACTGGCGCAAGAATGCACTCACCTCACTCCACAGTCTCTGCTGAAGACCCAGAAGACTCACATCTTCTCTCGGCCTACGAGAAAGAGCCAGACCATCATGTTTACACCAGAAAATCATCCATCTTTGGCAAAAGTCTACCTCGGCTACCTTCCATCTCACACGCGAAGATCTTGCAAGCGTCCAACTATCCAAGATACGGCAAGAAGATCTCCTTTGCCATTCTTCCCTCCTTCGTGCAGAACAGGTTTCGGCCATCAACACAGCCCCAGAAAGCACTCCATCCGACAGGTTTTCTCGACGGCATGAGGGGAGTGGCAGCTTTCCTGGTCATCATATTTCATGTCGTGAAATGCTGTTACGACACAAAGCACGGCTATGCATCTGGCGCTCACGGTGAACATCGAGAGTTTCTCAAGCTTCCATTCATTCGAATCATATATGCCGGACCAACCATGGTATCCATCTTCTTTGTGGTATCAGGCTATGCATTATCCTACAAACCAGTCAAGCTCATGAGAAGCAAGAACTGGCAGAGCCTGTCGCAATCGCTGGCCTCATCAATCTTTCGTCGTGCCATTCGTTTGTTTTTGCCTTGTATCGCGTCGACATTTCTCATCTCCTTGATGATTTGGTTGGGACTGTTTGATTGGGGTACCGAGTTTGCGAAAGCAAGAGGACAGTATAATTCCAAACATGACGTCGATCTCCAAAAATTCGACTCGCTCGCTGCACAGATGGCGTTCTGGGCAAGAGAAACATCAACGAAACTGATCAATCCTTGGTCCTTCGAGGCGAAACACACCCAGGTCACCATCGATGGCCATCTGTGGACCATCCCTGTCGAGTAAGTTTATTCTGGAACTATCCGCAAGATGGACATCGGCGCTTGCAGAGTTTGACTGACACATCTACCCTGCAGATTCCGTTCTTCATTGGTGTTGTACCTGACCCAAGCCGGCCTTGCGCACCTCAAAAGCAAGATACGTATGGCCGTTCTAGTCTTTCTCATCATCTGGGTGCATCATATGGGACGCTGGGAGATGATCCTGTTCTACGGCGGTTTCCTTTGTGCCGAACTCGGCTTCCAACGCAATCAGGCCCCGACGCCGGTCTTGCCAATTGATGGCTCGAATTCAAAGCAGAGAAATAATAGGCTCAAGCCTGTGATCTATGTTTGCGTCTTCATTCTAGGGTTATACCTCGGCTGTCAGCCACANAAGAGCGCAGAAAAAACCCCTGGCTGGATCACTCTTTACAGTATGATTCCAGATGGTATCGGGAAGCCCAAACGCTACTGGCCGGGATGGGGCGCGATTCTACTTGTCTGGTCCACTTCCTGCTACAAACCACTTCAACGTCTGTTCGACAACAAAGTCTCGCAATATCTCGGCAGGATTTCCTTCTCCTTGTACATCGTTCATGGCGCTGTGACCCATGTACTTGGGTTCCCGTTGATGAACATTCTTGATGGTGTCTTGGGCCGAGATAATGCTTTCAATAAGGGTGTCAGCTTTAGTGTTGGATTTGGGGTAACGCTGTTCTTTACACTTTGGCTCGCTGATCTGTTTACAAGAGCGGTTGACGAGCCGTCAATCAAGATTGCAAGATGGGTGGAAGAAAAGTGCAACAATCCTGTTTAATAAAGTTGCATTGGAAGGTTAAAGGCTATGAAAAACGTACAGTTAATGTTAGGAGTGGTCTCTTATTACAGCTGTGGAAGAAAACCAAGATTATCATTGCTTACAACAAGTCGCTTGAGATTGTATCATCCTTTATATCCTATCTTTCATTTAACTATCTCTCTCCATCCGAACACCGCCCTCATGTCTCGTGGCACTTCCCCATCGCTAGTCAGTGTCTGACTCTCGCCGGCCCATGAGACTTCGTTACAGGGTCTTTATAGAGTCCTTTTCCCTGATTGATTAGTCCCCAAACTTCATTGAGACCAACCAGCTGTGCGTTGATCAGACAAGTGCCAATCGCAGGAATCTTGAGCATAATGTCAACACTCGATCTCTTGTTTCAGGGGTGGATCTGGCCGGTGTCTCCTTGGACCACCTCCTATCTCGATGGCAACTGTGCATTTCCATAGCTCAATGCAACACTACAGCTTCATATGAGAGATAGAAGTTTTCGCTGCGAGGGAAGGCGCCTTGGACAGGTGTTTGGGCTGGGTCATCCTTTGACAGGTGCTTACCACGATTCAGTAGTACTCAATCGAGACAGGTTTTGAGACATGACCACAAAGGTGTTTCACCGGCTCTTCTGTAACAAGCCTCACTCGCGAGTGCTAGGGAAATGTGTCCTAGCACAGAAGAGTGCCCAGCTTCCCACACGAAATGGCAAGATGAGCCGAGCCCGAGGGTGATTGAGTATCCGACCAAACAACGACGATATCGACGCTTGCAGACGTTTGCTCCAACATCCCAGCGTCCTAGGGTTTCGAAACCCCAGCCGGCTTCCACAGTGGAGAGCTCAGAGTAGTGATCGTAGAGAGTGTTGTCCCGGGCACCGATGAGGCTTTTGCTGATGCTGTCCCGCAAGAAATAGAACGGACTCTGTTTTGGGTGGTGTACGTGTAACTTTCATCAAGTGGCCCCGGGCAGTCAAAGAGTTCGATTGTACTGCCGGAATCAGCCAATGAGCGCGAGCCCCATGAACAATCTGAAGTCCTGGTAGCAACTGTGCATTACGACAAGGCTATGTCAAGCTTGTATGCCAGTGGGAGAGAGGGTCATTGTCACATGCAAGAAAAGCAAGCGCGTTTCCAAGTGAAAGCGGAATTTCCAACGCGCAAACAACCTCTTTCTTCCTTCTTCTTTCTAGCGCACCACCACATCTTTCGTAAATATTGTACACTGCACTGGTCGGTCCATAGACTGACATACCTAAGTAGTCATCATGCTACGGCTAGAGGACGGATGGGGCAATTTTGTGCCTTGCCTGCCCGCTCTTCACTAGGCTCGCTGCGCTTGACCCAAGCAGCATATGACTTCCTCGGCACCATCTACCTGAGTGGCCGCGGCAGTCTCAGGTGGGTTGCCTCCGGGTCTTTCGCTTCTGGGGTACAGGAATCAAGCATGGCCGTTATCAGAAAGATCCTCTAGTGCAAACACTGCGCCGCTCACAATCAGTCCTGCAACAAGATCAACAGCGACGACAACGCATGCACAAGGTGCACCGCCAGAGGTCCCCTTTACGAGCGCGATACCAACTTTGACCTCTACAACACTTTCCTCACCCACCTCGTCCCGACTCTCTTCCCTCCGAGTATAATGGAGCAGCTGCTCAGAACCGAGTTCGCCGCTCGAGTCGAAATCCGCCTCCCCCTTCTGCACATCGCCCTCGCTTTCGCCGCCATCGAACGTTACGTCAACGCACCCGGAGGCTCGAAGTTCGACGATATCTGCACCAAGATGCGCGACAGATGGGCCAGAGAGGTCGGTTAGAGTGCCAACGAAGGTGGAGACTTTCGCACTGTATCTAACAATTTGAGGTCAGGTTTTCGAGGTGCGCTTGCTTTGACTGCTCCTTTTCTTTTCCTAGCATCTAGAATCATCATGCGACGGCACAATGGCGGTATAGATATGTGATTCAAGGATGCGAAAATCATCAAAAATGAGGATGAATATTGCTACCGTCTTGGACTGATATCATCCAATTGCACGTTTGAAGATCCAGCTCTAGCTGACTTTCTGATCTTTCTTTCCCGCATGTCGCATCAGCTCTTGCTGGTAATAGTTTCTTCTCCATTTATCTTGAAGTTTGCAATTCATTTGTAGTTTCTAGAGCTTTACCTTTTCATGTATTTTAGCACTTTGGTTCGTAGCTTTCTGAGCGTATGGCTGTGCATCGCCGACTGGCCTTGTCCTGACATGGACAAGAATGCATGGCCTAGTACACAATCGAATTCTGATATGAAGTGGATATAGAGATGCGAACAACAGACAGCGTTCGAACAACCCGAGAACGGTGAGCAGGTGGCCGGCATAGCTCTGACTGATTCATATGGACGACGTCCCAGGTTTGCTCTTGACCACGATCGCATCTATGGCATTCCTCAACAGTGCAGCTTCCTTGTGCCGGCCTTGATTCGAGAACCAAAGCCACAGGGTGTGTTTGAGGGCTATCGTAGTAGCGGATTTGCTACCCCACATCGTTGTACTTCTTGTGATGGCAGTCTTGAAAAGATTCTCAGCAGTAGTGGTGCTACCGCCTGCGGAGCTGAGATCGCTTATGGCATAGTGGCATTGCGCAGATACCTCGAGAGCGTCAATCTCGAGTGCCATCCACTTCTCCTCGTTTTGTTTCCTCGCTTGAGCACATCTTGATACGATTATCTCTGAAGCTTTTAGAGCTTCTTGATGATATCCTAGGGAGTGAAGAACTTTGGCGCGAGTGAACCGTCGATGCATGTCGCTTAGGTCATCGAGATATCTTCCGTGCTGATCCAGTGAAGCAAGCGGAGTCGACAATATATCTTGGTGGAGACGTGAGACATGGATCCCCATTCGAAGCGGGTGGATTGGCGAGGAGGACATATTGAGCCCGTCCCATGGATGTCCAGGAAAGATGCCCTCGAGTTGATCATAGCCGCACTTCCAACCTCGGCGCATGAGCTCAAGCGCTTGCGTTGTAGGCAACCTTTTCAGGCAGGCAAACATCTGTGCCCAGGGCTGATGCACTTCATTCTTCTGCGCCGCCCGGATCTCAACCATGGCGCATACCCTATCAGTCAGAACGTCGTACATTCGATTCCAGCCTTTGGTCAGGAGAAGTACAGAGACATCACAAATGGTGTCTATGAGCTCAGGATCCCGTTCTGTCAGTAACTGTTCGATAAGCCATAGAGCATCCGAGACTAGGGCAAAGCCTTGAACGTGGTACCCCCGCTCAATGAGGTCAATTGCCGTGACACAACACTTATAGAAGTTGTTAATGTTGTTGATGCTTGTGGCCGAGACATGACTGACGCATTCACCAAGGTCATTCTTGACAAATTGGCCATTTTCATGAGCTCCTCTGAAATATTTGATGATGTTGAAGAAGAATTTGGCCTGTATAAAGTGTTCGTCTGGATCGGAAGGCGTCACAGATGGTGACATATTGTGCTCCATGTGCACCAGTCGTAGGAACCAATACTGAGACGACTTGTCCATGGATTCCGCCCATCGCATGAAACTCTCTATTGGGCTCGAGAAGGCATGTGNCATTGCAGCGATTTGTGACACAACTAGCACATAGTGTAGGATCTGATCGTTCTACTTGCCAAGAGGACAAGAGATGATCTGAACGTGAATTGGCTGCGCAGGGAACCCCGTTGATTCTTCAGTCCATGATCTTCCAGCGCGCTCTGCTCTCCGACGACGTCGTGCAATTACGTGGCGGTTGTAGGATTTGCGATCGATCAGAAAGTTGAGTCGACTCGTCGAATTTTGTGGATCTTGCTCATGTTGCTGCATTACCGTGGCAAGGTAATGAACATCACTGAATGTTGCATATCTGCCACGCACCGCAGGTCTAGATCTTGGTGCGGATGTGTGAGCATGCGACATGTTACGCGCTCAGAGATCCTGGTGGGCAGATGTGTCCTCGGCCTTGGCTTGCGTTTTGCTGGAGATTGCCGCCGAGCCAGCGACCCACAGTTGCTCACTACCGGCCGCGTGTTGTGAGAGTGGTTGTCTGAGTCGAGGGGTGTATATCCTTGGCTGGTAGATGAGGAGAGATAACGTGGGAGTACTAGGAACACTTATTTTGATCACTACAGCGAGCTTCTTACGTAAGTCGTGTCTGCCCGTCAAGTGATGAGGGGCTAGAGCGGGCGAGATGCAGCAATATGATTTGCGGGGTGCTTTCGCCGAGGTCTGGGGCAAGGCGGGTAAGTACGGCCGACCGATGCTTGTGAAAGCGGCTCTTATGAGCAAGCGGTCTGGACTCCACCCCTTTGCTATTATTAAACTCTGCCCATGTACTAAAGCATGCAACGCATACAGGTATAGGAATGCACCGAAGCTTTAAGAAGCAGGACGGCATTTACTAAGAGACAGGATTCGATTGGCTCGCTATAAATTCCCCTCTAGTGCTAGAGGACGCTTAGCATAAAGAGCCCCGGTAACATAGTCCGAGGAGCGGGCAAGGTTATGTATTTATATAAGGGCAGAAAGGGAAGTTCCCAAAGAATAAATTCCATGAGAGCAAAGATGCTGTATGTAGGTACTGGATGTCAGTTGCCAAAGTGCATATAATAAAGCTAAATCCATTGTATTCGAACCCCCAATTTACGTATCTTTGCGCTCTTTCCAAGTTACATATACTTGTTCCGCCTGATTGTTGACAGTCTTTTGTTGCAGAGGCACTTCTTGAGCGAGACGCTCGCTCATGCCACGTTGTTCCTTACCCTGGGAACCCTATAGCACCCTCCAAATGTGTGTCTTACTGGTTTAGTTTATTTTTCTGCCACGTATATCCACCCTTACTTTTGATGTCTCTGCTATGAGTCTTCGGGACGACATAAAAACCATTGTCTGAGATATCAACTAATTGCAAGCAAATTTGCAACCGCAAAATGAATTAGATGTCTTGGTCCGATCAATACCAGCATCTATCTTCCTCTAAATGAGTGCTATGTTTGCAATTCCAAGCTAGCTTTGAGAGTCAAGCTACGCTATACAAGTCACATCAACAAAAGCAAACAAACTACTAGAAAATGCTCCTCTAAATCATCCCACAAGCTTCAATCGACCAGAATGTCCTCAGATAACACAGCAGATGAGAGCCAAACTCTTTTGCTTCCTAGCTAGAGGCTGTACCTCTAGATGTCTCACTCCACACTCACGAAGGCAGCATCAATCCTACTCTCGAAAAACTTTACCATCGCCTCTTGCGCTAGTCTTTCTTCGGCACCTGTGCTGGATGTGACAACCACACCTGGAGAGTAAACAGAAGATCAGTTGCCGGGACTGGTTGTGCTCAAGATTCGGGCACTCCACGAATTGATGTCCGGCTCTCAGCACATCTAGCCGACGAACAACGATAGTGCTATCAATATGGAGCCTCCCATACATCAAGATATATCACCTTCCCATCAGCATGCGAGGCCCAAGCAAACACCCGGGTGCAATCTATCAAAGTGACACCAGATCTGCTTTAGGAACTCTACACTATCTTGTCTTGCGCCTTTAGTTCCCCAACATTCACTGTCTCTTTCTGACTACTGGACGTGATAGACCGCTTCATAGAAAAAAACTAGAAGGCCGACGACCTAAACGGGGCATGCTCGAGTGTGCCTGAACTTATGGCTAAGCTGCTCCTTGAAACACTTTGACTTGCACTCAACATGAGCGCTTCTACACAAGAGGTGCCTGATGCTCGGGTCGTGAAGACTTCGATGATCTGTTAAATGGAAACAACATGGTTCCAAGAAGCTGGACACAAGAACTAACAAGCAGCAAGTCACTCATACCGGTGGGCGCAGTAGACCAGCTCATGTTAGGGAAATTGATCGAGGTTGGCAGACCACGCCCTTTCAAAGCAGATGAATGAGATCCTAACCGCCAGCAGTCAACTCTTGTATCGAATAGCTGTGTTTGGAGACGAGAATTGTCCCGCCCCCTATATCGCGTTCACACACACACATCGTATTCAGCTAAACCCTTTCCCCTCACCACTATAAATCAACAAGATAACTTTCGTCACAACCAGCTTTTCCAATTTACTCGCCTCAACAGAAAATCTCTTTCCCTCCACTGTCAACAACAGTGGCTGCTTCTATATAGACGTCGATACTGCGCGCCTGGGCCACCCGGAGATTGCTTCCGACAGGACCTGGAGAATTGTCACTGAGTGATGGACCACAAAAGATTGCGATTTGAGAAAAGAAATCACAGGCAACATGCCCTGGGTGCCAAGAGTGTGCTCAAAAAGTGGCGGGACAGTCGGTATCTTACGTTCTTGTATAGAAGTAACATTGGGTCAATACCTCTTTCTCTTCAAAGCCGGTCTCGATTACATATTCCTCGCAGATTTGTACGCCAATCTGATGGATTTGATCTCCATGATGACCAAATTTCAACAATTGTGATAACACTTCATTGACTTTCCACCCCCAGGAGCATTGGTACATGACTGGCCCAGAATGTTTCCCGAATCTGCCACTTCATTCTGGCAGTCGTCATCACTGTACAAGTGGCAGTCAACCCCGTACGCGAAACTGCCCTTAGTGACCACGCTACCAAAAGGGTATCTGTAGCAGTTGCCCTCGCAAGTAGGCACGTAGTTGAGCAGGTAATTGGCGGAATCGCAACCACCGCCCGCGTAGACGCTAACGCAGGCTTCATATGGGTTTGAACCGCTGCAGGCTTTGGACAGAGCGATGGAGGGAGGGACGCGAGGATAGAAAAGTGGATGAGGGAAAACATTATAATGGTGGCTGTGGGGTGACGTGTTTCTTGCGGCCTAGGGCTTGTCAGCGCCAATGTCTTCGAGACTGCTTGTGGTTTAAGAATGAGGAGTGGTGGGCTTACAAGGAAACGATTGGAAAGCGGGGATTGGTTGAGGTTTTTGGCTTGATCCGTTATAAGTATCGTCTATGTGCTGGTCTTATGAGGGTACCAGAAGGAAACAATCTGTGTGCAAAAAGGCAGGAGTACTAACTGGAGGTGGAGTGGTGATGATGATACTGTTCTTGCTGGGGGCAGTGGACTATATATGAAGAATGGCTCGCGGGATTCAAGTTTCCATTAGCTCCAAGGATTGGAATAATCCCACGGGAAAATGGTTGACGTTGATGTTGAGATAATCACTCGTACCCGTGTCTGACGATCATCTACTCCAGGACAGGGCTGGGATCATTCGGGGTCGCCGATGGTTTAGCTCGATCTCCTTCCTTCCGCATCCTTTCATCCTTTCCCTTCCTTCTCGTATTGCAATCTTTGCATCGTCAAGATCTACTGTAGATCATCTGCAATGCGTGTTTTTATGCTATCCTAAAAGCACTCGTAGTCCTTGGATGGCGAGGTTTCTCAGTCGTCATTGCGTTTAATTGCTATCGACGATCTTGATCATCATGGATACCGAAGATGATCTATGGACTGCTATTGACATAACCCACTCAGATAGGGAAGAGACCAGACAAACAAGAAGATTATGTTTACCTTAAGTTCAAATTCATGATTCGTCAAGAAAAATATTGAGCACAGTAAGGAATGGCGGCCTGGAGGCCTGCAAGTATTTATTGACCTTGACTTTTATAAACGACGTAGTTACTGCAGCAATTGAGCTTCGCACAACCCTTCAACATATCATCCATTCTGTAAGAGAAAGCGAGTTTGGCAAAGCTGACTGCACCACACTACACTCGCTTTCGAACGAGCTATTTGAGTGAGCACACGGAGCGGGAGGCATCTGGACAAGGCAGGAGACGTACCTAAACTCAACAATCATAGTAGCACTTCATGGACTGACCACCCCCAAAGTTGTTACACTGGCCGCTCCCGGTGCCGACGACATTGCCAGTACTACCAATCTCATCCTGGCAGTTTGTGTCTGAGTAGGCATGGCAATTGGTGCCCAAAAGTATGTCCCCTTTACACGCAGACTTGTAAAGGGGAACACATAGCAATTGCCCTCGCATGTGGGCACGTACGACAATTCGAAGAGATGGGGATCGCAGTTGCCACCGGAATAGAGGTTGACGCACTCTTGACCCTGTCCGCAATCTTTGGCCTGAGTAATGCTGGCCATGAAAGCCAAGCCAATTGCGGCAATGTGGTATCTCATGTTGTTATTCGTGTTGAAGGGATATGTTGAGAGCAATTGCTTGTTTGGCAGTCCAGGGCAAATTCAGAAGAAAGTCGAATAAGAGAGGAACAAGTATTCGTTAGAGCTGTGTATGGGCATTATATTCTTCGGTTTATCAGTTGTGATAGCCACAGCGCCAAGAGAGCTGGTCATAATAGACTTTTGCCCAAGTCGAGGCGAAGGATCCGACACCCCACAGCGCTAAAACGGCTCTGTCATGCTATATTGCCGACCTACAAGAAGCGTCAATGGACCAAGGGATCACTCGCTGCAGATTGTTGTAAGGGTCTAAGTAAGTTGCCTGCTTCAAGAGCCAGTGATGATATAACAAGATCAAGTTCGCTCGGACGTATCTGCCATCTCTGGCGGTCCCAATTGCTGTTTGGAAAGGTGACACGTGTTAGACTCTTGGCAG